TGCCTGAAATGGGATGAGCATTCTCCCGTTTTATTTTACGTAATAACATTTAATCAAAGGCATTTAATGTTTTAAATATGTATTGCATATAATGATTAATTCTTTTTTCAAGCTTTGAAAAGCACTCACATTATCTGTTTCCCCTCAGTTATGCTTTGGCATTGGCAGTGTTAGTTCCCAAGCCTACTGAGTGTTCAGGAAAAACAGATTCTGCAGATTCCCCAGGCTGCAGAACGTCACTGTTGGACTGAGCTGCATGTATAATGGTTTACCAAAATATTTGTAGGAAAAGAAGTTGCTCTCATTGTATGTTTTTAGGTAGTCAATGTAAAGAATATATTTCAGAAAGTAGGATTTTTTAATAACATTTATGTACCACTTTATTTCTCTTTTAAAGTCTCTAAATTTGAGATGGACAATTCTCATATAGCATTCACTCAGATGTACAAGAAAATGTCGCACACATCCTTAAAAGAATAAGTAACTGTTACAATGTCATTTAAAGGATCAAGTCAGATTTAAATGATAGGAGTTAGCTTTCTGGACATCCAGCTGTTAATTGGAATCGGTAGTGTGTGGCAAACTTAGTTTCTGCTCTTAATTTGTGTTTTTTCATACAGAAATGGAATTCTGTAGGGTCACACAAACAAATGTTTTCAAACAGAATTGATGTTCTCCAGTGGTCTTCAGAATATCAAGTGTTGCATTTTTCTGAAGGTGGCTTTGCTGGTACTGTGTGTGGAGTTTAGGGGTGAGTTTGCATGTAATAATGTAGCAAAAAAACTTGATGTCTTTCTCAACTACTAATTTCTAGTATACTAGATCATCTTTTGAAACCACTATCATTTAGTATTAGTGCAATTTTGCTGCTGTACAAAATATAAAATACAGCAGTAAAAAAATATAAAAAGGCTCAGGGGATATTTCATTTCTAATGCTTAGATCTTTACAGTAAGTAAGAAAACAGTAGATAAGAACTACTGTATGTGGTCAATTATATGTAAACGCTGTGTGTAGACAGATATTGGAATAATGCTGGTAGTATTAATCTTTATTAGCAAACATTCTATACAGTGACGGTTTTGGTTTGTATTAATTTGTATGTTACAGTGGATACATCAATTAAATGGATCTAAAAATTGTTAGTACTTTTCTAGTCCTAAGAATTCACAATGACATATTTATCAAGGAAGTAAATTAATATACTGGCACATAGCTTTTTCTGCCAAAATAGCTGGGAAAGTCTCATCTGTGGGCTTTACAACTCACTTAACACAGTACCAACATGCTTTGTGCATCTCTGGTGTTCATTACCAAGGAGTTTAGTAAAGATCCATGCAGTGGAAATCTGGACTTCAAGACAAATATCCACAGGCAAGATAAGCCAGAGTGACACTTCAAGCAATTGAAAAGGAACAGGAGTTGTTTCTTTGAACAAGGATGACACACTAATATGACTGCCAGATAGAACAGCCAGGGCTTTGTATATGAATGTTGCCCTTTCTTCTTAATTTGAAGTGACACTTAAGGGAACATGTCTGCCCACAGAAAATGTCTCTGAAGTTAAAAAGATTGTGTATTAATTTAAGGAAACTCCATATCAATAATTCCTTATACTTATATAGTACTTTTCTGGACTCTCCACTCAAAACACTTTACAGGTAATGGGGACTCCCCTCCACCACCAACAATGTGCAGTTGCACCAGTACGCTCAGCGCACATCAGCTGTCAGTGGGGAGGAGAACAGAGAAATAGAACCCATTGAGAGATAGGGATTATTAGGAGGCCATAATAGGTAAAGTCCAGGGAGAAATTTGGCCTGGACTCCAGGGTAACACCCCTACTCTTTTAGAGAAACACCCTGGGATGTTTAATCATCACAGAGAGTTGGGACCTCAGTTTTACATCCCATCTGAAGGATAACACTGGCTTTACATGGTGTGCCCCCTACTGGCCCCCACTAACACCTCTTCCAGCAGCAACCTAAGCTTTCCCGGGAGGTCTCCCATCCAGGTACCAACCAGGCTCACACCTGCTGGGCTTCAGTGGGCTGCCAGTTGAGAGCTGCAGTGAAATATAGCTGCTGTATGAGTGAGATGTGTGCTTTGGTACGATATTTTGTCATTGCCTTCTAGGTTCTATTTACACAGAAACCTTTGCTTTTTGACTACTGTGAACATACAGTATAATGCTTCAAAATAATCAGTACTTTAAGTTATGCTGCTATAACTTAAATAACTAGTATAGTTAGTTATACTATAATCAGTTATACTGATTAAATTATATTGCTTACGTTTTCTACAGCTGTAATGTTGCACCAGCTGCCGAAAAGTTTTTTTTTTTCATTTTATACAGTGGTTAAAGGACAATTAATTGTTTTAGGATGTTTTTCTTAAGGGTATATTTGGCTGAGCGTTATTTGGCCACGTCTAAATGATATTTAAATGTAACACAAACTGTTTTTAGAGCAGTTTGCAGAACAGGAATAAATTCGATGTTTTTTTAATTGTTTTCCAACTTGAAGTTGTCCTTGTAATTCCAATGAAATGTCTTTGTTCCAAACAGTTTTGTTACCTCCACTCATAACAAAGAGACAGATCAGAAACAACATTACAGCAAGCAAGTAATTAGGAGGTTCTACTGTCAAGAAGAGCAAAATAAGAAACACCCCCAGTCTTGCAATCGCACGCACTGCAAACTATGAACCTCTCACATTCCTCCGGGCTCTTTTTTCAGCATGGCTATCATAATGGTGTTCATAAATATTTCTGCCATGTGTTGCCAAGGTCAGCTTCAAATGAATTCATTATAATTTCTCTGGAACCATTATTATGAACCAGAAGAATAATTTCTGGTAGACACCTTACGATGAACTTACGATGAGCTGCAATGTTACAGTGCAATAAAGAATGTCATTAGTGAGTCATTGATGCAGCTGCTCTTGCATGTGTGCTCTGTTACTAGCAAGTGTGAACCAGGTCTTAAAATCCAGTATAAAGAGGAAGTTAATGTTGTCTAGAAAATATGACCTTTAATTTGTTCTGCTATTTTCATCTCTAAATGTGGATCGATCATTTTCTTTTCTTCTCAGTGCACAAAGCATAAATGAAACACTGCTCTTTGTTTGTTACAAAACAATGGGTGGATGAATGTGAAAGTCACCCTGCTTAATGATGGGCATCATTCTCCACACAGTTATTCAAACAAACATGAAGGTAATCTCAATTAGGCTGCTTAACCTTTGCTCAACTCAAAAAGGACTTCAAACAATTTTAAAATTTGTTTTTCTTGTTTTATAATCGAATCTCACGCTTTGGATGTTTAAATATAACCACCAATTTTAATATTCAGGCTCCAGAGTTGCTTACACCTGTATTTAGCCAAGAGTGGCCAAATTAGTTTCCACTGGGACATTTTTCACTGAACTGTTTCTTTAAACTCAGCTGTTACTCTCATAAAGACAAATAGTTACACTTACCGCATAATTCTTTTGATACGTTGTTCATTACTTCCTATTTATGCGTTATTTACAGTGACCATGCAATTGTGCTTAGTGTAGATTAAAAAGTATTGCCAGCTTTGTATAAATTAAGTAACAGGGAATTGCATTCTGCATACAAATGATGGCTATAGTGCAATCACAGTCACATTCCCTTGACAATCTGCATTTATAGTCACTCACAGCTCTTGTGCTTCATTCTCCCATTGAAGACTGTAGTTTGTAATATCCTGATAAATTTATCCACTTAAAACAACGCTAGATTATGAGAGTCCTAGTATCATAAAGTGCCTGTAACTGTGGTATAACTCCTGTGAGATCTTCAGTTGTATTCTAAACACAAACTCTTCCCCATAGACCATAAAGAGTGATATTATTATTTTTCAGTTTTGATTATTTCCAACTAAATACTACCCTCCTGACAAATAAGTCTCAAAGCTGCACAACAGATTTTCGTAACTAATGTGAGGCATTTAATTTGATTTAACAGATTTTGCTAAGTAGTATTTTGTATTGGGTGTTGTCATTGAATTTTATTTTTACTCTGGTAATTTGTTTAGCATGAGAGAAGTTTTAGTTGATCTCTGAGCCAGGGGGAAGCGTTGTGCGCTGTACATCTGAGGAGAGAATGCGCCCATAATTTTTCTTCGTCTTTTTTTTTTTATTTTTGTCCCCAACAATGTCTGATATCCGACCAGTGGAAATTCTGTTTTTCTTCATACGAATGCCTACAACCTTAAAAAAAACACTTATACTGTACCACTACGTTGAAATAAAGCGTCGTTTTATTGCGCTACTAGAATTAAACGGAATGCCTGTATATATGTGTAGGAATTTGCCCGAAAATGTGAACGTGACAGAAAGAGGGTGTAGCGTTCCACTGAGTTATGCTATTCTGTTTTGGGTCTCCTGTAACATGACTGCCTCAGCCTACTCATTTCTTGTACGCCGGCGTTTGATGCCCATCAAAACTCTGTGAATGCGCGCATACATGTGCTTGTACTGGTTGTTTTTACCCGCGACTGTTTACTAAAACTACAATCAAAAAGCAGGTGAGAGGAGATACGCTAGTAATAAGTCATCTGCTGAAACTAATAATATTCGATTGGCTGGCAGCTTTATGCTTAATGTTGACAAGCCGTATAAATATTTCAGAGTGTGGGTGGAACGGAGAAGCGCGGTGGTCACCGGAGAAGTAAATACGACATTGCCTTATTGTTGGTTGTAGGATAACCCAAACTTTTAAAACTTACTTGAAAGTCACTCTAAACTACACAGTAATTTCCCGTCTCCTAATCTGTCCTTATAAACGACAGCTTTGGAAGCGGCATCTTCTTCCATCATTCATTGAAACAATCGTTTCCTGAAAAACGACACCTAGGTGGATGAATAAATCATCGTCGGTCTTCATGACCGGTCACCTGAACCTTTTGCTGTATAAGTGGTGAAAGGCGACATAATCTTCCCGGACAAGATACCAGCCGAGATTGAGAGAGCACCATGTTAAAAGCAAAGCGCCACGAGTTGTATTCATACGAACAGTTGGTTAAGAAACCACACTTCCTTCCGGAACAGAGGTGGAAGAATTTCAGCACCATGGACAGCAGCAGGCGACTAGTCCAGGTGATCATGGACATGCAACACGAAATCAATCAACTGGAGTCCGAAAACCGAGCACTCCGTGGCGGACTCGGCCAGTCTGCGGTGGGGTCAGTAAATGAGGACACTTCATCCCTGTCTTCTGCATTTCATCAGAAAGGTGTAGCCGAAGAGAGCGCTGCCCAGTCCAATTTAAGACGGAATGTGTCAGCGCCTGCCCTAGAAGGCCCATTTCGAGGTACGTTTCGGAACTTTTGGAGCTATCATTAGTTTCAATTTTTTTTAAAAAGATGAAACGATTGTTAATTTTAATGTTAATTTCATATGAGACCCGTAGGTTAGTTTAAGTGTCTTTGTCTCGGTGTTGACATTGTAAAAAACAACTTTGGTTGAGCTTGACATTTCAGATCTTGGCTAAAGAGTTTCTTCTTTTTTTTTCGGGAAGGTGCTCCATTTTTTTTTTGTTTGTTGTTGCATATCTGTCTAAGTACCTTGACAACATTATTAATTCACTTTTAACAGAAAAACTTATAATGACTGTAAGACGATATTCAGTTTCATCCAATGCTCCCCCCAAAACCAAGAAAAAACAAACTCTGAGCCAAGTCCTGGAGGAGGTAGAACTGAAGGAGCAAAATAATGAACGACTGCAAGGGAACAGCCCTGGAGGTGGGGCACCTGTGTTGACAAATGTGCTGCAGGATCAGTCCAGCACAAGGCCTCCCAGCAGCTTAGCAAAGGAAAAGCTCTGCAACAGACGGTCTCTAAAGGAGCACATTCACAAAAACAGGTAAGCCTTATCTCATGAAGTTAAAACACATGCACGAGGTTGAATATAGAAATGTTCTCACGTAAATCACTTTTGTCCAAACTGAATCATCACAGCCAGAAATTAAGCATTTCCAAATTAAAACTGAGATAAGATGATGTAGCGTTACTGTACATTTACTGCAAACAAATCTGTCATGTCGTGCCGCTGGTTACAGCCTTGTTCCGAATCTGTTAGGGGTGACACTTAAAATGTCTAAGTCAATGGACCCCACAACAAGCCTGGTTATGTAGCACAATGCAAGTGAGCGATCCTGTCCACCTCAAGGAGAAGATTCCTTCAAGGTGGGAATTGATTAAATGGCAGCCTTGAGGAAAGTTGGTCTGTGGATGAACAGGAGCAGGAGAGTGGAAGTCTGAGGGGAGACACTGCTGTTCCAATGCTGAGCAGAGCCCTTGACTCATATTGCTTCATAAAACAGCCAACTGTTTAAATGGGTCCAAAGGTAAAATGGTTTAAATACAAGTGTCAGCCAATTAAACAAAATGACTATTTTTCTGATTTCCTATTATATAAAAAACGAATTGACAAATCAATAGTTGGCCAGTCTCTTGTTGCCTGGATGTGTGAAGGGCTCCCTGACTATAAGGACAAGGCTGGAAGAGGCCCCTTAATTAGACAGAAAGTGCATGAGTGAGTGCTCTGAAGATGAGATACTGCATTCATATGAAGGAGAGCAGATATGGGTGAGCCTGGTGTTTGACCATCTCCCAGACTTCCATTTAACACTTTATTTATGATCATATAAACAGAATATTAGCTTCTAGAATTGTGCAGTTCAGATTTTCGACTATCGGTGAAGATGCCTCATATTCAAATAAGGTTTTTCTATGTACAAATATGACATGGTTAACAAGCAAGTGGAGCCAGTATTTTATGTTGTTTTCACACTGTGAAACACGCAGCATGGAAGCTAACCCCTACTGAGAAGCTCCATTTATCCACCGCTCAGTTCATAGCAATGAGCCCTGCCATTGGTCATCTCAACACTGAACAGTCTTAAGCCCTCTTGTTGTGTAAAACCGAATGGGAATAGCTGACTGCGTGCTAATGTTACTGAATACTAATTAATGGAAATAATCAAAACTGAGCAAATTGGTGTAGTTACCAACTAATTAAACCACTTAAGAAGAAGAAGTAGCTGGAAAAAAAGGTACAGTAAATGTACAATTTCCAAGTTCCGTCAAACAAATGGCAGCTTGTCACAAAAATAAACGTAAAATCTTCTTTTCACATGTCTTCTATTGATGTAAATTATGGAGACAAATGCTAGGACATTTGTTATAAGGTTTTATTTCCCCCCATTAATTCTGGAAGTTCAAAACGTTTCTTACAAGAAAGTATCGTAACACTGTAAATGGTTTATATTCAGAATGGTTTCTGAATTCATTTACCTTTCACACATCTGGCCAGATTTACAGTTGTGGAACATTTACAGTATAGGGAAGCAAAGTATTGTTCCATTTGAAGTAACTAAGTAGCAAATGCTTTGAATTCTTTTTTCTTCTGTAAACAGGACAAAAGTGAAATCTGTCACATTCCTTCTACCAGTAGAAGATTCCAGTACTACTGACAACCACCGCCCAACAAAGAACTAACTCCGGGATCAGAATTCTGGTGGTGGAAAAGGATTTGTAGAGGGGGAACGTGACTGACGTTGTGTGTGATTCTGATCACTGAAGGCCCCCGTTTTTATAGGTCAGCTAGAAACAGGACTTTATCTTCATTGACCTGAATTCCAAAGATCAAGTTGCAGATTTTATTACAAACCCAAAACAGGCAATTGTTCCCTGGCACCAGTATCTGGCTAACTGTTTCATCTACCTCTCCAGCTTGCTGGAACTTTAATCATTTCAGTGGCTCAGGTGTCTTATGTGTGAAGCCTATTTCTCTTTCTTAAGAAACACAAGATCTCAGCTGAGAGAAACATTTTGAAATGCTTCCATATCTCCCTGGAAATAATTTGCACAGACGTTCATTTGCTTCCCGGATAGAAACAAAGGTTTCTGCCTTTGTTACAGTCAGGATTTTTTTTTTGCTAGTTTGGAAATTTCCTTGGCTGTTCTTAACTCAACCATGATGAAATGATTCTTTAAGTACTTAGTATTTCATAACTGACTGGATCATTTATTCATTTTCCAAAAAATGTTTTGAAGCGCAAAGGTTGTTCCCTGTGATAAAAAAGGCATGGAAACACAATGGGTAATGTTATGTTCTAAAATATGTGGAATGTTCTAAAATATCTGTATTTCGTTCAGTTTGTTTTCTCTTCACTAGAGATGGTTAGTTGGAACTGCATTAATAGTATGGGGCATATTTTATTCATATACAGCATGTTACATGACTGATGCAAAAAATCTACGGGCTTCACCAGGCATATCTTATTTTTGCTAACTCAAACTAAATGACATGACACCTCATCTTTTGGAATGTTTACCTCTGTAAGTCTGAAAGTCATTTTGTCCCCTTTTCAGCACTTTACCTCTTTATTTCTTGAATATTCACCTTGTTTAAACAAAGATTTCCTATGTTCAATTATATTTATACCACAGCGGACTAGACCATCATGTTTTCTGTGTTCTTTTCTCTGCTGCACTGTTAGAATGCTTTGATTTTTCAAAGTAAAATTTCAAAAGCGTAGTGTTATGAAGTAACAAGCTCACCTTATTGCAAGGGCTGTCTGCAAGTCTGTGTATCTGCAACTCGGACTGTGTATCAGGATGATTTCTATTTTCTGTGTATAAATGTACAAATAAGATACAAACAAAGTGTAAAAGTCAAAGAATGTAAAACAGATTTTTATTTTTGTAACAGATAACCATGAGCTCCATTTCTGATAGTGATTTTAGATTTTAGATGAATAATATACAGGAATTATTTCTTCCACTTTATGGGGCAGAATGCCTGCTGCTGTTTGTGCAATACATTGTAGTAAGAGCTAATAATTCATTTTTGAGATAACACAACTTTCATTAAACGTTATACAATTTTAAATACACATCTTTTAGACCTCAAATGTGGCTACAAAATACAGAAGAAATGTTGTTAAAAATATATGGAATTTTGTAATGTGTACTGTATATTATATTTCTGTTCCAACAGTAAGAATAAAATTGAAAAAAATATTCTTCCGTTTTTGCATTTGTTTTTTCTTTAGGGTAATTTCCAGACCCAGGGCTATAACAGTCCTTTACACCAATCTGTGTATACTGTAGCTGAGTTTAGAAAGTTCCCCAAAATATAAAGTCTCTCCTCTTGGAGTTTGACATCCTTCGAAACATTTTCAACTCTCCCCACAGGGCTGTGACTAATTGGACTTTGAAAGTTCAAAATCACCAAGTAAGTTATTCGTCTTTCCATGAAAATAATGCTTGAAGACAATTTCTTTATGTGGCTGGAAATTACAAATAGTTTTTATCCCAAATCTAGAAAACACTCACTATTGCACAATTAACAATTACTCCGGCTGCTTCTTTTAACTATAGGAGAAGTCTTTGGAGTGCTCGAGATTTTAGTGGAAGTTTTGTAAACCTTTTTTCACAGTGTTAGAAAGAAAAGCTCAAGGCTTATAAACCTACTTTCCATACAGACTACAGCAGCACACAGAAATTTGATCTCACTCGCTTGCTGGCAGATCTGCTGGTGCCTGGTTCTGTGGCTGCTGGCACTGCTGTCTCCAGTGAAAGCTGATAAGGGTCATCTCGTGACTGCTGGTCGCTGTGGAGACTTCCATAGCTTTCTGAGTCACGTGTTTTGCCTGTAAACAAATGTATCTCTTTTGGTAATGTACTGTAACTAAGTTACTGAGTCAATTCAGGAGAATGGGAATTCACACAAAACCAGAATGTGTGCTTTAACGTGTCACTTAGATATATTCTAATCAAGGTACATGGATGAAAAATGTCTCTGACACCTTCCTGCCGTCTCCGTGTTTAATGACTGGCTGGCTGTAGAATCTCAGAGCAGGGAAACCAAACAAGGCACAACACAGTCAAACCAATGTTCACAATTAAAACGCTCTTCCAAAGCAAACCAAATCAGCATTGCGACGTGCACACAAAGGCGTCGTTAAAATTATCTTGACCAAATTCCACACAGTACCTGTTGGCATATTTACTTAAGAACAAAATGAGGCCGGAGGATCAAAACGAATGTGAATTTTTCCAATAAGAATACCTGTCAGGTTTTTAATCTTCGGGAACGTTTTAGTGGGAGGCTGAACTTCAGCTTCTGCGGGGCTGTCTGAGTACTTCATGGCAACAGTGGGGCGACGGTCTTTGCTCAGAGGCCTCGGTATACCTTAAAAACAAATTGGAGACGTCAATGGCCTGTAAGAAGAACAGTCATTCTAAGCTCCCTGGACTGAGGACAGAGAGAGGCTTCCAGGAAAATGTGCACTGGTGGTCATAAACACAACTAATTACTGAAAGTGCCTTCCCACACATAAATTTAAGTATTTTTTTAATTCTTCGATTTGACCTGAGGTTTGTGCAAGTCACCACATGTCGTGCTGGTAAAAAGTTGTACTGTTTTGTATCGGACCTTGAGTTCCCGGCCTTCTTAAAGCCTCCCGCGTGAGCTCATGGAAGGAGTGGGCAGATTCCCGGCCAGAGTCCGATTCCCTCAATGGTCGGCCCATGATCTCGCTGTCGGTGGCTGTGAGGTTTCCAGCCAGGAAGTAGGTGTGCATCTTCCCTTTACCTTTCACTTCAATTTCCCCTCGGTCAATGACTTTAAAACCTTTATCCTTCAATGCCCTGTAAAGGAAAAAAAGAAAAAGGAATTAAATCAATGTATGTTAAAATACAGCTTCTATCTGATTTGAGCTTCCATGATAGGATTTATCAATAAGACTCCAAGAATTTGAACTCCACGGGTACGTTTTGTGTAATAAGATACTACTAAAAACAAGAATTTCAGTGTTCCCGTTTTCACATTATTTCTATTTACAGAGATGTTTAGCAGCAAAAGGGTCGCTTTTCTTAAACGGGGAACTGCAGTCCCAATTTCTCAGGCCAGTTATGAAATCTCTGTAAAAAAGTTAATAAATCTACGTTATAGAAAAATGTCACGAATTTCAAATTAAGCACAAAATCGTGCGTTTTCTGTAAATCGCCGGGTCATCCCAAACTCCTGGTCTTGCCACCAGCAAGAGCAAGAGTTCCCATGAATTGCGACGCGAAGCAGCCCTTCCTGCTCACTAGTCACTGTAATGACTGATGTAATGCGATGTACGAGCGAATGAGTACAGGTTGTGCAGCAGCCATTTCACCACAGAAATGTTCCAATGTGATCTGGTGATCTGCATGCAGAGTTAATAAGTAGTATTTGTCAACAAAACCATTTTGAAGTCGAGCGCAATATTTCTATTGGGTTAAGAGACGTATTCACAAGCCTGCTTGTTTACAATGTAATAGGGCTGCATCATGTCACCAGAAGTTTGGAATCGCAGAATATGGGGCTGCACATACCTGGAAATGTAACATATTTTGTGATACAAACTGGAGGTTTTTCCAAGTGACAGTGTACATTTTACTTTTACTGTGGTTTGAAATGCACTGATCAATGATGATTTTGTTTAACCCTGAAATATAAAAATAGCATTGCAGTTCCTCTTTCAACATCAACATGTCTTTACTCCTAATCAAATGTAGGTACAGAGTATTGAGGCAATGTCATATGGTATATTAAATGATTAAAATAGAAAAGGGAGTGTCTCTATGTAAAACAGATTTTTAAATTTATACATACGGTATACTGTAATTTCCCTTCTCTTTTCATTAACTAAAACAGAGAAATAGGTTCTTAGATGACTATAGCCCCTTTTAGATCTGTACTTCAACCCAGATTGTGACCCTAACCTAAATCAAGACACAATAGCAAGAGGGTAGGCTGAGCAGTTTAATCAAATGGGGTTCACCAAGCACTAGAGAGTGCTTGAGATTAATTACACATTCTAGATCCTTTAAAAACATTCCTGCCATGCTTGACCTTTCTCCTGTGGAGATGGAAGAGTCTTCTTGACAAAAGTGCTTAACCAAAAAACCCATTTTTCAACCCGAATGCTTTTTATGTTCTCGTTGGTGCATACAATGCTATTGCAATCATAATCTTTGCAACACTGAAAGTTTTTACAGACTATTGTCTGTGTAGACTCTATATTGTATTACTGTGACTGTGCTACTTTCATGACAATAACTTACACATTTTTTATACACTTGCTGAATAACCTGGCTAGGTGATGTCACACACGAAAACCTTTCACCTGGACTGCCAGTGAGTAGATTGCATCATGGGAAAAAGGAGCTCAGGTATTACTGATCGGGATCAATAAAATGCCACAAACATTTTAGAGGTGAGAAGTGAATTGTAACTATTATCTTCTTAAGACAACCTGAAAAAAATAAGCATTTACCCGCTTGTTTCCTTTAGACATTGAGCATTTTATTTTCCCTGGGGACAAATTCTGGGGCAATGTGCCCAGTCCACAATAAATTAATAGCAGTTACAAATTTATCCCCCAGGAAAATGAGGACTTTACATTTTTGATATGGTAAAATCCCCAAATCATTATCTCAGTCATGGCTAATACACCATGCATTCCCACAGGATGATCTGAACAGCACTAAATGCTCCCGAGACACAGATTGTTTTCACAGCAGACAGGAACGCAGCTTCTTACCGATGTGCACTGGGGCTCAGGTGGATTCTGTTGGGAACACCGTGGCTTTCCATCCGTGAGGCTGTGTTCACCGTGTCGCCAAACAGGCAGTACCGAGGCATTTTTTCACCCACCACCCCGGCGAGCGCCGGCCCGGTGTGCAAGCCCACCCGAATCTGGGGAGGGCGTGAAACAAAAACGCACACACCGTCGTCCGTCCGGAAAAGACAGCTGATTGATCTCACAACGTACCAGGTTCACGGGTACACGAGTAGACAAAAGGCAAAATGAGCAATCCTGACAGTAACAGGCTGTGAATGGCTACCACATGATCATGCTATTCACCCCAGGTTACTAAAGCCTCTTCCTCCAGATCCCAGTAGGGGTTCAGATCACTCAAAACTGTCACCAAGAGCACTGTTTTACAGCTCCAAACCAAGTGAATTATAAGTATTACTTAGACCTCTGTGCCATTCATCCCAAAAGATCCCCAGTTCTTTTTCTCATCTAGGAGGGGTCCCACTTCGTGTAATACCCTCAGCAGGCAGTATACACCAGTGACCCCACTACACAGCAAGTCAGATGGAGCAGTGAGAAAACACCTTCCATTTCAGAGTTAACATCCCAACTCTTGTGATTAGTGCCAGGGAATGTTTTATAACCAAAGGATCAGGATATTAATTGCTTATCCATGGGATGGCACTTCCCATAGTACAATGTGCTTTGTAACCATGTGGGGCTTTGGTTTGTAAAAGCTGGTCCAGAGGCATGGGCACCACCCACTTTGACCAGAGAGGCACTTGCAGCAGGAACCGGATTTTGAGGTCTCGACATGACCAGGTGAGGTCCCCGCTGACTGCTGGTCCTGGATTTCCCACCACGTCAGGATTCTCCTACTGGGATCCTTAAGCTGCCACCAAATGTAACATGAAGGTTTAGTTCTGATCAACATGTCACCCAATAAAGCATGAAAATAAATGAGGAAATTTAGACCTAAGTAAAACTATTATCTTGTGTGTGTGGGTTGGGTGGTAGGAGTGATAGGATTTTAAAGGTCACGTGTAATTGAAGCATGGTTTGAAAATGAATTAGAGCAAAGTGACTGGAATACAAAGCTCTGGAGCATGAAGTCTGTTCCTGTTCACAGTTCTTACTTGGATAGGATCCCCTGTGACTGGGTTTGTCACTTCTCTGGCTGCGATGATCATTCCCAGCGCAAAATTGGCCACGCGTTCAGCATGACTAGACACTGGGATGGGCACCCCTCCAACCACCATGTAGGCATCTCCAATGGTCTCCACCTACGACAAAGCACTTTTAGGACTGTGTTTTATCCCTAATCATTTCCATTTTAAAGCATGGTCCATAAGAATTTCTTTTTACTGCTAAGGCTGCTGCACAGCACAAAATGCCTCAAGAATTTTTAAATGTATTTTATTGAGACTCTGGGCCAATTTGATTATAAATATATAAAAAGTTTCAATAAAACTGAAAAAGTGATGGTTGAATCATAATGAATAACTGAGATTATGTTAGTGGTTGCAAGAAATGGTCACACCTATACTGTATTTGAAATCACTAATCATTAGGCTAATCCTATAAAGAAATGGGAGCTATATAAAACATGGGTTATTGAAAAACTTGATTTGATTTAAAGAAATATTAGCTGAATTCATACCTTGTAGACATCATGAACAGTGGTTAACCGGTCAAATTTGAGGTACATGGAGTTCAACATGAAGACTATTTGAATTGGTTCACACTCAGAGCAGATGGTTGTGAATGTCACAACATCACTGAAGAGTACTGTACACTCTTTAAACTCGCCTATAGAAAAGGGGGAAAACAACTGTATAATACCTTATACAACTCTCAACAAATGAACCAAAATACACAATAATACAGCATTAGCAAGTATGACTAGTCGCCAATGTGAACAGGTAGCAATATTTTTCTTTCTTTTTGATGCGCCTACATGTGGTTTCAAGCAGAAAAAGCCATTATAGAATGCCATTTCAAAAGAATATAACATGACACATTGGGAGTGAGACAAATGAGGACACAGCAGTTAAAGTGATAAAACTAAGGAGACTTTTCACAAAAACAGAAGCATGTCTGTAACAAGACGTTTTAAACTACACACACTGTGTCAACTGGAAACAGTCATGATTTGATTTAAAAATGTGTAAATTCTAAACCTGAGTATAGGAATCCTCTTTCATATAATATAATATTAACCTTATTGGTGGGATAGAAAAATGTATTTTCCAATACTATGCACATTTTATATAGTATACCCTTTGTGAATGTGTTGCACTCCATTCCAGAAACAGCCTGACTGTGCTAAAGTTTGTGTTGTGCTTCAAAGTGGAGCCACAACTCTGCTTTTCATGTGCTGACTGACACATTGCTGCAGGCGCCTGGAGCTAACATAACCCAGATCTCATCAAATATGTAGGCTTCTGTGGAACATTTGAGAGATTATTAGACCATAGTCTTATGGATAACTTGTTTCTTTCATTGGAGTCAGGGAGTAGGTGAGCTTTGTTTTTGAAGGAGACTAGGTTTCCAGTGTGAGATAACAATCTACTGATTAGCTTTCTGGCGTTCTGCGTGATGCTGGGATGTTCTCTAGGTATGCTGTCTTTTTGTCCTCCCATAATTCTGCACAATTTGCACACATAATTACGTGGCAATTTGAGTACAAAAGCAAAGTAATTGAAAAATAGGACAAAGTACATATCTTCAACTTAGTACAGTCAGGAAAAAATACATGAATTTCATTCAAGACTTTGTCACATTTGAATATGTAGATTACAGGTTCACTGTTGCTTAGCAGATTTACCTAATAAAGCCAAGAGCTACCATGCCAGGTGAGGAGAACTGTGATAACACATGAGGGCTTGTCTTCAAGGCCCTGCAAGCTTGTGCTATTGTCATCCCTCCAAATAAAAATAGTAAAGTGTTCCAATTTTGTTTAAGGATGGTTGTACTACTGCTGTAAGTGCATGATCATTCCAAAAGGAATACAGTACTTAAACAGCTTTTTTTAAAACATACGTCCAATCTAAAATTTAAATCAAATCCAGTGGCTGTTTTAGCTTAGTGCTCGGCAATATGGATGAGATACCGTGTGATGTTAGAGATGATGTGTCCTGTCTCTCAGGCCAGTGTCATTCACCTGCCTCGACTTTCTTTCCCTCCTTCAGCTGGTTGGCAACATGCCTGGGCAGCATGGCGTAAAGGAGGGTCTCCGTCTTCTTCTTCTCCTCCTCCAGGTGCTTGGAGAGGATGCGCAGCTCCTCCTTCTTGCGTTCCAGCTGGTTGGACAGCTCCATCTCCGCGAGCCGCTGCTGGTTGAGGAGGATCAGGTCTCTGGTGACGTCGTGGGGAGCGATGTCGGAGATGTGCATCCGCCTCTCCTCCAGCTCCTGTAGGCTCCGCAGGAGTGGGGAGGCCAGGTACAACATGCTCTGCAAAGAGTCCATCCACACCATCTGGCCTGGATAAGCAACCACAACACAGCAGGCTGGACAATAGGCTTCAGGCAAGACCAGAAAATTCCTGATCGGTACTGCCAGCTGAAACTACATGCTGCGCTGCAGTACCCATACATATACATATATGCCATATTGTACAAAGACGTCTGCGTTACAAAGCTTCTGTGGTTTCTAGTGGCTTTGTCCATGAAAAAAACATAAAAGAATCCCAAGGGATACAATATCAAAATTTTGTTACACGAATCCTGTGCCACTCAGTGGAACCTGAATAAGATTGTACTAAGTCAGTATTTGAGTAAAAAGTGATGGGATTTAGGAAGGACATGGACAGTTTAAGAATTAATTTGCTGAAAATGCAGATTTAATTTAGGTCAACAGCTTAGGTCAACATATGGGTTTCAAGCTTTTTTATCACAAGATGCCTTCCAAACTTACTCTGGAATGGGTGTCTCAGATTTCCCTCTCCTTTGACTTCCTTTTTCATATCCCCCTTCCTATTTTCACTATCTTTTGTTTTCCTTATGCTTATTTTCCTGCTCTGTCACTAATTCCCACACACACCTGAAGAAATTCCCACAATCAAAGTGTTGTGTTTTTAGTTCTTTTCTATTTACTTTCCAGTGTGCCATTAACTTTCATTCTTTGTCAAGGGCCGTTGTAAAATAATACCAATTACTCTAATTTTGTGAACTATCACACATTTCCCTCCTGGACTGGAATAATTTGGAGGGCACTGTTTCGATTTTTAAAATCATTTCATGTCACAGGCATTTGTGAAGACTGGTTTCAAGTGTGCTCTTCAAGCATCTGTTTGCTCAAATACATATAGGATTTCTATTAATTTTATTCATTATTAACTAACCCACAGTTAACGTACTTTTCACATGTCTGAATAAATGAAAAAGTTTAAACGTTATGTTTATTCTATTCTATACATCTTGTTTTACCTCGTAATTCTAACATTGGGCACCTCCTCCAGGATTCAGGCATCATATCTCTTTTAGTTCTCAGGACAAATTGGCTGTTGATGAACTTCCTCACACTGGATATGGTGAAAGTCACTTCTGGGTGGATGATAGTGAAATACTGGTCAAGATGAATGCCCATGGTCTGAAGTCCAGGAACAATCTTCTGAATGTTTACTCCTGCCTGTTTCACCCTGAGCTGAAAACAACCAGCATGAAAAAAAATGCGTTTTTTCCTGTTATTTGTTCTAAAGGTTCTTAAGAAAAAATGTGGGCCATCTGTACTATTTCATTCACATACATTTATTATAATCTAAATATTTTCCCTGTAGCTTAATAAATATCATAAATCAATTAAAGAGCAGATTCTTATCAGACTTTTTGTGATACATGTAAGTAAATGTATCTTATAGTAGTCTAACTGTCTTTCTCTCACAATACTATTTGTAAGAGCGTGTTTCAAAACTACTTAATAAACTAATCAATACCAAAGGAGTAATCAACTAAAATGGTCTCAGATTGGCTAATTTCCAGTATGTATACAATATGCAGTTTGGCATATGTATACAATATGCCAGTTTGGAAAAGCAGAAAAGCAGGTAATTAAAAACCAAACATACTGTCATAAACAACTCCCAATGGGCAATGTGAGTTTACAGTTTGTACACGTAAATGTATTTTTACAGCCAGATTTGTTTATTTTTTATTATTCTTTTCTTTTATAATGGTTGACGCATGCAAATTAATCATAATTAAAGAGAATTATAAGAGCAAGCCTTATTTATGCAAGCTATTAGCCTGTAGCTTCCATGAAGACTGCATGCAAATGTGACCCAGTTAGTACTATTTAAGCAAAATTTGCATTGTGCAATAAGCAAGGTGCTCTTTGGAGACAAGTTACACATACTACACTGCAACTGCATCTTTAAATTGGCATACTTTTCTATTAATGCAAAAGAAAGTGACTTACCTCCTCGTCAAACACAATGTGGAAGGGGAAAGCATTACAAAATGTTTTTAAATCTATGCACAGTGTTTCTGGATAAACGGGCTCAAATCCTCTCAAGAGTTTGCCTAGAATTAGAAAAGAAGAGCTGATTTGAGTTCAGGACTACCACACGGGTGGGGTGAAATTTTGTGAAAATGCACTTTTGGTGTGCAAAATTTTGTTTTCATTCAGATTGGGTTTTATGTAAACGTGATTATAAAATGATTTTTTTCAGTTTCTACATACAATAAATAAAGAACGGCAATAAGACAAAAATATCGCCAAACAAAATATACAAAAGCATTTAAAAGTTGTAGCTATGTTTGCAGGTTCTGTACTATTTCATTTTGTAGTTGTTTGTTTCTGCTGTTTCCATTTTGAGCCGTTAATTGTTTTTGTTGTCAAAATACAGTATGTCAATTTGTTTTCAGTAAATGTATTCATGCATCAGTTTGATTACCATTTTATATTTTTTCACCAATTATGCAGTATGTATGACTACTATCCCATCCAGGGGGCACTTTCAGCTTGTGTCCTGGGTCTGCTGTGCTACACTCTGGCTCATGTGACCCTCTATATGTCCTGGAGAAAGTCCTGGGTGGATGCATGTTTAATATGTGCTGCATGAAGTTGGTATTAGAAGTAAATCGAACCTTTGCCCAGCTTCACAATTCCTCTGACGGTTTCCCAGTGGTTTTTCTTCATGGGACACGCTGCAGTCTGATTGTCTTTGCTTCTGATTCTGTGCATTGATTTTTCAATATCCTAAACAAAAGCAAAACCCAACATGAAAAAGAAAATCCTGATTTTATCTGGGAGCTGATTTTTCAAATTATCGAACATCAGTGTCCTTGGATCTTGGAATGAAGGAAATCTATTGGAACTTTTTTTCACGGGCAAAGGTACTTTGACAGGTCTGCACTGCTGCCTCACGGTGGTCCTGGAACCTGGTTTTGATTCTGGCCTGGGGCATTTCTGTGGAGTTTGCATGTTCTCTTCAAGGTTGTGTGGGTCTTCTCGGGCTTCCTCCAACAGCACAAAGCCATGTTGTCTAGGGTAATTGATGTCCCTCAGTTGTCCCCTGCCAGTATGTGAATAAAGCCCGTGGTGGGCTGGACATATCCTGCCTTGTGCCCTTTGTCTGCTGGGTTAGCCACCAGATCCAGCCATGTATTAGACTAGGTGGTTATTGAAATGGATGGATGACACTTTGGTACTTTGAAAGGCTATTAGTAAGGGATGCCTTGATAAAACTTTTAAAAGCAGCTTTGCACAGCTCTATCTCATTATTTATTTCGGGTTCTTTAGCTGTTCCTGGACCCCAAAATCAGAAAACCGTATGTCAGCATATTATAACTCCATGCGTGTCAACTGATTTTTTTCATAAGAAGGAACCAGATATGAAATATCTAGCACCTGGTTTTGGCTGGTACTCCAGCCCGAGCTAGGTAACCCTGAAATGGCTCCATCTTTCCTTTTATGTCTGCAAGAAAAAAAATCTTCAACACAGCTTTCTTAAATTATTAACTATTAAAGATCACTGATTATAAACAAATTCTATCTACACACACTGCACAAGTGCAAAAGAAACCACAGGCAGCGGCTTTATCTGTTCAATCTGCAAATTCCCATGTGTCACCTCCAGAAGAATGTGCTGCTCTGAGCTCCCCTGATTAATTAAGCATCAGTCATCTCCAGAGTTATTTCATACTTCATATCGCAAAAGACCTGCAATCACATCTCCTGATTTATGTTTATCAGTCAACTGCAACTGAAATCAATGTGTCGGCTCGGGGGAGATTCCTGGCTGTTAACAAAAATGTAATCAACACCACCATTAGAACAGCCAGAGACAAGACTGTTCATTAGCTAGATGCATCGCTCCCCTTGCAAAAAAAAAAGAGCCTGTTTTCTAGTTCCAGGTGTCAGGCAGATCAATTTATGTGTGTTTTTTGCCTAGTTCCAGCAAGAACTGCTTTAGTTAAAAGCATAGCGTCAATGCATCTATTGGCTTACTAGATATGTGGCAACAGATACTGTACAAATACATTTTAATCCAGTCAGTACAGGGGAATTATGCAATCTAATCAACTTTTGAATTTTGCTATTTAGACCTAGCTTGAGTTGGGTCACTTTTATTGAGAGTGGGCTATTTTGCTAAGCCAGAATGCAGGACTTGGTCTTGTATTTTGCGGAATTAAAACATGGTGATAAAAAAGTTTAATTTATCCTGATCCAACATACTTGTGATGATGATGATTCTTTTACTTTGTGTCATTTTCTTCAGTGGCCTTCCAAAGATGTACAGTATAAAATGGTAAACATGAGCAGACGTGGGTCTGCCTAAATGTGTGTTCAGATGTTCTTGTGTGTTTTCAACTGAGCACAGCGGGATGAGCTACAAAACAGATGCATATAACGCACAACAAAAAGACTATAGTTCTGGCCTGTGAAGCCCTGTGCAAAGGTTCTGACAGTCACTAATTACCTCTTTGTTCAACTGCTTTTCACTTTGTCGGCGAGAGTTTGCGAGGTATTGGGGAGTAGCAGATAATTTGCTCCGTCTCTTGTTTGTAAAGGCTGGTTTTTGAGTCACAAGGAAAACTATATGTTCCTTCTTCCCCGTCCTTTCCTCTTCTTCCATTTGATTCACTATTTCCATTGTGATTTCGCTGTTGAAAAAGTCTTTTGCCACAGCTCCAATTATGCCTGTTCAAAAACAGAAGAAAGGGGATGTCTTTTGACAGGATGACGTCAAAGGAAGGCACTTGCTTTAAGAGTTAATTGAGTAATGTTTCAGCTATATATTAATGAATAAAATGCCCAGATATAGAAAGTTGAAAGAAACAAATGTGTAAAATGAAGTTGAAGAAAACTGTCCAATTTTTTCTCAATGCATTCAAAATGTCAAGTGTGCCCCTTTAAGTTAGAATTAAATGGAATTTAAATGATCTAATAAAAATCCAGATTTGCCCCTGGGTTAACACTGAATGCAAGAAAGCATTCTGTGGCAAGTGGAAAGCCTTGGGCAAGCAGTTAGCAACTGACTGGAGGGCTGATATTCTGATTCCAGGCCTGGACGAGAGAGGCACTTAGCTGTCGGACCTGGAACAATGTGACACAGCCCTCGTCGATCGGAATAGTAGTGCAAGTGCATTGTGCCATCTTCGATTTTCTCCACTCTGAATGAGGGAGCATTCATCTCCTAAAATGTAAAACAGGTCAAGTGGAAAAAGGGTGAATAGGAGAGCCCTTGAGTAAGTAAAGATAGAGCTTTTCACTACCCTCGGCATCGAAGTGCCTGTTAGGCCATCAGTGAAACAATCTGCTCATTTCTTTCAAACCGGTTGCCTAGCCCTTACATACAGATGTCTGTTTCACTCACATGACAGAGGGCTCTAGTCCTGAAACAAATTGTAGGATGTTTTATCTAGTGATTGTTATCTTTTCACATGCAGTGTTTAAACATTTAACTCTTGCTACGTTCCTATCACCAGAAAGATAAAAAGTAGCATGACGAGCAAGTGCGTTCAGAGAATTGGAGAGTATTTCTCAATTCAGCACACACACACACTGAAGACATCAACTGGTACCAGAGCAACTGATGTAATCCCACCACCCAGTTTGTACTTGATGTATTAAGTGCAACACTTCACATCAATGTACATGTGAGGCATTGACATACCTGATAAGAGAGGGACAAGTAGCTGTGTAGTGCATCCAGGTTTTCGATAAAGTCAAAAAGGTTGCCCCCTAGCGTCCTGAGCATATGGTCATAGCCAGATCGCTTGCAAAACTCAAAGAAATACTCCCCAAACTGTTTCAGGACAACATCGGGTGCAACATCTTTAAGAAAGAGGGAGAGAAAGTCCAAGTACTCATTTGCTTTAGTATTTCTAACAGCTGAAACTATACCTGAAACTTACAATAAGTCCCATTAGAAGAATACAGTATATTGTATAAAATAATATAACATTTGAAGTTTATTTTTTGAGCAGGAGTCAAAAACGCTTTGAATTTACATGTTGTTGTTTCTCCCTCATATTTGGAAATACACTATATTGGAATGGCCAATGTGGTAGAGCAATTATTTCCAAACCCAAATATTCATACCATTCCTTCAATGCACAATTTTGGTTCCCCCTCATCAGATACTGGAATTTTAAGCTCCATTTGTAACACAGTTTCCCTTTTAATGGAGGTTCTTCAGAGCAACCCGTAATTTTTGCTGTCTGTTACAGGTGCTGTGAATGTTTATTTTACATTGAGGTGTAATGTATAGAAAACACAGAGATTTAGTCAAATGTATCCTCCTTTCTACTGTTTCCATCTTACCCAAGAGTTTGCAGGCCTCTTCTACTAATCTCATTGTGATGTCATCTTTGTACACCTCAAATGTCATAAATGTATCCTGAACCCCAGCTTCATGCCTGTAATGCAAAAGAAAGAAAAGAACAAAGCAAACACTATGATCCTGACCACTATTCTGTACCTGGCCTATACTCAATAAAGTGTCAAAGCGCTGCCCTTATCTGGTTAATGAAAGGTTCCAGCTCAATAGCAAAGCAGTGGCCAGTTAGTAAGCTCCTTCCTTTAACCATGAGATTTTAAAACATGATGGCTGTTGTCCATAATACTTTACAAATATTCAGAGTTTAGATTTTGTCCATGATGAAAATGGTTAGGAATATACTTATATCTTCAAGTCATTCAGTCTAATATTTTGCAAAGCTTTGTACCACCAACTGATAGTTGTCTTTCATAGCAACGGGGTTCTTTTTGTGTGGAAAACGACCAGTTAACAGAACAATAATCTTGCTAGCTAATGCCACCTTAAGAGTCCTTATTGTACTATTTCATTAATTAAAATGTTAATACAGAGTAATCTTTAAGGTAAAAGACAACATCAAGAGATATTTAATTTTTATAAATGTGTACTCCTTCTATGAGGTAATCCCTCATAAATGAGTCAAAGCTGTGCAGCAACTAATTGCCATAATTATGTTCCATTTTATTTCTGTTTAACACAATACTTTATTTAGTTGTCTACAATAATCTGATGGAAATTAAATTAGAACTAAATACTCTTGCTTTGATCGACTCAAAAGGCCACACAATCCATTTTAAATGTGCCTTAGCAAGGATAACAATAATGCCTAATCGTGTTTCAACCTCCTGCTTCATTTATTAGAACAGGGCTTTCAAAATTAATACATGGATTTTGTGTAACTTAATCACTTAATTAAAAAAAATCCACAAAATCTACTTGGTGATTTCAGGTTAAATAACACATCAGCTTTTTATCATCATAGTTATTTACAAAATATTCTCTGTTAAAGTGATAATGAAGTATTAGTCTTTTAGGCAAACTCTAATAGTTTTGTGAATGTTAAGGAATGTTCTCAGATGTATGCCATCAAGAAAACTGAAATCTGACATATATAAAGGTAGCAAAAAAATCAATGAATATTTAATCAATCCTATGTATTAAATGCATCTTCTCTTTCCCGGAAGTGTAATGAAACATATGGTCCCCATAATATCAGTCATCAAACATGAACTGAAGCTATCACACAAATTCTCAAAACAGTGCTTTCATACCCTAAAACTGTTGTTTCTATTGACAATGGATGAAAAAACACAGTGCTAATATTTGATGCACTGTGTCTTAACCACTCAAAACGCTTGCTATTGCCAAACCTATATTTTCCAATTTGCAAAATCCTTGAAGAAAATGTTATCATTTTCTCCAACTGTCACAGATGCCATGTCACTATGTCATTATTTGTAATACATTATACTGCTTAACAGCAAGATAATTTTTATTAAAATAAATATATATACAGTTAAAATCCCATGAGGAGATGTGTTGCACTGCCAGCAGGCATTAAAGGAATTGAAGAGGTATGGCGAGCTAAGAGACAAACCAGCTTTATCAAATTTTATCTGAAATTGCAGCCAACAATCATGATGCATAAAAAAGCAAATATCTTTGTCCAGTTGTTTACGGTCATGAAGATCAAATCAGCACTTCCAATCAACCAATATGTCTTTACAAGGTAGAACTATGGTTTCAGCAACGTAAGTATCCTTTTATCCAGACAAAGTACGTAAATAAATTTGGTCCTGAAAAATTATCTTACTGGTACTTTGTAACACAAATATAAAACAATATTGAACTTGTGTTGTGCTGTACATCAGCGATTAACCAGCATAATGAATATCATCTACGCCACCTTCTGGTTGTTCAATAAAGCAGCAGTTAAGACAGCATTACCATCGAGCAAATCATAGGTCTTCAAAGACTCACAGTATGGTGTAGGAAAGAGTTACTTAGACGAACTGTAAAATCAATGTAAAAATTACCTTAGCTTCTCCCATGTTTCTTCTCCGAATTTGTCAATTACCAAGGATTTTAAACACGTGTTAATAAATCCATACTACGAAAAAAAAAAGAAACAGACTTTTTATTATGCCGTTTTTTACACTTTTACACTGTATTTTTGCTCGTAGCCCTGGTTATTCCATCTGTACTTTATAGATCAACGAGGTCAACCCATCTGTACTTTATAGATTTGTATAATACGAATTTGTTCTGTAATTTGGATAGTTAAAAATAATTTACGTTGAAAACCAAATAATCAAATAATGTTAGCAATTAGCACAGTAGGCGAGGATCTTTACAAACCATTTAAACACGAAGAGATTAAGAGATGTACTGCGTAGTGTGGTTCATTAATACAAGCAGGACGACACTGAAACGCATTCAACCTCTTAGAATGAAAATAAAATGAAAAATATCCCAGCATTTGTTCTCATACATGTCTAATGTCTATGCTCAAATTCTTTGAATACGTTAACTAAAATCAAATAAGCCATCTCAATAAACAACTTACCATCTCCAGAAGACAATCGGTGATTTAGTTCCATCCAGTTTGCCAAAGATGAATGACTTGGGTATTCGTTTTGTTTTTCTCCTTCACACTAGTAACATTGCAAGTATAAACTGACAAATCCAATTCAAGAAACTATACCTTAACCTTCCTTTGACTGAAGGAGACCTCGGAAAAAAGTAGTGCACATTTTTTATCCTCAAAATACTGTTTTGTTGTGGTGATTCTGTTTTTTTTTTCCCGCAAAAGCGATTTTAGATGGATTTGTATAATAACATATTAAGGCTCCTATTCCGGTACTCCACAGTCTCGCAGAGTAAAAAGTGTTGATGGATTTGTGAGAACAGTCTTTTGAAAGAAAATCACAGATCTGTCAATCTGCGATTTCCGCCGGTCTCTCCGGATTCAGGCAATACGCCAGAACGTTGCTTACTATACGTACGCTGTCCACTTAGCCGAGGTGCTGAAATAATTTGAATGCGTGACCCAAGGTGAAGATAACTCTAGGGGCTTTTTTTAAAACGGGTAGGTGCCATGTTTTAAATAGCTGTTCTTTCTTTGCGTCTTTCTTTCTTTAAAGCGCTGCCTTAATCTAGACTGGAATGCTCTAGTAAATTTCTTTTTCGCACAGTCTGTTAATAAAATCCCGTGTATTTAATAACGAACAATAAGTTTTGGCAACTAACGATGATGGTGACACTTTCATCGCTTCTTGAACTGCTTAAGACTACCTGTAAATTGCAAGTGTTATAGTAACGACGTGCTCCTGAATTCTGAATTCACATTGATCATTTGCAATTCCTTGGTCTGAAACAGGACTCCCATCGTTAAGAGGTTCTTAGACAAAATATAGACTCATGGTCTATCACTGTCATGAGAGCTGACTGTACACGACCTTACCCTAAAAATCAACGTACTGTACAACCAGTCTCTTAGAAATCTTTCCAAAGTCATTAAATCAAGCTGTGGGTAATGCAAAGCTCAAACGCAACAGACCTCGGAGGAATGGTCTCTCCTGTTTTTCTTCCATCTGCCCAAATTCTGCAAAACTGCTCTCTACAGTCATATCGTAGATACGGACGTCCATCTGCAGTGTTAATCATAGATTTACTATTGAATAATAACTCGGTTTCTTTTTTTAGTAATTCTTTAATGGGCCATGTTTCCTTCCCATTTTTGCAGCAGGTGTGTAAGAAAGCAAAATGAAGGCCTGGAAGAGATAAAAACTTTAGCACTCCAGTTGCGGTTGTTTGTAGGCGCGGGGTGGGGACAGGGGGTGTTTGTTCAATTGGCTTAGAATGACGTGCTTGAATCTGATCGAGGCTTTGCACCCTGTGGTCGGTTTCACGCTGCATTTGATCTTAGGGATTCCTATACACGGCAGCTACATCACAGGATCCAGTGCTGCCTCGTTGACGGAGGCCGTGTATGGATGATGAGTACCTGGATTATCCAGTTCCACTCCTGGAGAAGCAAAGCTCTTGGTTCTTGAGATAATTCTCTGTAATATGCTTCCCACCTCCGATATTACACAGACAGGCAAGAGCTGTCAGATCTGTAAAGGTTTGATGTATCTCAGAAAATACAAAAAATTAAAGACTGTAAATTGTCTACTACTACTGTTACTGACTACCACTAACACTACAAATATTTGCATAAACAATCGACTGGTAAACATCTCCCTCTGGCGTCGCAAAACTTTATTGCACCTCCTAACCTGGAAGAGACGATCTTGGTAATTCCGCTTCAGAATTCCACAGACAAAAAAAAAAGTATTCGTCCCTTACGTTTTATAAACAGTCATTTCTAGACCAAATTCGAAAATACAACAAAATAATTTCAAAAGTGTGGGTGACCTGCAGAGATTATTCTGCACCAGGCACCAGAAGCACAACCACACACCTGATGAAGTAGAAAAAATAAGAAGCTGTATCATCAATTGAATGAAGGGGGGAGTCCGACTGTGAAATTTGATCGTATACTGCAGAGTTATCACCTATACATTTGCGGTCGGTAGCATGGTGTGTTAAATGTGTTATCGGGACAGTGGTTAAACTGTATCTCAGATGAATGATGTCAACTTCTATAGCACAGGTTTCCTAGTACAGTACGTGTACCACATTAGTTTGGAAAGATGTTTAGTCCAGAGGAAAGAGTGCCACCTACTGGTCCACAACTGCCACTTACAGCAACAACCGTTTGCAAGTCATTGCTCTTTCTTTAATATCGGAATGATCTGTTTGCATTTGACCATTTTCTGATCAATGCAAAAATGCATCTATACATCTAGAGGATTACATATTACTTTGTGTATTGATATGCAAATTAAATAAAAGGTTGTGGAAAAAAGCTGAACACCATGGAGCCTGATGTTTTAGTATAGGGCTAAATGTATAAGAATTGCCACAGATACACCTTCTTTCCCCAAAAATTGGTTTGTATTAATACATTTTTAAAAATGCTGTTGTTCTGTATACTTCTGGGGAGCAGTTGAATGACTTAACTGGAGCCGAAAGCAATTTAAAACGAGACATCTGCTAAGGAATTCTAATTACAGGAGATATTCAAATTGACCTTCATGCCGTATCATTGAACATGTCGATTCACTTGCCTAAACCTCATCCAGCTGCGAGGAAGAAAAGTCCTCCAGGTTTCCCATGAGGAAATATCAAGGAGTGTAAGCTGATCCTGAAGGTCATTTGAACAGGGCCTTGGCAAAAACTTCACTGTCCTTTAAATAAGTTTTACAACCTAGTTTGTACATGTGTGAAACACTGTACATTGTCGACTAGAACATACAGCCCTTCATTTAGAAGTTAATCAAGGCATGAGCTCAACATTATTCATGTCTTCTTTGGTAAAAAAAGCTTAATCTCAACTTTCCAGTATTTGGACTTGCCATTGTTTGAAGTGGAACACTGAATTTTCAGCAATGCATTCTGTTTTTAAATTGAGGGAAAAAAGACAGTTCTGTTGACCAGATGGATAATGCATACAAGTGGAACAAGACTATTTGCTCTGAAGCTAATTCTAAAGGACAGCTGTGCACCTACGACTGCCACACATGATTGAAAATTGGACACTGGTTTGAGCAGGCACTTAGTCATGCTTAAAATGAAATGAGGAATTATTGACAGAACCTTTATACTACAAAACGAATCCTTAAACAAAACCTGTAAAAGCACAGATTGGTTTAATTCTGAAACTGATAGTGTTGGTGTCACTTGTGGTCATAATGAATTATTCAATTAGCTATAAATTAACAATCACAGTAATGATAGTAGTAATATTCATCTTCTTTACACTTCTTTTTGTGGGTAATAATCATCATCTTTATTTTACATAGTTCCTTGAAGAACAAGCATTTTTCAAAGTGCTGCACAGCTGTACAAAAATAACACACGTGACAGATTAAATTGGCCAAATAAAATCAAGATTAAAATAAAACGGTGCACTCTAAGAAGAAAATATAAAGAAAAAGACCTTTCAAGGATTCTTTGGAATATCCACAGTCATAGACTCTGTGAGAATGAATGCCAGAGTTGTGATGCTCCATGAAAGAACGCGTTATCATCCTCTGTGTGACACCTGTTCATAGGTAGAAGAAGATGACCTTATTTTATAGATTTCAGATGAAATGTTGAACTACACTCATGCAAAACATCCTTAAGGTAACCTGGATCTAGGCCATTCAGTCCCTTATCTGTAAGAAGGAGAACTTTAAAGGCTTCTCTTAAAAGGGTTAAATGTTGAAGCAGAGCAGTTTTAGTTAGAGAACACACCACAGAAATCTCAACATACTGATGTTTATTTAGTACCTTAGCAGATATAACAAGTTTTACAACAATCTAATATGTATTAAATATCTATTAAATAAAGGTAATTATCAATTTTTCAAAATCAGATGGAGTAAGGATCTTAACTGGGCAATGTTGTATAGATTACAATAAGATTCATTTTGTGTTGTCAAATGTCAATACAAGATCATAAATTAACACCAAGGTTTCTTTAGTCAAAGGTTTAAATTCTGCACCTTTAAGAACAACACTGAAATCACCAATTCTGCACAGCTGTTGTCAGTAGCCAAAAGGCAAGTTTAGCTTTCACAGTTTCTGTTGCATCCATGTCAGCTGTGTCTTATTAATTATAGCATGTTACTCTCGGTGTCATGAACATAACAGTGAAATCAACACCACGGTGAGGAACAGTCTAACCATAAATGTATACACTAAATAGTAATTGTCCTAGCAGAGAACTACATGGACCTCCTAGAATATCTGTGATAACATTATATTTGAAATAGCCAATAGCCATATGAATTTTAAACAAATAGCAGCCGAAGCAATGAATCCCTAATCCCTACAAACTTTTCCATATAATAATTATAATTAGTTAACAATTGCTTACACTTATATAGCACTTTTCTGGACACTCCACTCAAAGAGCTTTACAGGTAATGGGGACTCCCCTCCACCACCACCAATGTGCAGCATCCACCTTGATGATGCGACGGCAGCCATAGTGCGCCAGAATGCTCACCACACACCAGTTATCAGTGGGGAGGAGAGCAGAGTAATGAAGCCAATTCATAGAGGGGGATTATTAGGAGGCCATGATTGGTAAGGGCCAATGGGAATTTTTGGGCCATACGCTCTTGTAGAGTGCCATAGTGTAACTGACAGACAAAACTGCACTTGGGACCAGAATAAAAAAGAAAATTAAGTGACCTAGAGACTGAAACCATCAAGTCAATACCCACCATAACAAGTCTCTCTCCAAACTCAGACTCAGACTCAGAGAAGCTTCAAACAGATCATAACACAGGCATCTGAGCTATTGATTGACCAATTCAAGAATTTTGGCAAGAGATGGCATATAGGTAACAGGACTGCAGTTGTGTGTAATATTTTTAATGTCAAGGCGTTGACTTCATCCAGGTGGATGCTGCACATTGGTGGTGATGGAGGGGAGTCCCCTTTACCTGTAAAGCGCTTTGAGTGGAGTGTCCAGAAAAGTGCAATATAAGTGTAAGCAATTATTATTATTATTATTATTATTATTATTCATGTACAACTACATGAATAGGAACGGAATCTGAATGTACGTCGCATTTCTGGCCCCAAGAAGTTTGTTGACAAAACATTGGTAACAAACATGTTAAGTGCCACCGTATGAGAGTGAGTACAAAAGTGTGCCCGTTATTATATTCTCCTGCCTTTTCTTTGCGGATCATCATATTCTGAAACACTCAACCGTGACATCAGATTCCCCCCCAAACTTTTATTTTCTTAACTAGCTTCCCTTTACTGTGCGTGCGCCTCTAAGATCGCGTTCCTCGCCTCACGGTTCACCTTTCCTACGGCAGACACCCGGAGGCGTGAAACTCACGTTAAAGGTTAATATGCTGCATCGACGCAGCGCATGGCTTTAATGGTGTGTTTTTGTCTCCCGCAGATTTTTTTCCCCTCTACCTTTATCTCGCGCGAGTTTCGGTGTGGGGTAGCCCTGCGCACTGAGAGCTGTTTGTCCGCCATCACTGTGCAGAAAGAGCCGAGCACTTGGAGTGGCGGCGGCGGCGGAGTGACAATACCAGCCCAGAAAGAGGGACGTAGACACGCCGGAGAGGTCGAGGGGGCTAAACGGCATTCCCGTCGGCACATTTTCCCGCAGCTGCCCACGTAGTCTTTAATGTAAATAAAGAAACAGACGCGATCCAAACATGTCCAATCTAAGCAAAGGCGGCACCAAGAAGGACACCAAGATGAGGATACGAGCCTTTCCTGTGAGTAGTAGCCGGGGACGGGGCACCTAAGCGGGCGGGCGAGGAGACTCGAGCGCCGGGGATTCGGTCAGGGAATGGCGAAAATCAGGCCTCCCAGTTAGTAAACAAAGGCTTTGAAAATACGCGAGCTACTGAAACCTTGCTCGTGTACACGATCTTGAAATGCCTTTTTCCCCCTCTTAAGTAAAAAGTAATGTCTGGGAACAGAGGAGTGAATTTACAGTCCGACGTTAAATCTTTGTTGTTAGTGAGGCCTTCATTTTTGACACATTAATAGGTCAGTGAGCAAATCGGCAGGGGGGAAATGGTAGCTAACATTTCAGTAGTTCAGGAAGTTTTATTTTCATTATAGATCGTGATGGCATATAGCTATTTCATAGCCACAGCATTAAGCCTTACGACAACAAAAATGAGGTTGTTTCTCTTTCTGATTTCAGGTAAGTTAGCAGAACTAATTGCATGTTTAGCAAGGTGAACTTCACACCCGGAACGTAACAAAAAGTACTAAATCATCCGCTCTGTGAAGTCAGTACAGTTGCCAAAACAAGAACATGTTCCGCGACATGGTTGTCGCAGTGAGTAAATTAGTTTCACAGCAGTGTGTAGGCCTGACTGTCCGATAAAATTGTTTAATACTGAGGTTTGAATGCATAAGCGTTGTCAAACGTCGTAATGACTCGCATTGTTAAAAGAACAACTAAAATAAGGATATTTCATGGCGTATACGTCGAATTAAAAGAAATGAACGATAATCTCATAAAAATCTAGGTGGTCAGGAGAGTCATGTTTCATAAAATGAGTCACTACTAATGGTGTTAGTAAAGCAATAGTAAGGTGAAAAGATGCCTTGATGTCATGTATGTAAATCAAGGTGTGAAATGATGTCGTTAGTTTTGGGAAGCTCGATCGTTTTGTGGACTCTAGAAAAACACTGGAAATCTGTCATCAGATATTGTCTCTAACATGTCTTCCTTCAGGAGACCCTCTTTTCGTTGGGTTAGGGACATGTAGTTATTTGATGATCCTAGCATGCCAAAGTTGTCTTTATACCTCAGGAAAGCCCATATGATAAGCAAGTGTAAGGACTGGCCTGTAACTGCAGTTCATAAGTCATGTCCTGATTCGTGTGCAGCCCTTGTAAGTTGTTTTCCTTGCTAATCAGTGATTTGCTGAATTGCTCATTGCCTGCTCCTTTAAAAAAAATACTTCAGTGGCAAATTGTTTTAAAACAGATACTAGGTGGTCCTGCATTTCACTTTTTGCAGAAACATCTTGCTGTTTCTGTCTATAATTAACTGTTTTAATCTCATACTTTTGACCTCTCTTTTGTAGATCAAGGCTGAAAATTATGTAAAAATTATTAGTCTTAACATCTTAAGGTGCTTATTAAAAAATACAACATATCAGGGGGTTGAAGCTATGTTGATACATTATACCTGACTGTAATTGCTTGTAACTGCTTAAGATGTACTGAAAACTAAATGTCAAAGCAGTTGTCCAGCAGTGAGTTGGCTTCACGCAGAATTGCCTTGGAAGTGGAAGGATTAGTCCTCCGATATCTGCTGTGTAGATATTTACCAGTGGGTATCACAGGTTGCATTTTAAGTGATCTTGGCAGGGGGTATCCTAGTCCATTCCTGGATGAGAAAAACCTAATAGGAGGTATCACAGTCTTGCCAGTTCCCATCCCAAGGGTGTCTGATCTGTGCTGTTTCAGTCAACACAGTTATTTAGGGCAACACATCATCTTAGTCAAAATGTCAGTGAATCAGGCCTGCTCACATCATCTGACACTTGAAATGTTTTCAAGTGGTAGTAAAATGCAACACCCACTCCATTATTCTCTTTCCATACACCTAGTCTTGGTGAGCTACGTTTATGCTGACCAGTGTAAGGATGGTCCATAGTTTCTTCGTAACACCGGTACCATAATGTCCTATGGTTGTAGTTGCCATATGTTCCTCTTGTACTCTCTTATGCTGTAGTGTAAAATGAGTGCTGTACTCCTACAGAGTATTGGGAACACACATGCAGAATGAAATGATTTTCAGTCATTTATCATAGAATTATTGCCACAGAATAATTTTTCTAGGCTTTTAATTGAATATGGTTCTAATAGATGACTAGATGACAGTTCATACAGCATAATTCCAGTGTTAACCTGTCAAGGGAACCGATGACTGCAGTGTCTGATTTCATATTGATCAAAGCCTGTGATAAATTATCAATACATAATACCTCTGTGTTCTAATTGTATTTTAAAGGAAGCATTTTAAAATCAAGATGTGACATATAAATTACCGATTGGTGTTCTGTCATTTAAACTAGGTTTTCCCAAACCCAGTTTTGGAGGTCTGCAGTCCTGCAGGTGTTCATTCCTGCGCAACCGTTAATGGTCAAGTTTAACTAGCTTTAGGCTTGATTGGTGCAGTTCAACAAAATGTCCCTGCTCTACAGGGGCTGCTTATTTAAAGAGGTCTGTAAAACCTGTAGAAATATGACTCTCCAGGCCTGTTTGTTTGAAACCTCTGGTTTATACCATTTAGAATGTTTTGAAAAGAATTCAGTGAAGCTGAAATTGAAAGAGAAAAGGATTGGAAGTGAATTAAAGAGAGAGATTGTTTACATCTTTACATGTCACTATACCATTGCCAAATCATTTATAATCCTTATATAATTTAGTTCATTTGCAACAAAAAATCTGAGTACTCTGCAGCCCTCAATATTACAGTTCTTTTAGTTGGACATATTACTCAGTTAAACAGTGATTTATAGCGTTCCCAACCTTTATGTGAAGACAGACTATAAGATAAACTGAACAGATGGTTTCCAGCACCTGGGGTAGAGAATTTAGTCAAATCAAAATAAAGCAGAGTGAAAGTACAGTAAAGTTGAGCAATAAATGTTCAAACAAATATATTACATAATTGTACACAAACCTAGCTGTAGGACTTTAAATGTCAAGTACATGTAATGAGCACCTAAATAAATGTATCATTTGTAACTCCCAATAAAGTTACTAACGTTTTATGTCCAGAAAATCTTTTTTTGCAAAAGATTCGCTTATGCTTTATTTGATCACGCTGATATGGGTATATTCATTATGATTAACTTGAGTCATCAACAGGGTTGATCAACAAACAGCCTGCTGTGAAAATCACAAGTTAATAGCTTGTGCCCACTGCTGTTGGGGAGAAATACTAGCTGTACATGTGGTTGCAGATGCTGTTGTGGGAGGGTCTCATTCCTCTTGTAGACTCATTTCAGAGCCCTCGATGCCACACGTTATCCCAGCTCATCCTACAGACTTGCAGTAGGCCTCAAGCCTGGGGAGTAGGACATCCACTGCATAACTGTCTCATTCTCATTTTGCAAGAAAGCTGTTATTAAATGAGCAGAATTTGTCCTGCTGGAATTTGTCACATTAGGATAAGCCTTAAGTCAGGTCAGCAAGAGATCTTTTAGGATTTGATCAACATAGAACCCAGACAGTGCTATCAATTGCATCTTAGATCAGCGTGGTGACTATTGGCTTACATTTAATGATTTTATTTTGGCTGTCATGTCTTACCAGGTCCAACATTTCTAGCTAAAAAGCTGGCAAGTGACAGTGTGCTGACTTTCTTCAGCCTCCAAAATACTGGATGTATTTTTCTCTTGATAAGCAGATTGGATCCCTTCTGTGTTTTTCTAAGAACATGCACGTGTAAAGTCTTCTGGTACTCAGAATGCAATCTGGAACTCAGTGACGAGTTTCTACATATTATGAGACTAAACAGTTTACTCAAAGCTTCCAGTAGTGGTTCCTACCATTATAAGAACTTATTTATGCATGTTAGTTTGAGAAAGATGCCAGGCTTGTCATGTACATTTATCAGTATCTTTGGGAGTATAATTAAGTCTGTGTAATCATATAAAGTTTACATGATCTAGCAGTTTACCATTCTAATGTATAATTTTCTCATTGTCAGGTGCTCCTCTAAACATCCACAAAGAAATTGATATTTCTTTATATTAATAAGAAAAGAAATGGCAAAATACAGGTCACTCAGAACTATTAATTTAAAACAAAATGACCACAATTTCAAAGTATGATCAACATTGAAGTGTTCCAGCATGAAACAAAAATAACATGTTGGTCCAAAACCTTGGAAAATGAAAAATTACTATGATTTAGCATTTATGTATATTAACATGCATATCAACCTAATGAAGCTGTTAAATTTATTTAAAATGAAAGTTACAAGGCAAAATTCCCATCGGTTATAAGGAAGCTAATATGCTGAAATACTGATTTTAAGTTACCAGATCAAATGAAAGTCATGGAGTGCATTTATTCCCCTTCTACATTTGATAATCATAGGTTTTATAATAAACCATTTTACTAATCTGGGTGTGAAGGAAAGGGTGAGATTCTCTTAGTTTAGATTTTCTGGTTGCCTCTTTTGCCACAAAACAATGCCTTTGTGATGAATGTCCCTGAACTGCTGAACCCTGTAGGAAAGGACTGGTGTACCACTGTTGTCATACAGTGCCTTATCATACTGAGGCATAGTTGTGAAGGTCAGTGCAGCACTGCTTACAGGCACCGAGCTATATTGGAAATATTGGAACTTGAGAACTGTGCTGAACTTCAGTGCTTTTGCAATAGAATTCTGGACAATTGCTTAACCATGTCATTTATCTACCGTTAAATAGGGCTGGGCGATATGGCCAAAAACATTATCACGATAAACATTTTCATATCAGTCGATATTGATAATTATCACGATAAATGTCAAATCATTATTTCTTTCAAGTTTAAAGGCATATTTTTTGAGTGAAAGTTGAAGAAACCAGACAGTTAATTGGTAAATTAAACAACTCTTTATTTTAAGAACACAACAAACACTTGCCAAACAGCAGAAATATTAAACAAATCTGAGGTAGAGAGTATTCAAGTCTTTTTATATGTCAAAATATGCATGAGTAAAATTTACAAAATAAATATCTGAATAGAAAGATTAAATACTGCAGTGTGATACAACACGCATAGAAGATGGCTCAGACAGAGAGCAAAGTTTAAAGTGCTCTGTTTTATGTCTGATCGTAAAAAGCCAAAATATCTCCAAATTACCGAAGTTGAATGACCTTTTCTGTCGACGATGTCATTGTCCTTCGAGCTGGTCGTTGGCAGCACTACATTTGCTTCAGTGTCGCTCATTTCTTCACTCTAACTACAGTCCTGTCAGCCACCACCGTGTGGGTAAACACCACCACGTTAGCTGCCCAGTCTGCAACGCGCACGCGCACTCGCGCAGTATTCTGTGCGCATGTGCAAAGCATAAACATATATATCGAACATTCATCGAACTTTTGTTAAAATTATATCGCGATAATTATCGTTATCGAGTTATCGCCCAGCACTATCGTTAAAATAACCTTTTCAACTAGAAAAAAAAGATTTTTCGTAATCTGAATAAAATGATTGGTAATTCTTGCCAGCACTGTTTTTTATAGTGGGCAAAAACCTTTATGCTCTTGGTTGACTATTTTTGGTTGATTCTTTTTTCCTCATTAGTGATTGTAGAGATTGTAAGTGTAACTTTAAGACTTAATACTTAAATATAAGTATTAAGCCTGTCAGATTGTATTTTATTGGATAGCAGGCACAAGTGAAAGAACAAGTCCCAGAGTTATTGTTGTAAAAGAAATGACACTGCATTAACATGAAAATAACACTAATAATATATCATGATTAGTGAGGTATTTACCCACCTAATAAATTGCATCTGTATTGTATCTGCTGTAAACACAACTATCTCCTGGAAAAGCTACACTAAAATCCAAACCTTCGTATTGGTATTTATGATGCTCAGAATGCTTTGAGTACATGTCGGCCAGCTACAGAAAGTATTGGTGTTTCTAGACATGGTAAAGCCCCTTGGAGTTGTTCATCATTTAACTACGTGTTAATTGGCAGCATTGTAGCTCTACTCACATAAAACGTTAACAATACGCTTTATGTGTATGAAAGGGAAGTTAACGAAAACCCTGCCAAGCTATTTTTAAGATTTTTAATTTTGCTAAATATATTAGTGTTTAAGAAAGTATATACTGTTATCTTATAATCTTGTTCTCATGCAGTTACAAAAGTAGCTTGTTTTATACCAGACCTTTAAAGATGGAAGTGCAGATGGTGCAGTGATATAAAATGCCTGTACCTTATTTTGTACTAATTCAGAACGTTAATCATGTATTTTGACAGTTTCAGCTGAACCTTCAAATGTTCTTTTCAAAGAGTCCATTCTGTATTTACCAAATGTACTGTTTCCTCCAAACCTATGTTTTGCTCATCTTTCCAGGTGACAGTGCAGAAACAATCTTGGTTGAGCTTGATATAGCAGTTAAGCCAATTTTTAAATGAGACAGGCTGTTTGAACACAACATAACATTTTCATTTTAATATAGCCACATTAAAAAAAAAGTAAAACACTTGAATTACTTGACGCTTGGATTCCTTTTCTGATTCCCTTCTGCAGAGAATTCATTTTCTTTTTGGAACTTGTGATGTCATAATGGAAGGCTAGTATTTAAGTAGTCGTACTGTATGTTCTGTTTCATAATTCCCATGTCATTTTGTATGCATAAAAAATTACATGTATGTGACATGTTATATTCAATCTTAAAACTGATTTATACTGATCATATAACACATTTTGACGTTAGAAGTTCATAGGTAAGATTGCCTATCTCTGTTACGATGCCAAAGTTTAACTTCTGTATCGAGACTTGTGTTTTTGTGGGTAGTAGTAGGTTTGATGATAACGTTGTTAAATGTTTGTGAATTACCATTATGATGAACATTTATGACACCAGTGACTTCAAAAGAGTAAGATGATAATATTGGTGTTGGTTATTGTTTGAGGCTTATGGTCAGCAAATGATTGTGGATTCTTAAATTACAAGCAGTAAATACTATTGTACATCATTGCAGGTCCCTTGTGATGAATTGAGTTTTAATTCGTGTATTATTTATTTTGCTGTCTTTGTAGGACAGTGCCAATGCTTGCTTTAAGTTATTTTAGTTCTGAAAGAACTTACTTGTATCACTTCTGTTTCACAATCGCCTGGGTTTTGCATTGATTTATGTTTTTTTTTACCTTTCAAATGCAGATGACGATGGATGAAAAATATGTTAACAACATCTGGGACCTTCTGAAGAATGCCATTCAGGAGATACAGCGGAAGAACAACAGTGGGCTCAGCTTTGAGGAACTGTATAGAAATGCATACACTATGGTGTTACACAAGCACGGAGAGAAGCTATATACCGGCCTCAGAGAAGTCGTCACAGAGCATCTAATCAATAAAGTAGGAGAGCAGCTTTTAATATGTGATGCCTGAGTCCTAGTTTGAATCATTAAACACAAGGCACAGAAACCTGGGAATTACACTTATGTGCTTTTACTCTAAATTAATCTTTATATTCAGGTGAAAAAGCAACAACTGCATTGTAATGTGAAGGTATTCAATTAAGTTTATGTGCTTATTGGAGGACTTGATTGCGTAGATGTGTGTGTGGCTACGGGGGAGGAAGCCACATTGAAGACTTTTTGTCTTTTAAAACTTTAAATATATTCTTTTTCTAACGAAAATCTAGAAATTAATTTTGAGTACAACAGTACAGGAAACCACAAATGTAAGGAAAAAGTGAGGAATAATGTCTGAATTAGTGGAAAACTGACAGAACAACTTAATTTTGCAGTCCTGTCCTGGTTGACATTTTATTATAATTATTTTTAGTTATTATCAGGGTACCAAGCAGTGAAGTTGCTGAAAGACTTTAATCTTTTTTCTTCCAGTGTTATTTTCCAGTGCTCCATGAAGTCCTGTCCCCTAGATTAAAATTGTAAAGGCCTATAGGAAGTTGTTAGAGTGAAAGTTATGTTGCTGGGTTCCATGTGACTTTTGTTCAGTGATCATTTGGTTTTAGTGATAAAGAACTAAAAGACGTAGTGAAGTCTTTCTGTTCCTGTATGGCAAGGACAGTATTAGCCTTAGGTATTTTCCTATGTATCTTTGGCCTCTCAAAACCAATATGTACTTTCAGGTTGTATAAATTTTGCTTTCAAGAGCACATGGTATGGGAAGAATATTTGGGCTTATAAGTTATGCAATACATCTCCAAATTAGAATATTGTATGTCTGAAACTGGAATGGTTCCTTTTGTGGACCAGAATTTATAACTGAATTTACATGAATCAGTGCTTTCTCCAAATTCTGTTTAAATAACCTTAGAATATTTCTTACCAGAGTATTGGTAAATGATATTATTGGTGGATCATAATTTGTAGTTATATTAGGTAACATTTTGAAGCATGTTATTCAGATATATTGCCACGTCTGTTTGTCAGTGCCTTTTCTTTTCTGATAGAGTTAAAAATATAATCATGTAAGTATAAGTCAAGTAACAAACACTTTGTGGGAAAAGTAATGAATTACCAATTCCTAGGTGTTTGGAAGTTAATCTTGGAAATTTGTAAGATGCGTTAATATTATTTTTTTCACAGGTACGGGAAGATGTCTTAAATTCATTAAATAATAATTTTTTGCAAACATTAAACCAAGCATGGAACGACCATCAGACAGCTATGGTGATGATTAGAGACATCCTGATGTACATGGTAGGTTACTGGATATGGTACTTTGGAAACAAAAAGGATTTATAAAAGCTAGAAAATATTGTACTTTAAGAGGAAACACTGGTGGACATTATAAACAGTCTATATTTATTTCATTTGTAGAATGTGGGCTTAAAAGCTGCGACTCATTTTTCTAAACCTTATCCTGGCTGCATCCTTCAATCAGATTTGTTTTCTGACTAAATTTAATTAACTTTAATTGGTTTTGGAATTTATTAGGGATTATGTATTTCACCACTGAGAAAATTGATCATCTTGTTATATAATTTTTTACACTGTAAAAATGAATCTGAAACTAAACAAAGCACTCCTGTCATTTCAGTTTCTCAGTTAATAGCCATCCTACAGAATGTACTGAGTCATTGAACCGTTAGTTAAACAGTGACACTAGTACTATTGAGACCTGATTTTCATGTGGGAGTTTTTTGTTGACCGTTTTCAGTTTTGCTCAGATTTTGGTTCAGACCATGATCTAGTCTGACCACCCTTTGAATTCTTTGAATGTAAAAATCTCTGCTATATGTGAATGTTTTTACATATACAGTATTTGTAGAAGTAGAAATTTCCTAATGATCGTTTCCTGTCAGGGGTGTGGACAGCATTATTTAATTGGTAACTTTCCACTTGTTTGTTAGCACAGCAGTCACGATGAAATCGGTGCTGTCAGGGTTAAGGTCAGGGATTAGTCCACCAGAGCTTTCTGAAGTTGAAAGGGCAAACTCTGCAGCTTCCTGGTTGCCCCCAGGGTTGCAGTGACTTCAGTGAGGAGCGTGCCACTCCTGCAGTCGGCACGGAACCTCCTGTAAGTCTCTGTGGGTCCTGTAGCGTCTCACACGCTGAACGGCCCTGATGGGCGGACGGGTTCGAGGGCGCCCATCTGCACTTCTGTATTCTCGCTATGTGGCGACAGGGGTCACCGCTGTGAGCTGAACTATAAAGGCAGAATTCAGATTCGGTCAAATCCAAGTTGGGTGGATATTCAAAAAGAACAATTGGCGGTTCTGAAATTTCTCGTCTTCACAGCTGTCATTAATTTAGGCAGTTAAAATCGACAAGCTCTTATACACATTGCTTGCTAACATTTCAATTTGAAAAAAAGACATGACAAAATTTTCATTGTGTCATGTTTCTTCTGCTGAATATCAGCCATGTCAATACTGAATGAACGTGATTCCAGACTCTGATTGTCCTCCTCTCTTTCCTCCAGGACCGTGTATATGTACAACAGAATAATGTGGAGAATGTCTACAACCTGGGGTTAATTATTTTTAGAGATCAGGTTGTACGCTATGGGTGTATCAGAGATCATCTCCGACAGACGCTTTTAGACATGATTGCACGAGAGAGAAAGGGCGAGGTGGTAGACAGGTATGGCAATATCTACTGTTTCTTGCATCATATAATGCTGTGTTGAGTTGTGCTTTACTTACAGCTGAAGAATTAAGACATGAATTCCCACAATAAAACCCAGTGTTTAGGAAGGGGGAAATTTTTTTATCATTTTTTAGGTGGTTATTTTAAAGTTTAAAGAATAATTAAGTTTAGCAAAGGCACTAGTGATTTCAATACCTGCTGATGTAAAGTTTGCATTACAAATATTCACTTTGGTACTTGATAGTAAATCCAAAAGGGACAGTTAATACTGGAGTTACCATTTTGTTTAGGGATTTCAAGATATTCAAATATATAGTTTTGAATATATATTGAGACTGTTCATTATTCCTAAAGGATTAAATGGTTAGTCATTTTTCATGTCTGTGTTATTATGGTCTTGGAAAACCATCATCCATTTCTACCCTTAACTTTGTGCTTGAAGCAAAAAGAGTGTTCCATGAGGTTGCTGAGCTTGCACCCCTTGTGTGGAAAGTGAACTTGATCTTTGTTTCAGTCTCAGGTCTTTGATTAGTGTTATTTTTCAGTTTAAAAGCCGAATATTTTATGTTTATGGAAGGGGTCTTCTAACTTACTCAGGGCATTTTGTGAATCTAATTGTTAGAAAAAAGACAAAAATTGTACCTTGTCACATATTTGCATTATTGCTGCATAGTTCTTATTTTTTAAATTCTTGTCTTCATTTGTACACATCATCTGGTAGTTTTATAGCACTTGTAATACACCAGATTTAAAAAAATAGCTTCCCTTACATTTTTCTTTCTAAATTATGGAATCGTGAACCTTATAAAGTTCTAAAAATGGAATTGATTTTTTAAATGTAATTCTCCTCAGGGGAGCTATACGGAATGCTTGTCAGATGCTGATGATTCTAGGCCTTGAAGGAAGATCAGTGTATGAAGAAGATTTTGAAGCTCCGTTTTTAGAAATGTCAGCAGAATTTTTCCAGGTTTGTTTCTGAAAAAGTTCATCATACACTTCATACCACATATCATAATAGCTTTTGTGAAACTGACTCCAGCTAAGATTTAGTGTTTGCATTGTCATTTTGATTTTGTGCAAGTGCCTTTGGGTGCTATAGAGATAATACTCTGTTTTCTTAATGCATTTATGTTTTGTATGACAATGAACATTTATTTTCTTGGGACCTAAGGATTAATGTTTGTTGTTTAATTTCAGATGGAAAGTCAGAAATTTTTAGCTGAAAACAGTGCAAGCGTGTACATTAAAAAAGTAGAGGCTAGAATTAATGAAGAAATCGAACGAGTGATGCACTGCCTTGACAAATCAACGGAAGAGCCCATTGTAAAAGTAGTTGAGAGGGAACTCATTTCTAAGCACATGAAGACTATTGTGGAAATGGAAAACTCGGGTCTAGTGCATATGCTGAAAAATGGAAAAACAGAAGGTAGTTTAATTTTTTAATCTGACTGTCGTAGGCATTATGAATTTTTAGAACCTCTTGTTTTTTTTAATTTTTATTTGTTGTATTCTGATTTTTTCTGAAATATCCATGAATCTCACTAAGGAATGTGTGTGAATTCTGGACATCATATAGACATAATAGGGGAGATAGGTTAAGTTTAGTCATAGTTACACGATTCACTGCTTAAATACTAAATTAGCATTTGTTAAATAAAATGTTTTCTCTGTACAGTTAAGCATATTTAAGGATAGATTTGCGTTATTAGCATTTGGCAATTTGTTGATACTTTTGTTAGATGTTTGGCTGTAGTCATTGAACACGTTCACCTTAGAATCAATATTTCTGGAGTGTTTGGATTTTTTTTGTTTTTGTCCCTTTCGCTCAAATGACCATCTTAAATGTGTTTTACAGTTGTGAAAGACAGCATGTGATGAGTTGAATGTGTGTTTGTGAAATGTAGTTACATGCATGTATTTGTGAACAGATCTGGCCTGTATGTACAAGCTGTTTAGCCGAGTGCCAAATGGCTTGAAGACAATGTGCGAGTGTATGAGCTCCTACCTTCGGGAACAAGGCAAAGCACTGGTATCAGAGGAAGGAGAAGGAAAGAACCCTGTGGATTATATCCAGGTAACACATTTGTTAGGAGCTGGGCTGTTGACTTTCTTAAGCATCGGATGTAATGCAGTATCCTTTTGCACTTGCACACTTCAGAATCAGTTAACACCTTTCATAAAGGGAGTTATTGGAGAACCCAGATTCATATATTAATGTAATTAATAGGAGAAAACTGTCAAGTACTGTGGGTGAAAGTACTAGACACAAGGAGACTTATATAAAAATAGAGAATTGTACTGATTCTTTCAGTTAGCAAAAATGTTTCCATGTGAATTTAGTTTTTTTTGTCTGTTCTTAGGGTCTTCTGGATCTGAAGAGCCGGTTTGACCGTTTCCTTCAAGAATCATTCAATAATGATCGGCTTTTTAAGCAGACAATTGCTGGAGACTTTGAGTACTTCTTAAATCTAAACTCCAGGTCACCAGAATATCTCTCCTTATTTATTGATGATAAATTGAAAAAAGGAGTAAAAGGAGTAAGTACTTTAATATGGAATTTAAAGTATTTTTAAAAATCCCATCGTTTTTCCTACACGGCAAAGAAGCTGGTATGCATGGGAAATTATTTGTTGTATAAAACTGTAAAAAGTGTCTTTCTGTCCCCAGTCCTTTTGATTGGATCGGTCCTTTTGATCAAACTTTAGTTTCAGCAGTTGTGATCAGAGGTATAGTAGAAATGAAGACACTGTGATCATGTACGGCTGCAAAGAAAGTAATCTAGAGATGACAGTGAAGAATGAACAACTTTATTATAGTGTTCCCCTGTCTTTCTGTACATATTTCTAAACCCTTTAATGGAACTTTCTCTGTATGCTCTTGTTTTAAAAAGATATCTTTTGTAGTTGTGATGGTTCCATTTCTATTCCTGGCACAGTCAGTGTGACATTTATTGTTTGAATTTTTTAGCTGACGGAACAGGAAGTGGAGACTATTCTGGACAAAGCAATGGTTCTTTTTAGATTCATGCAGGAAAAAGACGTGTTTGAACGTTACTACAAACAACACCTGGCGAGAAGACTTCTCACAAACAAGAGTGTTTCTGATGATTCGGAAAAGAACATGATCTCGAAGCTCAAGGTGATGCATCTTTAATTGCCTTATCACCTTCCAGGATATGAGGGGTTTTCTATGAAGTGTGGCAGTTTGGTGAAATTCGTCCATCTATTCATTTTCTCACTGCTTTATCCAATACAGAGTCACGTGGGAGCCGGAGCCTGTCCCGTCAAGCAACGGGCACAAGGCTGGAAACACCCTGGACGGGCCATCAGTCCGTCACAGGGCACATATACACACTGACATGCACACACTCACACCAGGGCCAATTTTCCCACAAGCCACTTAACCTACCAGTAAACTGCAGCTCCTGGAGGAAACCCACGCAAACATGGGGAGACCATACAGACTCCCCGCAGATAGCACCCCAGGAGTTGTTCTGTCATATTTGGTTGAATAATTACCACAGCATTTTTAAAAAATGAAAAGAAAATTTGTTGTTTACTTAATCATTGTACATTTATGTGGAATGTATGCTGTATGGTAAGAAACTAGAGAAAGTTTTCTAAGCATTTGGAGAGATTCTGCCTTGCAAAATGTACTTACTCTAGGCTAATACAAAACTTGTTTTTTTGCGGCCTTCTGAATTTAGCAAATGCATTAATATACTATATGTTATGAATGCAAGTAGCTGTGTTTATAATGTTTGTTTCAATCTGTGATATTTAATTGCTTTAAGAAGTAAGGCATAGAAATCAGCGTAGTGTTCATCAAATCTGACGTGACTGTTTACTTATGCATTTATATCATTGGTAGACGGAGTGTGGCTGTCAGTTTACATCCAAACTGGAAGGAATGTTCAGGGACATGAGCATTTCAAACACAACTATGGATGAATTCCGGCAACATTTACAGTCCACAGGGGTAAGAGATGCTGAATACAATTAAAGCTTAAATATAGAGCTGTTAACCTTGAACTTAAGGTGTCACTTGCTCCATGCTTTTCTGATACAATCTTATATTTTCAGGTCTCTTTAGGTGGTGTTGACTTGACTGTCAGAGTACTCACAACAGGCTACTGGCCCACGCAGTCTGCCACACCAAAATGTAACATCCCCCCAGCGCCAAGACATGCTTTTGAAGTATTTAGAAGGTGTTTCTTTCTCTTGGTTCTTTATTTTTAACCAGTTTTTGGTCATTTTAATTTTCTTAAAAACAAGACAGATATGTGTTATTTCTGTGGTATGTTGAAGACCATAATGATTCTTCATGAGATCTTAAAGTGCTAATTGTGTGCCAGTTTTTTCTTTGCTCAGCTATTATGTTGTGTAATCAGTCCCACACTATAATGCTATAATTGTTAGTTAAATAATAACTGAAAATTATCTTTCTTTTTAATTAAACCAGGTTTTACTTGGCGAAACACAGTGGTCGACAGCTTACACTCCAGCATCATATGGGCTCTGCTGATTTAAATGCTACTTTTTATGGCCCGATTAAAAAGGTATAATTATATTTCTATAATTTGTAATATCTAGACTATTCTTTTTCTAAAGTGTATGTTCTGAGCATAAAACATGTTGAAAACCCAGGTCTTTATAACAGATGTTTATATCTCTGCTCTATAGTTGTGTAAAGTGTATATTTAATACATTCTTTTTATTTCAGGAGGATGGTTCAGAGGTCGGAGTAGGAGGAGCTCAAGTGACAGGATCTAACACCAGAAAGCACATACTACAGGTTTCAACATTTCAGATGACAATTTTAATGCTCTTTAACAACAGAGAAAAATACACATTTGAGGTAAGTTTCTCATCTTGCACGCAGGCTGTTTTGACCTGCCATAAATTCATTGGTTCATAATTCCTTGTCAATTACTAGAACACTACATTTCAAATGCAAATCCAGAGGTCATGGAACCAGAGGACAGGAAGACATTTTTACAGTTATTTTATCTTGATTAACTTGAAATGCTGGTAATGAGCTGAAGCAAGTGTTTAAAATCTAAAATGGCGCCACTGCTTACACCCTGTTTCCATCCACTTAGGGCTTAGGGCTTATTTTCTGTGTGCTAAATGTCTTTGTTGGTGTTTGTGACATCAGGAAATTCAGCAGGAGACGGATATCCCTGAGAGAGAACTTGTCAGAGCTCTTCAGTCGCTGGCATGTGGAAAGCCAACACAGCGGGTCCTTACTAAAGAGCCCAAGTCGAAGGAAATTGAGAACGGGCATGTGTTTACAGTCAATGATCAGTTTACTTCCAAATTGCACAGAGTAAAGATCCAAACAGGTATGTAAACAATCTTAAATAGCTTTTAGGAGGTTGTTTTAATAGATTTGTTCGGCATACAAAACGTGTGAACTGTACTCCAAACGTACTCCATGTTATAAGTGTTGTTTTTTCAATAATTGTGGGATGAAAATGTTACGTACTAGCCAGATTTGAACATGCAGGTTTCCTCCTTCTACATTTCACCCGCCTTGCTACTGCCTAAAAAAAATAAATGGGATTGTACTATAACAGGTAAATTGTTCAAGCTCATCAGTAATTGAGGACATGTATTGAAATCATCAGAATGTATGTAGATCCTGGTGGGAGTTTTTCCCGGTTGCCAGCTCTGAAGGCTCACACGTGGTCTGCTGAGCACACTCTATTCTCTTCTCAACGTGTATCCATGTGGGTCCAGGCCATTACAAAAACGTGTCAAAGTAATGAGACGGGCATCTGCGTTCCCTTGTCCTGTTTCTACTTTGTTTCGTTTCTGACCGGGATCGGTTATTGTCTTTCTGTTCTTCTTCAATTCATCCAGTTGCAGCCAAACAAGGAGAATCGGATCCTGAAAGAAAGGAAACGCGGCAGAAGGTAGACGACGACAGAAAGCATGAGATTGAAGCTGCCATTGTACGCATCATGAAATCCAGAAAGAAGATGCAGCACAATGTGCTAGTAGCAGAGGTGGGTTAAAGAAGAGTAAGGCTTATGTTTTAGTTGTAACTGGTCCACTTCAAGACTGCATGCAGAAGGCAATAAATGCATTATGTTATAGAACAACCGGAACATAAAATCATTAATCTTATTCCTAATTTTCTAATCAGTAGTTGTATGAAATGCTATGATTTTATTAATTTTGATGATCGGAAACTGATTATTAAAGTTAAGCCATTTCATTTTTTTTATTCCCACAGGTGACTCAGCAGCTGAGAGCGCGTTTCTTACCAAGTCCAGTTGTCATTAAAAAACGAATTGAAGGACTTATTGAGAGAGAATATTTGGCGCGAACACCCGAGGATCGTAAAGTATATACTTATGTAGCATAAAGTGCATTTGATGAGACACCATTTTTGGACTATGTTATTCGCATGAACTGGGAAGTTCCTTTTAACTATAAATACTGGGACGATGACTTCTCCTCCATTTAAAAAATAAAAAAAATCCAGTAAGTGTTCTAGATTGTTTAAATCAGGCCTTTATTCCCTGTGAGAATTTTCAACATGAATGGATCCAGCTTCAGGCTTTTCACCGTTTTACCCTTGTAGAGATCGACATTAAAGAATTCCTTGGGAAAAATGTGAATGCACCGCATTTTGTTTTCAATACTGTAAAAAATAAGAAAATAATAAAAACTAGCAAACGTGGATTGCTATTAACACAAATAAAATAATTGTTGATTTTTTTTCTCCCCAGTTTTTAATGTCAATGTAAATGTGTTTTCTTAGTGTTTCGTAGCAACTCGCTGGTTGTACAGGTTTGATGTCAAACAGGATGAAATTCTGCTTCAAGGGTTTTACTCCAAATGATGAATATATATAACAATACTTTTATTGCTGATTTGCAAAGAACAAGGGAATTGCTTTGTAGCATGCTATATTTTATGAATCTGAGTATCTCTTACACTAGCTCTGAGTTTTTGGTGGGGCCTCTTGTGAAATTTCAGCACAATATTGCTTGTTCCTTTTGATATTAGGTTCTTCCAAATGCAATTCTCAATGGGTTAGGTTTTTCTGACATTTTAAAAGGAACCAAATTAAAACTGTTTTAATGTGTATAAATTGTAAAATAATTGTTATTGTACTCACTGCCGAAGTGGATTGTACAGGGCCTTGTTTTCATCGTATTAAATGTAGAAAAAGGAAATTAAAAAAAAGTGGATTTACTGTTCTTTCTTTAAAACTCTTATATTTAACAAGCACAGCAATCAAAAACAGTGCTGTTATTTCAGTATAATTCAATATGTTTTTAATTTTAAATTATTTTACCATAATAAAGAAAAGGAGTTCTGAAACTAGTGTTGAATGCAGTTTTTAGCGCAGTTACTATAGTTATCTACAGACCACTTCGGATCTAACATGAAAACTTACTGGGGCCCCAGTGGCTCTGTTGACTAAAGGCCAAAATGATCTTGGGTTCACGTTGGGGTGATGTCACTAGTCAGCTGCTGAGGACTCCCCAAGATGTGGCGCACAATTGCCTGAGCACTGCTGAGGGTAGGATGGGATTAGGTGGCCAGGGCTCTGTTTTAAATGACGCAGGAACCCTTCTGGCCTTCTGGGCACTTACAGGCATGTGGTGAATTCCACCAGGCACACACCTCTTCTCCATTTGGCGCTAAGCTTCCTGTAAGGGGCGGTGTTGTGTGTTGCTTGTGATCTGTAGCCTCCTTCCTCTTCCCTGGTGTGTGGCCATGGTGCTTGTAGCTGTGAACCAAGAAAAACACATTATTCCTAAATGGGGGGAGTATTGCAAAAAGGATGGGCAAATCTAAATAGACGTAACTCATATTTCAGAACAAGAGTAGTCTATTTTTTCTTCACATTTGCAGTGTAACCAAGCAGTGCAGAACTGCAGATCGACTACTCATTTCTTGACTGTTAAACGGTCTCTTTTAGATTTAATGAACTTCCTGAATTGTCCCTCTAAACAATGGTTATATTTTCCACAGCAAGCCTTTCTCAAGTTAAATATTATAATGAACTGTAATATTCAACATATTGTAAATATATGCATCTCTAGAACACCCAATACTACTGCAGAAATACTGTAAGAAAGTTTATCTAGATATGTCTTTTCTACATCAGTTGCTCAGACTGACCTTTAATGTTGTGTATGAATTCATCACATATCAATCACCCCATATACTGTCCATGAGAAACATTCAACTGATTTTGAAGTTTATTAATTATAGCTTGCAACTTTATCCTTACGTAGTTTTTCTTATTTTGTAATTTCTACTTCAGTTGTCTTTATCATTCAAAATATTTATGATAAACTGCGAAAAGAAAGTTACACTGGAAATCAATTTTTTGTACTGGTCTTTGTAGATATCTGCTAAATTTCAGGTCTCATTTTTGAAAACTTCTGTATACAATGTTTACTACATTCTGATTATTTGATTATGATGAAATGTACCATAAATATATCTTAAATTTCTTTCCAAACTTACCAAATTGAATTTGGTACAACTTTTAATCTGAGTGATACAATTATTAAGTTATATAATTAAGATAACCCATACATGAGATTATGAAACTATATAAAAGTAGTTTTTAGGAACAGGTTTGTTGCCATCATTTCAAAAGAACAATATTTTGTATATATTCAATCAGATTATTTGCATTTCTCGATGCATGTTTTGTTCTCCCTCTCACGCTACCCTGCTCTCAAACCATTTCCTTCTCCTTTATAGTGAAAGGAAATAAAAACTTTGAAGTAACTAAATTGCTCAAATGAGTCTCGCCAAAAACCACCACTCTGTTATGCGTAAACAAGACTTTTAATTGTTAATGAAAAGACCGAGTTCAGGCAGTACTTTTCGTGAAAGGGAGGTCTTTTCAATATAACTCGTTTATCCAACTCAAATTGAATTCCTTCTTCGGCTAGGACTTGCCCTGATTATTTCTGAACAGTCGTTTCAGCCCATCTAGCAGTGCCTCCTGGCATAAAGGCATGTATCATCTAATTTTTCACAGTAAGCACCTCACATTAAGGGTTTCATTTTCCCCGACTTAAAAGTGAGTGGCCCTTTCCACGCTGTCAATAATAGAGGGTCATGTGAACATACAGACGGTGTCCTACGCGGATCAGCCGAGCACAATACAAGTTCGCTGCTGCTCTCGGAAACCTATTGAACCCCGTCTCGGGCTACTCTTTGTCCTGCCCTCCGAGATGAGTGCCATCTGGCGCACGATAAGGAAGGCAGATGCATGCACCGTAGGAGGAGTACTCTGCGATCTGAAGCGGTTGTGCGCTTCAGTTTCTGTGCAGCCGAAAGGCTCTTCGTCGGCCGCCCAGCGAAAACGTGCGGGCTGGAGCTGCCAGCAGCTCTCATGTGACGGAAATCGGGGAAAGCAGTAAATGGAAGCGAGGGATGCATGACGTCAGGGCCCTGGGTCCAGGTCCGTCCTGAAGAAGAGCGGAGTGGCGTCTCATTCCATGAGACGGCAATGTGTTTTTAGCGCATTATTTTTCTGCAAGGCTTGGTGCGGGGAGGACGTTGTAGACAATGCTACGGAAAGGCAACCGAGGCGAAGATGAATATGCCGATTCCGGGGCAGAGACCGCCGAGTAGGTGAATTTTGGTAACAAGTTTCTGTTGTGACTTGAACGTAAGCTTGGTTTGTTTCTTCGTCTCTAAGCGGATCTGTCGTGCGTTGCTCTGCCTTGAAAGATGGTGTTGTCCTTTAAACGGAAAGCAACAGTGTACTGTATCACCCTTGAGGCTGCCTAGTTACAAGCACATTAAAACAAAAAGCAGTTCACGTTAGCCCAGTTTGTGTATTTTGCGGCAGGATTATGTCGTACTTTTAAACAAGATTACTTCACAAATAGTCTAATTAAAATGTATACTTCTGAACTGTTTACACTGCGCTGTCGCGAATTTGGACTTGACTGAATAAAACAGTCTGCGTTTTTTTAAAACATCTTCGTTTATTTAACAAACAGGTGTGGGTTTTTTCTTTCGTTTTACGTAGGTTTTTATCGCGCTTACATATATCCTAAATCAAATCGTATTTCAATGTAGAGGGATATGTGTGGATCACGTCTTTAGTATTTTTTTTTTATCGTTGCGTGGGTTTCTGTCGGACTGGTCCTGGTGCTTGACATTCAATGACTTATGCATCTGAAGAAGAAAAAAAAATGCATTTATTTTCTTACATACACTTGAAATAAAAAGTTTAGATATTTTCCACTTCACCTTATATAATAAAACTTGCAGCGTGTTTAAACATTCACACCACCGTTTTCGTGCCATAAACTCCACTGAGCAGGGGAGTGTAAACAAGAGTTGTCCTGGTAACCTGAGCTATTCAGCACCCCTGCAAGATTGAGGCGTTGAAACAATCCGCGTTTTCTTCCTTGACATTTTTAGGTTACTTTAAAAGAAAAAAACTTAAACCTTTAGTTACGATAACGGGGCTTAAAAATCCACAGCTCTTGATTCAGTCAGGCACAGGCAGAAAAATACGAACGGGGGAGGATTGCTTTATGGTTAGGAAGTGCTTTTATTACAAGACTGGTTTGGTTGCTGTAAACTTGGACGACACAGTTGTGAACTGAGAAAATACCCCACCCAAAGGCAAAGCAGTAATTGACTTATTGTTTGAAGAAGACAGTTGTAGAGCTCTGTGTTTAGTTGATATTTAAAATGTAAAGTTTAATTTGAGTTTAAAGTTAACGGAACTGGTAACATGGTTCTCAATAAACCAACCTAATTCTGGTCGGTCCAGGAACGTACTGAGCAACACAAAGATTGGTCTAAAACCAGCACTTACACGTAAATGCTTATACTTACCCTTTTGAGGAACTGGGGGTATACAGTGTAAGAACTCAAGGCTGGTTGCTGTACTAACAGGAAATCAAACTGACAGGACTAACTTAAGTAAGGTTATGGTAAAGCAGGTGGATGAATGTAAAAGAAATACTGTTGGTTATGTATTTGTATCAGAAAAGATGGGTAGGAAAGAAGCAGTGGTGGCAGTCAGACTTTACATTAAAAATAAACCGCAAACTAGAAAACATAAGCAAGAGGGTAAAGGTAGTTTTGACTCGCCATGGATTGAGCTACAAAACAGAAGTTCAAAGAGTGTAACAGTAAACAAGTGTCTTCTATAAACTAATGCTGACATGGGCACAAGTATCTTACTGTTCTATGAAATCAGTAATGTATGTAACAAAGGTGATGTTATATTACTGAGAGAATTAAATTTTCTACACATACAATGGAATATTGTGATGAAAAATGCAAAAGCTGAGAGTAGTATGTTCAAATGATTAATGGTTGCTTCTTAACCCACTTTGGAAAAAGCTCAAACAAGGGAAAGTGGTCTTGCAGCCTTTCAAACAAGCAGGATATAGTTAATGGAATAGATGTGATAGATCCAGTGGAAAATCATAACTGTAATTGGATATCTTTTGAAGTGTAGTTTAAATTTCCAAAACTTATAAATTCAGAAAAGCAGACTACACTGGAATGAAGCAGAGCTTGCAAGCAGTGGGCTGAAAACAACTCCATTCAGAGTCAATAGAAGACAGATGGTTATACTGTATTTTAAAAATCTAGTTTGAAAGGATCAAAATGAATTCACCTCTGAAACAGCGAGGTCCAAGTCCAAAGGCCCAAAACTATGGGAAGTTTGGATGCTTGGCAAATCTAATTTAACTTCTAGTGCAAAATGAACCACTCAGGAAGTAGGAACATACACTGTACACCTCAAAAGGAGGGTCCGCAGCTACAGGATGCTACACATGAAAGGGATGTGGATATTTATGTACAATCTTCCAAGCGCTCATCAAGATAATGTAAGGAAGCATTAAAAAAAAAAAACGTAATGCTTGGCTTTCTAGCTAAAAGTGTGGAATTAAAGTCGAGGGACTTGCTCAAGATTGGCAGTGCCTTAGAAGGATCTCATTTGGAATAATATTCGACTTTGGCCACCATATCACAAAAAGAAAGAGCTTGGAGAAGAATGACTCAGGAGACAGCTTAGATGTTAAAGGAGATATACCACTTGTGTTTAGAACAGAGGAGAAGGAGAGGAATTGTGGTCCAAGCACAGTATATGGAATCCTAAGGGGTACAGATAGGGCCAACCCTAGGACCTCTGTCCCAGCAGAGAAACGAGATCTTGAAACAAGAGTTAGAAAGTAAAAGGAAATTCATTCAGGACAGAGGGCGAATTCAGAACATGAAAATATTTTTACACGGTGCTGTGGATGTTGGGAACAGACTTCCCAACCCGGTGGATGAGGCCCAAACTGTGGGCTCTTTGAAGAAGCAATTGGATAAACTAGATGAAATCTGGGAGTCGTTTAGGCACTAAACCACATGATGAACACGATGGACCAAAGGGCCCCCATATTTGCAAGTTGGAAATAACAATTTTGAGACTCATAGTCAAAAGGAGTAAGTAGTATATCAAGCAAAATACAGTATTTAAACTATATTCACATTACAGCTGTAAAGAACACTAGGGAGTGTATAACTGATAAAGCTGTTATTAAACAGTGCCACAGTCTGAATTGCTGGATTCCAAGCTGTTGTTCCACAGTATCTTTGTGTTGTTTTAAACAGAATAGCATTCCAGTTTTCAACATAAAACACTTCATTACACCTGAATAGAGTGCCTTGATTTAGCCCAGCGGTGCACAGGGAGGTCAGTGAATGCTAATCTCAGTGGTGCAGAAATGGCATGAATGCTTTAGAAAAGGCTTCCCTGAAGCAACCCCAGGAAGCCATTGTGTTACATTTTCTCAAGCAACAGTAGCATCTGTTTTTCTTTTCTGTATTTTTAAAAGGGTTTATATATATTTTATATTAATATTAGTGTTTTATTTTGAATTCATTTTATATTTTTTTTCCTTAGGTCAGACTGCAGTAAAATGTCTTCAAGCGGTAAGTTATTTTGTTCTTAAATATACAGTAACTGGAATAAAAGTTTTTGTTACTTTTTTGTCAGATTTTTTTTAAATTAAAAGCTGTGAGATCTCACACTTTCATTATTGTATTACAACATGAACATCACTACTATATGGTATCTGAAACTGAGATACAAGAGTAAAGACAATCTTGATAAACAGAGAAAATTGGAATGGAAAAAAACCCTTAACCTTTAGCTGTAAGCACTAGCTTACATTTGGTTTTATTTTGGAAGAATAGAAACTAACATCGAGATCTGGAACTGGCAATTTAGAAGCTTATCAAATCTTATGCAATGAACCTCCAAACTGATTAAAATTGAGTTGTTTCTGCATTTCATCTTTCAGTTTGCATTTGCTAAGTGTTTTGTTTTCTTTCCAGAATTCCTGTTGTACTTTACATTTCTGAGGGGTTGAGTAATATGGTTCTCGACCAATAAATAATGAAATACTGTGTAATCAGAAGGTGTTTAAAAAGTTTAAAGTTTGTTTTGTAAGCAATACACGTCACAGGCAATCTAATCTCTCTCTCTCTCTGCTGTGAAAGGTGGCTGCCGTGTTTCTCAAAACCAGGATGTCTTGTTGATGACCATGCACCTGCTGGCTAACCCCGGAGAATCGTTCCTGCTGCAGCAAACCCTGGACCAGCTCTTCAAGTGGGTCAGCCCCGAGCTGCGCCTGTTCCACGTGTCCGAGCGGGCGTGTCCGGTGAAGGACAGCGGGAGACCCCGGGCAAAGGCCTCCGTCTACCCCTCCCTCTCCGTCACCCTCTTCCTGCACGAGGACTACGGAGAGGAGCGCATCCTGAGGGTCCAGGACTTTTTCCAGCGCCCGCCCTGGCAGTACCATCACAGCGAGAGCGCCGGCGGGAAGTTCCTGCCCTACCTCCTCTCCAGCCGGGATTTCTACAGCCTGGACTCCCACATGCCCGTGTGGGCGGTGAGGCCCGTGCACTGCGGCGACGAGATCGTGCGCGTGACGCTGTACTGCCGCCGCGACAACTACGAGGACGCGGTGAGGATGTACGGGACCATCCTGCGGCGCGAGGCGGCCGCCGCGCAGAAGAGCGGCTTCTGCTTCTTCCCCCTCTGCTCCTCCGCGGCCGCGAGCGTCCAGCTGGCCTTGAAGCAGCTGCCCCCGGGGGTGTCGGTGGACGTGAGGGAGTCGGCGGTGCTGCAGTTCACCGTGCGGGAGATCGGGCAGCTCGTGCCCCTGCTCCCGAACCCCTGCTACCCCATCAGCAGCACCAGATGGCAGACGGAGGATTACGACGGGAACAAAATCCTGTTTCAGGTACCGTGGTCTGGCTAAGTGGCTTAGCTGCTCCTCTTTAGGGAAGGCAGAGTTAATAGAAGTGTGGTTTGTTGATGCAGCTGCAGTTGTCACATAATAATAAGAATATCTTACACTTGTAGAGTGCTATTCTGGACACTCCACTCAAAGCGCTTTACAGGTAATAGGGACTCCCGTCCACCCCCACCAGTTTGCAGCCCCGCCTGGATGAGCGCCAGTACGCTCACCACACACCAGTTCTCAGTGGGGAAGAGAGCAGTTTGATGAAGCCAGTTCATAGATGGGGATTATTTGGACGCCATGATGGGTAAAAGCCAAGGGGAAATTTGGACAGGAAGCCGATGTAACACCCCTACTCTTTTCAAGAAACACCCTGGGATTTTTAATAACCACAGAGAGTCAGGACCTCGGTTTTTCGTCTCATCCGAAGGACGGCGCCTTTTTACAGTGTAGTGTCCGCATCGATATACTGGGGCATTAGGACCCACATGGACCGCAAGGTGAGCTCCCCCTGCTGGCACCACTAATAACTCCTGCAACAGCAACCTTAGTTTTTCCCAGGAGGTCTCCCTTAAAGGTACTGACCAGGCTCACATCTGCTGAGCTGCAGGGTGATACAGCTGCTCGCACATCCCACAACACAGTATTTTGTTATTCATATTATTGTAATGTTTATGCTGTCATGTTTTTAAATACATCCACTGTTTAGCATGCCCTCAGAATCCTCCACATGGGATTAATTTTGATGAGGGAAATGTGATAGTGCCACACAAGCACCTTCAGAATATCTGAGCAGAATCTGGCAGAAGGCAGAGTTTGGGAACAAACAAAAGAAAAAGAAATATCCAAGATTGCATTTTAAGGAAGAAATAATTATGATTTAGCAGTAAGATGGAGGAACTAATGTTTTGTCATGCAGTCTTTTTGATTCAGATTTCCTGTGTCTGGTATGTGGTATGGAGCCACAGTGGTTTCTGCCTAAATGACCTGCCAAAATTGATTCCTGCTGATTGAGAAAGCAAGCCACACTGGACATGTGACTCTATAATTTTCCTCCAGAGTTCCCAAGTAATAGGAATTCTATCTAATTGCATGCTTATCCGACACTGGAAATACATGTTTTGCTGAGGGCTTGCTACATTGCATATTTACTTGATAAGTATGTTTTTTGAATATTAAACTGAAACCTTCTAAGGAATTCAGGCTTCCACCAGCTTGAAGAATGCTGTGAATGCTTTGTTGTTTTACAACATTCCATGCTAGTGAATAAAATTGCTTCAGGTTTTGACCTAAGAAACACTTGATATCTATCAGTGTATGTTAAAGTTATTTAGGAATATCTGCTGTTTTGCTCAAGGAAAATGAACTGCAGATTTATATGCATTACTAAGAATTCATGTTTTAGATATAGCCCAGAGGCCTTTTTTGAACCAATGTTGTAACACTGTGATTAACTTATACTAAAAAAGGCATTAGATGTGCACCAAGAATTGTCTATCATTGATCAGAGCAAACCTTGTTAAAAATGTGCTTTCTCTATATCTTCTAAAATGGTAAGAACAGTTCTGTACCTTTGTTGGTCTGTTTTTTGTGGGTATGAAAAAAACACTAAATTTGCAAACTAAATTAGGTTTCTGACGGATTTTCTGACTGATTTTCAGTAAGAAATGTACACTTCACAGCTGTTATTATACTCTTGTTAATAAGAAGTGACATGTTTTAAGAACCCATGTTTTATTTCCCTGTGTTTATATTTCTGTTGTGTCTGCATAAGCAACGCATAATTCAGAATTATACTTCAGTGATTTTTATGCTTCAAACCTTTTTTTGCATTAACAGTTAATGTGTTTGATACCATTGAATCCTAATCCCTTGTTTCATAACCAGTCTTCAGAATTTATGGGTTGTAATTCTGTGTTCCCAGGTTAACGTGCCTTTACACTCCCAGCACAACATGACATCAGCCTTTCCAGTGAGCAGCCAGCAAACCCTGAGGAACATGCCGAAAAGTCTACCCTCCAGCATTCCAGCTTGGCCTGTAAATAAATGGAGCCCCAGTTATAAAGAGAGAAGGACAAGTGGTACTGGGGTAGAAGAGGGGTCTGGGAGGTCACCCCCAGATCAGCGGAAATTGGGACCAGGAGGAGTCCCCCCTAAAAACGAACGTGTTTGCTCGGACAGTTGCTGCAGCACTCCGAGGAGCAGTTCTTGTTACTCGTCCCAGAGAAGCAGCCCAGCCGTTCTGTCGTGGTGCGAGCCGCATCACGAACACGGCAACCCGCCACCCGCCTGCTGCATCCCGGCAGACTCCACGGCTGGCCTGCTAGAAGAAGAGGAGTCGGAAACCAACGTGGACACAGGCTTCACCGTTCTGAATCAGGACGGCCTCCCTGGCCACAGCAAACTGGCTTTCAGTGGCTTTCCAAGGGACCTCTGTAACAGCCTGCCTGACACAAGGACACTGAGCTGTGCATCACCGGAGCAGATCACTAAGAGATTGCCAATAAGCACAACGTTGAATAGCTGTGTATGTTCTTCCAAAATGTGTAAATCGTCTACTTCAGGGTTCAAAAGAGAAGGTCAGGACCACACGGAACACTGTATACCAAAACATTGCTTGCCTCCCATCCAAGCAAAATATCAAAACGTACAGGTGGATGAATTTTTCATTTAAAAGCCTGGCCGGCCTATTTCACCTGATGCACTTGTAAACGAGAAGACTTCGGTGTGCAAAGAATGGCTTAATAAAAATACAACCCTAGAAAACAATAGTTTGATATGCTTTATATGAACGGTAGTTTTGAAGAAGGAGTTAAAAATTGAACAAGTATGTTTAAATGAACATGCCAGACTAGCATATTGTAGAACACAATGTCAGTATTATTTTAAATTGACAAGTCTGAAATATAAATATGTACTACACAACTGCCTTAAATACTTGAAAAATAAAAACATAAATTTGGTACTGTTTCGTGAACATGATTGTAAGTCAGCATTTAAAAAAAAGAATCCTGAAAAATGGCATCAAAAATGCTTTTCTGCAAATACCACTGTAGTTAAGCATGGTGGTTTAATTGCTGACTAATATTATTTCACTAAAAAGTTCAGAGTTTTGAAAGTATGTCTGTCTCTACACAAAGGCAGTAAATTATGGACAGAGTATTGTTCAGTATTCTGCACATAGATGTTGGTTTTTTGTTTGATAGATTTCTGTTGGTTTGCATTTCGGTAAACAGAGGAGACTAGTGTTTTAAAAACCAGAAATATTTGAAACATGTTTAAAGTGGTTGCATAATTATATTTTTTCAAATGAAGTGGAATAATCTGTTAGCTAAATGCAGAAAATGTTAACGGGAATTAAGATGATAAAATTGTGTGCCTTCAGATTAAACCTCAGCTTTGTATTTAAGTAGAAATCACTTCAAACAGATTTGTCAATGACTGACATTAATACAATCTGTAATAACAGTGTAATTAATGTTTCAAAGTTACTTGTGTAAAACGCATAAAATAACAGTTAAGATTTGTTTGTATTGCACTCTATTAATATTACTGCCTCCAAATGTTTCCCTTAAGAAAAAGTGATCAGTATTCTGATACATAGGACCTCTTTACAATGGGTTCACTGTACAGTATTCAAATAATTACTGGTATTGCATACAACTTGATTTCCAGTATTACCTTGCTGTAATTGTCACAGACAATTACACACAGTAGACAATAGACAGTGGTCTTTCAAAACATTTTGGTCAAATTTATTCGAAATAAACATATGTGCTCTTACATCAATCGTGTTGTTTGGCATTAAAGTGTTATTTTGTGATTGTGTGGATGGTATTTGCACAAAAATGTAAAAAGGTAAAGATCCTGGTTTCTGCAGCAGTAAGTGGACTAGGGGGATAATGTGACTCTCATTAACACTCTTTACTACCATGTGTCCATTCTATGGAGTCTCGTGTACATTCTAGTTAGTTTCGTGCCTTTGTCTTAAAAAACAATTGTTAGCTTTTAATGAGATGTCTTCATAAAGATTTTTCAGATTAACTCTTGCCAAAAACATCATCAATCAGTATGTGATTTTATTGGTCGTATTTTATGATGTTCTGATCTGCAGTACTCTAACTCTCCTCACTTTAACACCCTGCCTTTGCACCTTTAATCCAAGTTCAATTATACAAGGTTTCCACACTTTCTGTGGCTTAGTCGGGGAACAAATCCAATGTATTTGCACTGGGCTTCTGTATTTTAATTTAAACTTGACATATTTCCTCACTTGTTCTGAGCCATTTAACTGTATTTGTACCTGCGTGTGGAATTCCTGCACCAGTACCAAACACACATTAGGTGGCAAGGGTCTCATTCTGACAGTTTACCGTGAATTGTATAATAGTCCAGAGCTGGATTCGCCATTATTCAAGAAAAGTTTAAATAATTGTTTTAAACTGATCTTACAAGATCTCTAATCATCTGCTATGTTTCGATTTCATGCCATGTCAAAGGCCAGAAAAAGACCTTTTTATTATTAAAGAGGCTAGAAAAGCAGTGCAGAGGAGGAAGACACATTGTTCAGTATGTACCTAATCAGACAAGAGAGCTGTCAGTCCTGTTCATTAACACGGTAAGCAATGCTGTTGGTCATGAGGATTGTAACTCGAACCGTAATTTTAAGCGGTTGCACACATTTATTATCATTTTCATTTCAAAATGCTTTGCTAAGTAAACTTTTAACTAGCTTTTTGTATCTGAAGTCGTCTTTTCTCACTTTCAAATTACTTGGACGGCAAGTAAAACAACAGCCCTATTAATCTATAGATACCAGTCAGGTATTGTCTTTCTGCAATGTAAATAGTTTTTCCTATTAAGACGTTTACACGTCTAAAGCGTCATTCTGTTAAAAGGAATAACGCTGTTATTAAGCACAGTTGTTGACTTTTTTCCCGGCTCTGTGGTTCCCGGGTGCGCGGCGCGCAAGCAGCTGATTTCTTCACGTGACGAGCTGGGCCGCGGTCATGTGCTTTTTATTAGCTCAAGATGGCTCGCGGGGGGCTCCGGCGGATGGTCTCGAAAGGCTTCGTGTTTTTGCTAGGGACCGTAATTTATCTGTCGTGTCTTTCGTCTTGTTTTCCTCGCGTTAGAAAGTCAAGGACGCTCCGCACTGGTTTCGTTAACGAGAACAGCAATGCGTCGGTGGCTGACGAGCTGTGGTTCACGCAAAGACTCGACCATTTCTGCGGGGCTGATACGCGGGTTTGGAAGCAGGTGAATATTGTTTTTTTTGTTCTTTCGTTTTTTTAAGATTGGAAATCATATCTTTGGTAAATAACTGAAAGACGACGATCTATTTAGGCAGGCTGTTTTCATGCTTTATCCAAATCGCTGCAAGTGTCTTAAATATAGTTTCCGGATCTGTGCACGGCGCGTTTTAATGAATCTAAGATGTGAGGAGAACAGAGAATAATATAACAATCTAGAACAGAATACGTGTTCTGCGTAGTTTAGTGTGCGGAACCTCATTTCATCTTTGAATTGCATTACTTAAACCTCTCCATAGGAGCACAGGGGAGTTTGCAAACGGCAGTTATGCCCTCACTCGGAACATCTGCCTTGGTTTTTAGTGTGGGGCTGATCTGAGAGTCTCATCCAGCCGGTACCTGATTATTCTTTTATGCCCCAGACTCTCGCTAACCTTTGCGGACCGTAGATCCTCCAGCTGTCCGTGTCAAATACGCGTTTTCCCTGTTCCCACAAAGCCGATAAGGGTTGACGACCCTGAACTGTCTCTCCCTGCAGAGGTACTTCGTCAATGACACTTACTTCCGAAGTGGGGGACCTGTATTCCTGATGATTGGCGGGGAAGGCCCGGCGAATCCGGCTTGGATGCGATACGGCACATGGCTGATATATGCCCAGAAGCTCGGAGCGCTGTGCGTGATGCTGGAACACAGGTTCTACGGGAAAAGCCATCCTACTGAGTATGTGAAATATTTTTTTTTTGTTATTTTGGGTGGAATTGACCTGGTTAGGGATGGACTATGTGCTCATTGTGATGATTGAGTTCCTAAATGTAATTTACCGGTTTCCTCCACCTGCAATTATTGTAGTATGAAACATCAATGCTTTTGACTTTATAAAAAGAAATATTAGGTGTGAATTTCGTCTTGGCCTGTTATTACCGCTAATGACCACTAGATGGGGGTAATGTATTAGGTTTGTTTTGAAGTGAAATGTAAGCGAATCTATTTTATGATCTATTCTTTAGAGTATTTTAATTTTAGGTTGCTTTAGGACTCTTATGTACAATTTATGAAGCAAGCTGATATGTATCTTCTAGCTGTCAGAAAGTAACTTCAGAAAGTATGATTGCTTATTATTATAGTCTATTAAAGTATGAATATCTATGCAGATAGTCATTTAAGTTTCTACATGCTACTTATTTTGTCTGTTGCGTTTAAATATGAATTGTTTAAGCAGTAGATGAGCACAATTCTGTTTATGAAGACCTGCAAAATGATTTCTGCAAGTTCACCCTTTGGTTACAAAGTAAATAAGGACCGTTAGTAATTGAAAGAATGTAGAGTGTCTAATTTCTGTCTGTCCTCCGTGTTGCAGAGACCTCAGCACTGAGAGCCTTCGCTATCTCAGTAGCAAGCAGGCTCTGGCAGATCTGGCTCATTTCCGCACTGCTTTTGCTCAGAAACGGGGACTGATCGGGAACAAGTGGGTGGCATTTGGTGGCTCGTACCCGGGCTCGCTGGCAGCCTGGTTCAGACTGAAGTATCCACACCTTGTCCATGCTGCTGTAGCTACTAGTGCACCTGTCCAGGCTGTCGTCAACTTCCCAGGTAAGTCTTTTGTCCTGGAGAAGACCAAGAAATTGAACAAAGATACCAAAGCATGCATATTATGTGGAACTTTCTTTCTCTGATTTTTTTTTCCATTTTTCTCTTTTTTTTTTCACCACGTTATTAGACGTTCTTCTCCTCCTTTTGCATTGATTTCCAAATCCATACCAGTTGAGTTGTGGAATATATCCTCCTGTCCCTGTGATCATTTTCCATGCAGTGCCAACACTTTTTATAATGTTTATCGTTTGACTGTCCTGAGAATAATAAAAAAAGTGTGTATAATTGAGTGCAACACAACAATAAGAATGATTTGGTGTTTTGTTGTGAAGTGAACCCAAACAAGAAAGGTTAGCTTTACTGGGGGTAAAGTTATGTTAATAAAAAGCCCTGCTCTGCTGTAATACTGGGACCTTTTGTACCGCAGGTCCCCCACGTCAGCACTGAAAGAGAACACCTGTGTTCGCACAGGTTCCTGCAAAATGACCTGGTTAGGAAAAAGCCAAACTTGTTCAGAATGCATGAAACAGCCACGGCAGGGAATGTTTGCATGGATTCTCTTTTGTGGGAGAATGGGATTAATGTGCTCATGCTTAATTCTAAAAGTTATCTAGAAATCACAGCGTGAAGGAAAATGCCAAAGATGAAATTAAGGATGTGAGAGCAGGCTACACATGAATGGCAGCCAGAGAGTAACAGGCTGAGACTGTTAATATGTTTTCAGATGGAAGCCTTTAACTGTGATATCTTGACTTTGTTGGCAAGTTTTTTTTTAATTGGGTGGAATAACCCCTTGGCATGTATATCCTGATCCACTGATTGGGCTCCTTGATTTTCTAAATTCAGGTGGTAAATCTCTGCTTTATTACTAAGCTTTTGAAAACCCACATTAAAAGACATGCGGTCAGTTCCAGTTCAGTAAAATGCATTGGATTGGGTTGATGTCCTCTTTCTCACAGTGTTAATCTGGGGGAGAAAAAGGAACGGCGAGGAGACAAGGACACGGCATGATTTATTTTGGCTCTTGGATGAATTGTTTTCATTGGCTCTTAAAAACTTTCACTGGCTTCCTGAGGAAACCGCAGGAGCTTAAGGGCGTGTGTGGCTATGACGATGGTACTTTTCCAACATATACAGGAAGATGCGTGCATTGCTCTGAAGGAAAGTTTAAGCAAGGGGTATATTTAAAAACAAATGGCATTCCCATCCCCTACCCATCCCTCTGTTGCAGCTCCTAAGGCTGGGTTAGTAGATGGAGAAAGCTGCTTTGCAATCTCTATTTTACCTGTCTAAAGTCTGTTCACCATCGAGAATTGAGTCTTTTTCAATTTGATTTGTTTTGCTTAGAAAGCATCCCCCGCTGAATGCATTGAATATCTTATATGCTGTACATATATGTAAATTATTCAGTGTGAAGCACTTGTATTTCAGGTTATTTCACCTGTAACTTTGTGCTGTCTTTTTTGCATTATTTAGAAAGTAGATTCAAAGTTACTGATAAAATGTGGAAATTTTTAATCTTCTTGCTGTGTAAAGACACAAACGATCCCAATAGGACTGATAGTCTTGAGGCTCATGCTTCATGCTTCTGGAGATAATTAACAGGAGATGTACAGCATCTTAAGTACTGGACGCGTAGCTGTCGACAAAGGTTCAGGCAGCCTGTGCTGTGTGAGAGACTGTGAGGGGGGAGAGTAAAATTCCCGAGTCCTTCGGAGGGATAAGCATGTTCTCACTGTAGCTTGGGAAAAAGGCCCGGGACAGGATGGCTGCCCTTCGGAAATATCAGGAGAGAGATAAACAATGCTCAGCAGGCAGCCCACATGCGGCCTCCAGGGTGGGGAGAGGCCGAGTCTGAAGCAGGAGAGAGGAAGTACTGCTGTGTTCCGGAGCTGCTGCTCGGAGCACTCACATTCCACAGCTGTCTGCGGCCTTCCTCGGCTCCGGTCGCCTGGGGGCAGCGCTGATGTCAGCAGGTGGACAAAGGGCACAAGTGGAAACAGTGGAAGTGCATTTAAGTCTGGGAACGGGAGGCGCTTCTGTACCCCAAGGGAGGTGGGAGTGTGGCTCAAGCAACCAGCCATGGTGTTGAAACCAGCGTCCTGGTTTCTTTTAAGAAATGGCTGGATAAGAATCTTGGATCAATTAGCTACCGGCTAGCAAACGCGCGAAATGGACAGAATGACCTCCTGTCCTTTTGGAACTATTCTCATGGCTGAGTGGTTTGAGCCTGGGCTGCGATGTGATTTTCAGCAAGGTCGCATGAGTCTGCAATCCAATGAGCATGCCAGACGTTACACTCTGGACCGTAGTAAATGTTTGAGTTTCTCGCTTTATCTAGTGTAGCTGAACACGGTTTTGCAGGAGAGGGATACTGGCTCATTATTCGAAACGGTCAAATCTGCATTGTGTGCTTCGTTAGACATTATCCATTTCAGCCTTGACATCTAAAATTTTAATTGTTTCAGCCCTGTGATGTAGTTTTCCTTCTCCGTTACTCAAATCTTTTGCGTTTATACACATTATTTTTATATGTGGCCTAAAAATGTTTTGTAAACTTTGCGAGCTATAATGGAAGTGATGCAAAACTAAAGTGTAGCATTCTGACAACCTCTTGCCAGCATCTGCAGGTGCCTTCCTAGATGTAAGAAAATAGCACTTAAAAGCTTTGAAAAGAAAGATTAAGCACTTTCATTTGTCTTTTACTTTAACAGGTTCGTTTTCTTCCAGGTTTACACTTGCGATTGACTTTTGTCCAGTATCTACCTTTACTAGGCATTCTGAAGGAGCATTTTATTAAAGTGTGCCTAAGACACCTATCCTTTTTGTTTTCCCCGTCAGAGTATCTGGAGGTTGTGAGGCGGTCTCTTGCGACTCACAGTCCTGAATGCCCACAGCTTGTAAAAAATGCCTCTGACACGCTCCTTGGGATGTTGAAAGACCCTAGAACCTATGATAACATCACTAAAGATTTCAGGTGGGTAACACTCAACATCACTGGCGTGTACTGCCTCACAGTTCTTAATGGTATTTATCTTCTCCCCACCTTTTAGAGGGAATTCTGACTTCGAGGCGTTCAGTCACAATTCTACAGATGGTAGCTCCACACCACTGCCTCCTCAGCCAAGCACAGAAACCCCATGTCTGAACCTGCAGCTCCTCTCATCCTGAGCAGGATCACTACTGCAGTGAGACATCATCTGTAGGGTAAAGCTAAGCTGTCTCTTGATGACCTATCTCCATGTTCTTCCAAGCAATGAAGGAAGAACACTCCTGTGCAATATGTCTCCTTCTCTTGTGGAGACTAGCCACAGGCATTGGCAGACGGCCTGCATATTTTGCAGCTTGATTGGCCTCGATGCCATGCTGTATCGTTAGTGTCCAGTAATGTCTCTCTCCACGCTTACTTGTTAACTGTGGAATTATACTCCTCAACGCACAGACTTTGACGAACATGTGCATCCCAGATTAATCAAAGTAGTATCATTTTTTTTATATTATACATCCTTAATAGCATTTTTATTAAGAACTACTTTTTCGCAGTAATCAGCAAGTTTGTAATAGAAAATATGCATTTTGGAAATAAGTCAGAGCTTGTCAGCCAAATATAGTGCCGCCTTAAATAAACTCAAACTTTACACATTCCCAGGCTACTAAACTCGAGCAGTATAATGTAGCCATAGAAGTCCAGCCTGCTTTGTATGCCAAGGGAAATGTGCAGACGTGCCAGTACTGGCCGTCACACAATGACGAGAGGGTAACTAAAGACCTGTGCGATCCAGCTCGTCACGGGTAATGTCAAAGGTCATTTTTCCTCTTTCGGCTGTGGTCTGCACACTTCTCACTTTTTCTGTTGCAGTCATGTTTGTATGCCAAGAGAGGCAGACTTTATCTTTGAAACCAAAAATGTGAAGGGATTGAGGGAAGCCATTGTCTGCATTGACTGGACACCAGACTTCTCCTCGCTGTAGACATTTTGGGTTCCCATTTTTCAGATTGGCTTCTCTCTCGGGTTGATCGTTTTTGTCCTTGCCAGAGGTCAGGAGTCTGTTGTGAGCTACTTAGCCTAAGTTGTACTCTAGTGTTATTTCATTAATTAAGTTCCCCTTAATGGGGATAATAATGGACAGACATTAGGGGTCACTTATAAAGAATGTTGTTTACTAATATTTTCTAAAATGGGACAGGAAGAATTGGGAAACATTAGTCCTCCAGCCATTACAAATTGCTTTCACATGTACGCTGGGAAAATGTGGTACCTTAAAATGAAATGTTGCTGGCAGACCACTTCAGTATCTTTGCCTGGACTCTGCTCTAGTGGACAAACCAAAAGGAACATTAAACAAAAGTAAAGTGGTTTAGAATTGCCAGAGTTGTAAGAAGGCACTGTTAAAGAAATGACAAATAAAGGGAGAAAAAAATGTATTGAAAATGTAAAGGATGCATACGTATTGTATATAAAAAGCATTTTATCCTTCAAGTTTTACACAAAGATGGCTTTGTTATAAGTTAGCTGTGCCAGTTATTCTGATTCTATGAACTTGCTTCAATTTCCTCTCTCCAAAGCCAAAACAAGAACCAGACAGCACTAAAGTAATTCTGTGTATTTTGATGGATGTGAGTGCTCTGGACGCTGAAAAATGAAGATGGATGAATAAATAGCACCATTTTTTTTTCTGGATTGCAAATGTATGCATCTCTGAGCCCGAGTGCTCATTTGTCTTCTGGCAGCTGATATTTGTGGGGCGCACTCCCCTCATACAGGTGGGGCTGTGTTTGAGATGAATTTAGCAGTGTTTCCTCCTGAGTCAGACTGTTTACTTACTCCGACCTCAGTCTGTTGGACTCAAGTGCTTGACACATTCCAAATGACTGCAGTCACAGTACCAATGGGCACTTCTCTGCTGGTTGTGCTCTCTTAGGAAACAAAGAAATTACACAAGGCCTTGTGAACAAGCTCTTTCATTCTGCCTGGATCAATAGACACATTCTTTGGTGCTGAGGTGTATTCTTTTGTGGATTATTTTTGTCAAATCAATTTAATTCTCTTGAATCCAATGCATCTACTTTAACAGCAAAGTAAAATAATTGCAATTGATCTTTTAAAATGCTTGACACATTCCCTTGTTAAAAAATTGAGTAAAAATGGGTTTACAGAAATACCAGCCACATAAACTTCTTCTTTGTCTGGTTTTTCTTAACCTCAGTTGATGCAATGGGACATTGGTTCATCATATTTAGTTTAAAACTGCGTTTTCTCCAGGTCATCAAAGTGTTATGAAAGCAATGCCTGTTGTAACCCTCCTACAATTTCTGTTTATATATTTCCCCATCATATGTGATTCAGGGAAGAATACTTAATCCACAGATGAAATAACATTTATGCAGTGGTCATGATGTCCAGCTGAACATCAATGAAATTTGTTACAGGGTTCACTGAAGATTTTGCAAAAGCTATAAAAGTAAGTAGCTTCTGCAATAAATCTGACAGATGCAGACAGTCCACCCCTTGTGTCAATGTGACCACAGGATGTGTGTTTTCTGTATCTCCTGTGGTGTGAAATCATTGGTCAGTGTGTGATGTAATGGCTGAGACCATTCCAGATGACTTAGTTCTGTTGTGCACAGATTAAATCAAATTACTTGGCAGGGCTCTTGTGTTGATACATTGACATTGAGATCGAGACATGTACTGGGCTTAGAATATGCTTTGGCTTCATAAGAATAAATGAATCTTTTACGTTGTTAGAGTGCCTTTGGATGAAGGTGGCAGGTAAATCTGTCTTCCTTTTTTATGAATAATGGGAATAGAGAGAAAATGGATTTGTTTGTGGGGAAAAAAAAAATACTCAATGTGGTGAAACCTTACGAATGTACTACAACAACTGTAACTTCAAACCCAAAGCCAGGTAATGGTGCAAACTGCAGTTGGTTTTTCAGTGTCTGTTGCTGTGGTTACCATGTGCCATTATTAATTTAACTAATTCATCTAAAATTCTATTCAAATGGTACATAAATTTGTACATATCAAAGAGTTTAAGGACAATACATTTTCCACCAGTGTCATGATGTGGTCACCCCAGAATTGCAAGGTAAAACAGCTGCAGGCAAAACCTGACTTCCTTTTCTGGCAATAGTATATATTGTTTTGCAGCAATTCAAGTTAATAGCAGCCCTGCAGACTTTAATGCTACTTGAGGATTTATGACAATGAGCAAAAGATTAGTAGCATCTGTTAAGGTTGTGCTCAAAGGAATATCTTATACCATCCTTTTTATCATTGTTTCCTTGCTGCCTTTGTTTCCCACAATGGGAGGTCTTTTTTGTGGCTCAATATAGATTTTGCTAACATTTCACCCTTTTTCAGAAATGGCTTCTGTTTGACTAAGATATGGAAGATACCAGGTGTTGCACAAGCTCAGTCCTGCAAAGCAGTTTGTGAAGCTAGCGATGTAGTTTCCCCTCTTCCTATTCAGAAACTGAAACGTCTCGTTAGCATTGCAAGCAATAATCTAGTCAGATGCAAGCGTGATTCTCTGCACAGCATACTGAAAGACGTGCCAGCTAATGAGTAATGTTGCAACAGGAAAAAATACAGAGCGTCTCCTTTAGTGCCACGTTTTGGAACAGTTTTGTAACGTGTCTGTTTTGGTGAACTCTCATCTTTAATGTCTGCGGTCAGTAAGAAACTAGGAACTCTGCAGTGAATATTACCTGTGCTTTTAGTCAATGTTTTTTTTTTTTAAAGAAAAAAGGAAATAAATGTTGGAAATTTTTATAAGGAGTGTCTTTGGCTCTAGTTTGTTTATTCTTCAACCCGAATGTATCAGGGAGCAGATTTGGAAGATATTTAATTATACTATTTAGAACACACTTTGCTATGTTTTTACTATTGCAGCTGACTTGTCCAGAAATAATTACTCTTGACGCTGTCGTCATGAGACACAACAAATTCCAGTGAAACAGCAAGTACAACAAAATGAGGAGCAAACTATGGGCTATGTACCAACCTGACTAGCTGTAGAGATATCAAAGTGTAACCATCTGCAACATTAGACTTAACAGCTTCATATCTGATTTGTGTATGTGACATCTGTATTATAGTCCATATGCAACATAATCATGATACTGTGATATACCTTTATTTTCTCATAAAGAAGTGAAAGGTACAAAGTTAATAGGAACACTAGGTACATCTTTGACCTCTCAGATTATTCACAATCCTTGCTGAATGTCTTCTTTGAAGTGGTACTGCGTGTAAACGTTAGTCCATTGCTTTAAAGTAGCATTGAATTCTGCATCGATTGCCTGTAGTATCTCCAAAAACATTTTATACTGTAGTTAATCTATTACAGTATAAATATATCAATCATCTCTTCATGTTCAAAGTGAAAAGAGTATTGAATCGGGAAAACGCATTCAACAGGGACTGTACAGAACATTTAACCTGTTGGTTTCAATTCTCCTTGTGCCCCTCGTAGTAACCCGGATCCCTTCCCTTTTCCTCAGCCTCTGCGAGAAGCTCCAGATACAGTCCAACATGGACCTGGCCTACTTCCTAGAAACGGTGGCGGGGAATTTCATGGATGTGGTCCAGTACAACGAGGACAACCGGGAGTTTGAGGTGAGGTGGAGCAGGGCGGGGCTCTGGACTGTGGGCTCTGTTGTGTTCTTGCTGTCTTAGCTGGCCCATCGACCCTAGAGAGTGACCGAAGAACCTGTTTCTCTCCAGATATTTAAACAAAGTTATACAATAAGGCAAGATATTTCCAAAGAATAGGCTTATTTGTACACACATTTGAAAAGAAGTGAAGATTCTTTGCATGTGTGTTTGCAGACTTTTGTCACATGTTCCTCGATCCTGTATGTTTGCTCTTTGAGAGATACAATTGCTGTGATTTATTATATAAAATTTTTCTGCAATTGTAACTAAACAAGTTGCTACACATTCTTTACTTAAACAGTTGTATAACATAATAGATCAAGCTCATGTGTTTCAGAAATGTTTTATGTAGGAGTGGCTAATTCACATTCAAGCCAGAAAACCTATTCTGATTTATGGTTAGTTTGAGGTTTTTCCTTCACTTAAGCTAATGAGGGATTTTCACAAAAGTCAGCCTAGTTTTTACTGAAAAGATGCTTGATAGTGTCTCTAACCAGCTAAGTGTAGATAAATTATTCTGCAGATAAATTGGCATGATAATATCCAGAATTATTGGTTCTGAGCATAGAGGAAATGTTTGCATAACTCTTGACCGTTTGTTAGAGTTACAATGAAAAATTGAGATACAGAATCTTTGTGAACAAGACATGAGTCAAATTTTCAATAACCTAATAAAAAGACTCATCCATACCAAAAGTCCTTTATGTGAGACAGTCACATTTCACTTGTCCCAGTGGCCTATTAAAAAAATCTAAAATGGTTTCTTTCGAATGGTTATGAACTATTTTTTAGCTTTAATGGATGTTGCTTGAATTTTGCAAAGCATTAGGAGGAAATCCAATACTTTTCAATTATCAGAAAACAGTATTAAAATATAATTATGGCCTTTCCATATACATTTATATCAATCCTCCTTTTTTTGAGATCTGAGCGATATTTGTCCTGAAGGACGAAAATATGCAGTAGTGCAGTGCAGTTGTTAATCATCCGCCTGTTTAAAAACAGCCCCCTTAGATCAGGAAAAATCTCCCCATGTAGCTGATAGGAATGTGTGGTCCACTTTTGGCCTGGACCAGATCCGCTAAGCTCTTCACGTAGTCTCAGAAGAGAAGGAACAGTGTTTTTGGACATAGCCTCACAGGAATGTAAAACATGGAGCTCTAATCTTACAAGACTGTATTGTTGTAGTTCTGTTTATTTAACTGCAGGGCGTACTTGGAACAAACATTACGATCAAAGCACTTTGTGGCATAATGTCCAATGTGTCTCTTGGAGAGCCATATAAGAGGTATGCTGCTGTCATGGCTTTGATGCTGAAGACCTTCTCCCAGAAGTGTCTGGATGGGAGCTACAGTGCCTACGTCAAGGAAATGGGAAACTCCTCCTGGAATGGTCCAGCCTCAGGTGGAGGTAAGGTGAAAAAGTCAAGTTCTCGTACCCGGGAGAAAACCCTAAAGATATTTCCTAAGTTTGACCCAAGGTGGTGCAGAACATGCTTTTAAAACACTAGGGTTACAAAGGGTTAAGAGTCAATATTCCTGCAAAAAAATAAAAAAAATTACATAGAGGATAAATCTTCTTGATAGGGCTGCCCAAACTGTCACCTACTTGCACAAATTAATTTTAAAATTGTTTAATGTTTTTGTAGTAGTTCATTAGGGTGCTGGCAGTTCTGTTTCCATAGTGTTTAAAACATGGGTCTCCAATCTGTTCTTGAAGAGCCCTGATTCAAATATTCGTGATGTACATCTCCCGAAATCACCTGTTTTGCAAGACTGACCAATTAACCTAAAATGTAAGCAAGAAGATCTCTGATGGGGACTGAAGGGTATTCAGGTTTTTGTTCCAAATGATCACTAAATTATTTTTACAAATCAACTACTTAATTCATCAGAGCTTATTCCAGAAACTGAATGATGTAATGGTTGTATATATAACTTGCTTGGTTGAGCCTCTCCTGCACTCTCAATGATTTAGGGAAGGGAAATGGGATTGCTCTCTTGATGTGTTTTATATAATCACTGCCTGAGCAAGCAATCTGTCAGGACAACCACAGTTACAGCAAGGTGTGTCTTATCCTCCTTCACTTATTTGGCATTTTCTCTGTGGGTTCATCAGACCCAGGAGTAGACTGGACTCACGCATTTGCAAACATTGAGGAAAAGTGAAGAAAAGAGAGTAATTTGTTTTTAAACAGTGACCACAACTTTTACACTTCTCTAAGGGGTTCTCTAAAATTTTTAATTTCTAAGGACTAAAAGCTTTTATATACATTTCTAAAGGTTTATGGTAGCTTATTAAAAGTTAGTAACCACCCACAGAAATATAAGACGACAAGGGAGTTTTTATACAGCTCTCTTGTGGGTAGTTTATTTTAATAGAGCAGTATATTGATGCAGTTTAATTTTAGTGACTTTTACTGCTGGGATGCTGGCTTTTTCTGTGGGTGCTGTACTCAGTACTGTAGTCTTATGGGGGAGGAGTTGTGTGTTTGTTCTTCTGTTATGAGATTACAACATCGCTGTCTGTAATTGTGTATGTATAATTACAGTACACAAAACAATGAAATGACTGCCATACGAGACAAAACTGCCTTTCTCAGGTCTCAATATAAAAAAAAAATGACATTTTTAGTAATTATACACTGTCTGGATATGAGGAATGTATCGCCTCAATCTAGTTCCAGCTTGGGTGAACCACAGATGTTGGTGTTTTATTTATAATAGTACGCTAAAACAACACTATTTGATATGGGGAATGTTTGAATCGTAAAATCAAAGCTTTCCCTTTTCATATCTGTGTGTGATTTCTGCTAAGGTGGATTTGCTCTTTAATCAGAAAGTAGTTGTTTTTTTTTTTGGTGGCCATAGGAAATTTGATCTTATAAAATTAAAACCTTAAGGGGCACTGGTTTCTGAGAAATTATAAATGTTGTCCATTATAAATAAAACGAGGACTTTGCTGTTGTAAACATTTTCATGGAGTATGAGAAAACAGTAATACAACACCCACCACTTTGTGTTAAATCCATACCTGGCGCAGATGATCTCTTAATCTTTAAGGAAATATTTGCAGCCAGTTTGGATTTGTCCTTTACTTAAAAGAATACTGAGCTTTTTTTTCTTTTTTCCTGCCCGGTCCTTGTTTGCTTATAACTGAATTATCGCGACTAATGTTATAGGGATAGGATAGTGATGGAAACTTTTATGCATTTTGAGTAAAATGAAAAGTTTTTATTATTAGCCCCATTTCTCAAGCAATAGGAGTTGCTATTTCTATGGGTGAGCACCACTGTGGTTTTTAACCTTTTATTTGTTTACCCAAGTGGTTTGCATTTTATTCTCTGGTTCCTGCATCACAGGAGACTGACAAGATAAAAACATACAGTTTTCTGAGGTTTTGTTCACTGTATGGACACAGGGCATCAAGCCAGGGGATTTCTGAAGACTTCCCTACGAAGAAGAAAGAACAGAGCTAATAAAACTTTTCTTTTGAAATATGCCAGATCTGTTAAAACCTTAACAAAAAAAAAAAGACGGACATGGAGAAGCTACTCTGTGTACCTCCATGAGTCACAGAGGTTAACCAGAGATTGGTGTGTTTCTGATGACTGATGACTGATTCAAGTGGGCTGTTTTTCCTTCCTGGTCACTTGTGGTGCTGTCAGTAGCACTTAGGCAGTTATTCTTTGTATCAGTTTTCGGAAGTTATAGTATTTCAGCATATACCAAATCGTGGATTGAGGGTACTAAGAAACAAACTTTCTTATTCACATAACTTTTTCGGGGGAAGGGGGGATTGTGAGGTGAAATACTACAGTCTTAAAGCCGTTCTTACCAACTTAAATCAAGACCGCTTTCAATTCTACTTCTACTACAGGCACGTTTGTTTCAGAAAAAAAAAGAATTATATGTTGTTGAAGAACTGAGCAATTTTTATGCCTTTAGGAAGACAGTGGGTCTATCAGACGTGCACAGAGTTTGGCTTTTATCAGAGCACTGACTCACCTGATCAGCCTTTCAGTGGGTTCCCCCTGCCGTAAGTATTGTGCTGATTTCTCTTTTCTGTAATGTCACAGGTCGCCACAGCTTTAATTCAGCTGTTGATCCATTTTGATCTATTGAGGCATTTTGCCTGTAGTAAGACTGCACCTAGGAGACCCAGACCACCTCATACTCCATCTTATGCTTAAGGCTGCATGTAACCTTAAATTAAAGCTTAATGTCTGGGTAAGCTAATTTTGGTCTGCAAACTCAAAAGAAGTCAGAAATTTCTGAACACAGAAACCACATAAATACATTGATTGCAACCCTACTAGCTGTATTAAGATGCAAGAAATATGATTCATCTTTTCTAAGCAATCGTTTTAAACACCAGTTTCTGCAGAATTCCTGAGAATATATGCTGTAGTGGAACACTAGGGTATATTAATCTTTTCATGTTTTGTGAAAGTCTCCAAATATTGTATTTTTTTTGTAAGTCAAGAAGCTGAGGTTTGAACAACATGTATTTTTTTAAGCTGTATTTCCAGGGAAGGCCTTGGTTCGTGACTAGCAGGAGACGTCATGCTAAGGTTCCCATGGTTACCAGCCTAGCTAGTTAAATTTACACTCAAGCTGTTGTATTTTGATCAGTTTGAACTGTGAATTCCTGGCTCTCTGAAGCCTGTCCAAGCTTTTTGGGAGACGGGATGTGGAAACAGACCAGCTTCCCCTTTGAGTTTGTTTGGGAACAAAAGAAACTTTTACCGGAGAATGGGAGGACAGGGAGAATCCAGTTGACCACAGGCTCCCAGCTTTTCATAGTGTGGTTTATGAATAAAAACTCCCTGATAATATAAAGGACACAAAGTATTAGCCATCTGTATCAGTGTAACTGGGAGCTGGCCAAGTCACTTAGTGTGGGAAGAAAAAGAACACTATGTGAACATAAAAACTTAAAATTTGATGCAGCACCATTTCAGCTGCAGAGCGGGTGCCAAACACTGAACTATGGATAACCAGCTGATCTTTGGGGTTTTGTCATTTTAGCCTTTAAAGAATAAATTGACACATCTGTGTGGTGTTGTGTTAATCTGTGAAAAAGGAGTGTTCCTCCAGATAAAAGCAGCACCTGTGGAATTGTAGCTTTCCAGGAACCGTGACTTGACCAGCCCCAAGCTTCAGTTTTCTGCTAGCTTGTGGATTAATGTTTGGTCTGTTTTGTTTGCTCTATGTGAAGGCCAATAGACTCTTGCAGGACACTGGTTATTACCCAGCTAAACTTATCTTCCAAGAGTCTTCTTCGCCGTGTTTACAGTCTGACAATGTTTTGGATAGAATCGATTTTGTTGAGAATTCCATGTGTGTTTTGTGTGGAGTAGATGGGTTTGCCAAGGACACGTGGAGCTCTTCGCATTCCAGTAACGCTCAACAATAGCAGCCCTGTTTTGCCAGCAGATAGTGTCTCCCATTTCAGGGTCAGCCTCGTGTCCTTGTTTTAGTGAGGAAAGGCACAGTCTTATTTGCACGAGGAATGAGCTTTTACAGACCAGATTGCTGTGCAGTTAGTCACCCAATGATGTTTTCAACCTTCTGAACCTGAGAATTTTAAGCAGCCTACTTCATAGGTTGTATTGGGGACTGAGCAGCGATGAATGATGTGTCGCCATGGGCTTTAAAAAACTGTTGCGAAGAAAAATCGTTTGCAAGAATGTTTCATAATGATGGGAATCCGATCAAAGCTGTCTTTGAAACGCAGAGTGAGAGGTTTTCAATGCTTTCCCTCAGGTACCACCTGCAGCAGTGCGCCGATATTTATGGGGCCTCGTTCACGGGCACCTCAGTAGCTGATGCAGTGCAGCAGACAAACGAGTACTATGGGGGCTATGACATCAGGAGCAGAAGAATAGTCTTTCCCAATGGTTCCATCGATCCTTGGCATGCTCTGGGAATCACCAAAGACATTGCCGTTGACCTGCCAGCTGTGTTCATTGAAGGTGTGTTCCGTTGACCCTTTTCCCCAAAAAATATTTATTTATATTCTTGACTCATTTATTTATAATGCTGTTTAAAATGTGGGGGGAGAGACCTAGAAAGTCGCATCATCTTTTTATACAGATATTTATGAATTTGAATAAGCCCATTCACAAGGTCCTTCCTAATCGCTTTCACATTCTCATTCTCAACCTTTTAGATTTTCATTCACATCATAATTGATTAATGTGGTCAGAGATGTACCATTTACAAAAAAGACTGATACTGGGTATGAGTGTAGGTGTTCACGATTTTGGTTCTTTTAGCATTGGCTCAATTTTGTGTGAGCCTTTGCCTTCTGCACCTAGACTACAAGTGAAAGAAGTGGAGTACATTTCATCGATACTGTAGGCTAACATGTGGATTCTCTCTGTTAGGTACAGCCCACTGCGCCAACATGTATCCAGCAAGAGAAGAGGACTTACCCCAGCTCATCTTTGCTAGAGACCATATCTTTTTACTCCTCCAGAAATGGCTTAAGCAATAGAATATGTGGAAAAAGACTTTGTACTGTATGTTACAAAACCAAAAAGGTACTGGCCAAGACTCCTTAAAAAAAGGCATCGTGATTCTGTAAGGCATAAGGTTTTTTTGTTTTTTTTCAAATAAACTGATGTAAACGAAGTATTAAGTATGGCTTGAGAAAAACGTCCAGCCTGTAGTGAAAACATGTACAGTAGTTTTAGATTTGCTTTCGCTCACTGTGATGACAGTCGTTGGGGCTACTGTGGGGGCAGGCTCTGTGATGGAGTTTGGTGCTCTCTCTTCACGCATCACCATGGAAATCAGGTCAGCTGCTGGACCGATCGGCTGTTGTGGCTCAAGTACGGAACTACCCACCTACAGTACCATCAGAGTGATGTAAGGTACAATGACTAAGATTTATATAGCACAGTGCACATGATGATGACTAAACTGTTGAAAATAAATGGAACTGTAAATACTGAAGTCTGTGGACGCTCATTTCACTTACCGCACATTTCATATCAGTAAAAAAATAGCTCAGAAGGATGTGGTGAATTATCTCGGCACACAGCGATTAAGAAGTAAACTGTTTTTTAAAAGACCTTCATTGCATTCTAAGTGTAGGCGTTTCTTTCAGTGCTAAATTCCGTCAGTGCTTTTAGCAATGTTTTGTCCTCGCTTTACATCTGTATTTTCCTATACTTTAACCTACAGCTATGCTGTGCATTAGAACGCTCTTTTAACAGAGGTCACTGTCTTTAGAAATCAGACAAACTCATACAATGAAAGGAAAGTTCTGCTGTGGAGTTTCTAAACTGAAGATGATTGCAGATTTTTCCAAGCCTTTTCCTGGCAGAACAAGCTCATAGGCAAGCTGAAGCAACTTGTAAGATTTGTTTATAGTTCTTTATTTATGTCAACAAAAAGCCCAGAGAGTTGATGCCTACAAGAGTAACGCATGTTGTTTGAGAGCCTCCCCTACTTCAGTGAGCTCCATAAAAGACTTGGTATATTTATTAAAATGTTGTTTTTACCCTGCTTACTGTAAATCGAGAAACCTTCACAATTAGATTTAGCTTTTTTTTTTTTTGCTGTTTCTCTTAAATTGCCACCACCTTCCTTTTCTAAAATGTTGCAGTTTGGAAAAGCAACGGTGCTGTATTCTTCAACCCACCCTCCCACGGTATCACGTCCCCCCTGTCCTGTAGACAGCAGGCAGGACAAGTTGGCTATTGGCCATTCCCAGAGCTCAGAAGCAGAGCCTTGGTGTCAGTGGAAGGCTGGACACCCTTAATACCAAGACAGTCTGTCATACAGTCCGCCAGTCATGGGCTGATTGCATGTGGTTGACCCAGGATCTCACAGCCAAATCCACACCAACAACTGGTTCCAGCAGCTCTCGGGCAGTTTTGAGGTTCCACTGGGACTTGCAGAGAGCCCGCAGATAGCAGAGCCTTACCTTGGTCTTCAGGACAAGCTATTAGAAGTGTTTGTTTTGTAAGGGAAGCTTATTTTGGGCCAGTGATAATAACTGTAGAAGGCAGTATTTCCACTCTTACTTCACTGTGCAGGCCTGTCTGCACAACCGCTAGGGGTTGAAATCATCAGCCTCCAGGCCAGAGGACACAGTCTGCCTCCGACCAAAGACATCTTTTTTCCCCATATACTGTATATTTTTATAGGATTATGAAATCAAATTTTCCTTTTTAATTGAGTTTGTTTTCTGATCACATGTTGTAGAAAGTTTGTATGTTTTACTCAAGATGAGTAATACACACTTAAGCCACAATCCAACATGAAATTTATAGTAATGTCATTTTTTTTTCTTCAGATGGGTGATTTTCATGAATTTACTTGTGTGGATATAGGGAACCTGGTCTTTTTTTCAAAGGGAAAGATGGAACAGAGCTTAGTCATGTTAATAAATACAGACATAAGCACTGAGTGTCTAAACTAGCAGACGTTAGGAAATGCTGTAAGTCTCGGTAAAACCAGAACTGCAGTAATATTGAAAACCAGGAATCTGTGGGGGAGGGCTTCTGAAGGATTTGGCAGCATTCAAGCCCTATGCACCTCAGTCTGTTGGTATAAAGGTATTGCCAATTTCTGAAGCAACTGGCACACAAAAGCTTGACTTTTGGCTATACTTCACTATGTCATAATTTGCTGAGAAAAGTAATTCCAGGTGCAAAATGAACTGTGCTGACAGTTTTTATCCCCAAACACCTGGAGCATAAATGCAGTACTTCAGGTTCTGTCTGCATCGTTCATATGGACTGCTCCACCTCCAGAGATTGCAGGAACAGAAGGACATATTTGTGAAATCAGTTCTGGATCAACCCAGCTCACGCTGCCTGAAACCGTCTTAGTCAACCGAAGTGTTGATATTCGCCTGAAGCTTTTTTAATGGTTTTCCATTAATACAAAATTAGAAATGCATGTGGGCATTTCATTACACTTAATCACTTGTTCCTATAGAAGTCTTCTGCTGGCACCCCATAACATAATTTATCTTGATATTCCCTCGCATAATACTCTATGTAACGAGTTTTAGAGTAGACCCACAAAGCTCGCCGTCTTTCTGCAGCATGGGTGTTTAATGAGCTATTCTGGTTTCCCTGAACTTATAAAATGCCCTCTTTCAAATGATACGCCTGGATATTGAATTATTGAAATAATTCGATTCGACGCCTAAATGACGTTATTGGAATATGTTTGATTTAATAAGCATTAAGATGATAAGCAGCAAAATCATTTACCGAGGAAAAGTAAATCGGGAGGCTGTTTAACAGTTCACTGCTTACGGTTACTCCATATTGAAACAAAATATTATTTCGGAAAATACAATAACAAGGAGCACACCAGACAAACTCCTCTGTCAGGGCCTTTTAAACGAAATTTCTAAGGAGGTGTCATTTCCTGTTGACGAAGTAAAAGCGGCGTTTCGTTCTCCACTCATCTCGTCCTCCAGCTCCCAGGGAGGAGTTCTTGAAAAGCTAGTAAAATAAACAAGGGGCGGTAGTTTGTCCACACATGGTATAAATGTAAGAGGGATAACTGTGAGATTTTTAAAGACGTAATATATCGATGTATATTTAATTAACTCGCTACGGAAGTTTTTGAAGGCTTTCGTAGTTTGTTTGTGTGTTATGCACTGAAACGAAAGCATTTTGGGAAATCAAAAGGTAAGGTTCTTCTTACAGGTGGGGTTTGGTTACAGCTAATTCGCGGCGCTGGCTTTGTTGGGTTTGAATTCGCTACACTTTACGTCGGGTTGCTTAGATAATTAAGGGAAAACGACGTGTTTGTAAAAGCTTGCACGTGGATAAAAACACTTTTTCAGGGTAGCAGTGAAACAAAGTAAACCTTATTTTCTGGAATTAATCGCTTGAAAGCAGTCGGTAAACGTTCCTGGTTACTATAGTCAGAACTGCATTTTTTTTAAAGACGCAGAAGTGCCCAGCAGTTATATATTTAGTACAACCTATAGCCTTTTACCTAGAAGTTTAATTGTCAGCCATTTTTTAAATGTATGTGTAAATGAATAAAATGTCTTTGTTGGATGAACACATTTGCGATACTATTTCAGAATAGTCAAGAAATTGTTTCACTGATCCGGAAGGTTCTTCTCTCAACCAGTACAATACACATATTGTAAACAATACAAATATCTCTTTTCCAACACCTCAGTATTGTTGTGTGTAAACAAACAATACATTCAAAACGCTGTAAAAGCTAAGAAACATCGTGTGATAAATTGCAAGAATACTTACCTTGGTGAAGGATTAAGTTTACCATCTGACACATTTCGAGAAACGCTTGAAAATATTTTGCACGGAAGGACAAGCGTTTAATTTGTAAAACGTAGCTGAACAAATATTTTATGCGTTGGTCTGCTTTAAGTGGGGGTTCCGCCTAGATCGTTTTCATTTTGGAGAACATCATTGTAGCCCCGTCTGAACGATTAAATATATATTAAAGTTTTTAAGGTGTGAGGAGAAAGGGAGGGATCAATTTTTTTTCAGCTTTGTGACAATTATTTCATAGAATTAGTGCTACAACCGTCGGACACCTAACCTCGTAAACCATTTAAGATTTTACGTTTTTAAACGACGTTATTCTTTTCCTACTCTTTTCTTCTGTACGGAATTTTCAAATTCCAAATTTTTCAGGTAAATTAAAATATTTGCGCTGTTTGACTTGCAAAGAAGTTGAATGTTATCTGACCCCCTTACTGACAACTACATTTTAATTCTGCACATCAATATTTGTAGTGCAAGGCACTACAAATATTGTACTTTGGGGAATTTCAGACTACTGTAGAGGAATGATTCACAGTGAAGTTACCATGTTATTTCCTATTCATATCAGCCGTTTATCTTTGCTGTTCATAGGACGTTTTATTAAAGAACTGTATTTGTAAAAGGATTTGAATGATTTTGCAGTTTAATGATGATGCATTGAAAATAGTATTTGCAAATAATTTTTAATCTTCTTGCAAGAGACTATAACTAAACTTTCCCGCAAGCTACTTCCTGTAATGAACCCACTGTGCACAAATAATACGTAGTTGTTTGAAAACGGAAATATCTTACCCATTAGAATATGGCTTACATTAGCTGAAGAAAAAATAGTTGAGCATTTTATGTACAGATTACCAATTTATCTAAAAGGGGTAAAGGTATATAATTCTTTCCCCTTCTGAGAGTTTATGCAATATTTCTCTAGAAACTAGGTAATTGTCCAAGCAGATATTTTCTATAAAGAGAACCAACGTTTCAATGTGCCTTCAAGAAGTATGTGCAGTGTTGAGCTTAATCTTTACTATAAAGTATACAAACATAGTAGTTTGAAAAGCGAAAAGCTGAGTCAAGTTTGTCTGATAAATGAAATTCACAAATGAATCATTATTTGGGTCTTTTTGTTTCGGTCCTTGATGTTTACCCATTCTTCATGACAGCCAAGCATTTGAATATTTGGATCTGTATTGGTGAAGGCCTACTCATAAAATATAAAAGTGAACAGAACAGGGAGGTGACAGCTGGCAAATGAATGTACCTAGGATGAGAAGCTCCTTAAGTGCTGCGTGAGTTATCTGAAAGATGGGAAAATAAATGATAACCATTCTGACATCTTTTAAATTAGCTGTGTCTCAAACATGGCTGCTGCTCATTGCTTTTGCTTGGGTGTATGTTTTCTGTATGGTTTGGAACATGCTGTAACATTAGCCTTGCGCTAGTGGTTTCTCTGGTTACGAAATGCTTAAATTATACATCCACGTATATTTACAGTTGATCTTGCAGAGCCAGACAAAGGTTTGTGAAATGGCGTTTCATTGTGTGGTTTTATTTTTAGCCAAAACAAAAGATGTAAACTATGCATTTCTATATCAGATGTTTAACATGTCCCTTTTTTCCTGTGAATTGCAACCTTGTTTTTTCTACTGTTTGAACAGTTGAGCTCTACAACATGGAAATGTGATTATATATTATTTATGATTTAACATTTTTGCAGGGCAGTCGTCTTTAATATACCTTTATGTATTTCCTTCTAGGTGTATAAATAGTCCAGAATGGGACATCTCTCCCTCATCCTGCTGTCCCTAGGCATGGCGATGTCCACTGTCTATGCCCAGATCCCAAGTACTTCTTCCTATGGAGAGCGGGGCTCAGACTTGGGGATCCAGCTGTTTGCCCAGGTTGCGAGGTCCAGGCCACAGGAAAATGTGGTTATGTCTCCACATAGTGTGGCCAGCATCCTGGGAATGCTGTTGGTGGGAGCAGAGGGCAACACCAGAAGACAGATTCTGACAGCCTTGAGATATAAGAAGCATGGTATGTGGCCTGGTATTGCATGGTATTGGGTAGCACATTTTCTCCAGTCCACACCACGTTATTTTAAGTCATCATTCTTTTTTAATTGTGATGCAGTTTATCTTACTTTTTCACTAGGTCAATAAAACTGTTTTATCACTATTTCAGCTTTGCCTGGACTTGCTTGTTCACCTTAATTCAACATGATAATGATGCAGATGTGCCAGCTGAATAATTTTTACAGAATTACAGTGATCTCTGCAAATCAAGGATTGTATTTTTAAAAAAAGTCAGTAATATTGAAAAGAGATTATATTTCCGACAGTGATGCAGAAGTGACAGTGATGTCTATCGGTTGTTTGTATCAGTTATAGATTGGCTACGAGACCATATTTGAGGACATCAGTTTTATTTATGCAGATGTATTGGAGACGTTCCAGAAATATATTGGTTTAATTAGGTAAAATCAGTACTTTCTGCTACTTTTTGGTAGTTGGTTTAAATAATTTTGCTATCTGTGCTTAATTTCCAAGGGCCTTATAAAATGCTGAAAAGACTACACAAAAATCTGACTTCCAGAGAAAATCGGGACTTGGTGACCATAGCCAATGCGATTTTTGCTCAGCAAGGCTTTAAAATGGAAGACCTCTTTGTTTCTACTAACAAAGCCAATTTCCAGTGTGAATCAAAGAATTTAGACTTTTCTGACACCAGCGAAGCTGCAGATTCTATCAACAACTGGGTTAGAGATCATACAAAAGGTAAGTTGTCAGACTGCAAGTTGTTTTAAACATTTCCCCATACATCAGTGATGAAGGGCTGTAAAGCTGAAACATGTCTGTGATCACTAGAATGTACTGCATTAAAAAAAAAAAACTGAAAGCAAAATCGTCTAAGCTGTTACAATTGACTGTGTACCACTTCTGACGTTCCTGGGATTTTGGTGTGTTAATGTAATCGTCAGTGAAGGAAGACTTGTTTTAATCTGGCATTATGCCCAAAAGATTGCTCAACACCCACATGACCACAAAACGGGAGCAGGTTGTAGTTTTAAAAGGGGCAAGGTTATTGTCCTTTTGTAGATCACTGAATCATTTCGTAGATCTAATTTAAATACTTGCAATTGCTAGCCTCCTTTATTTTGTTTCTCCATAATGAAGAATTCACTGGGATAGCCTAGAAAACTTCAAAAATCCACACAAGCTGTTCAGCACCTGTTTAGATGAACTGCAATGTAGGCATAGGGTATACAGTAGGAGTAACTACATAAAAGTGACTGATATATGGTGGTTTGTTATTAAAGGCTTGTGTAATTTTTTTCCCCTCTTTCAATTAACCTCATTTAATAAGTCTGTTTCTTTTGTCAGCACTCATGTTCAAGTAGAGGCATAGGCTACGAAAAGTAGTTACAGTATTCATATTTTTTACTCTGTATTGTCTTCATTCACTTTAACATGGTGTCTGTTTGCTGTTTCAGGCATGATACCTACAATTGTCTCTTCAGACATGCTTGATGGGGCTCTCACCAGGCTCGTAGCAGTAAATGCCATATACTTCAAGGGCTTGTGGAAATCACGGTTTCAGCCCGAGAACACCAAGATGAGAAATTTCACTGCAGGAGATGGGAAGGTTTACAGAATTCCTATGATGTCACAGCTTTCCGTGTTCAACATTGGTAAGAGCTCCTTGAGATTAAGGTTATCATCCAGGATGTTGGAACTTCAGGCATGCAGAGTGCTGCCGATTGGGGAGCTCAGAACTAAATTGCATGTTCGGTGGTAAGATTAATGAGAAACAACAGCTGACAAATAGAAGTATTTCATACAATCAGCAGTTTACATGTCTTTTTTTTGTTTAATGTATAATTAGGGCTGCAGTGCTGATCGAGTGCTTGTTTCCCTAGGCTTGGCAAGTACCCCTTTTGGCATCAAGTACAAAGTCATCGAGCTGCCCTACCATGGAGACACTATCAGTATGCTGATCGCAGTGCCTTCTGAAGACAGTACTCTGGTCTCTGAAATAATTCCACACATCAGCACCATGACCATTCAGAGCTGGACGAAGCTTATGAACCAGAGAAAAGTACGACTTCTCCTGCCAAAGTAAGGTGAACCACTTTGAGCTGCCTTTTAAGATATGATCGTGGAATGTACATATTCTAAAGGCCCTAACATGTTCAAACTGTTTTCTGGAAGAATAGTTTTCTTAAAGCTGCCAAGTTTAAACCTGCTTCTCCCGTTTCACTATAAAGATTTGGTTTTTGCCAAATCTGTTTTTATTCAGTTTGCAAATGAAATAAGCTTCCTGTTCAGGGTATGGAGACTTCTTTTGAGATTCAGTTTATCAAAGCTGTGATAATCATTGCAATTAATTTATCAAATTGACAGAATTCACACTTATTGTTTCAGTGCTCCATCATGGTTGGGGACTGCTTTTGTAGCAATAAAAAAAAAAAAATCCCCCATGATGTCACTTCAGTGCTGTGCAATCCATTTTTACAAGTTGTGAAACATGTGGCAATGCAATACAGCTGTTGTGTTTAGAAAGTCTGTTATCAATGCCGGTCCCTCATCTTTTACAGATTTACAGTGGAAGCAGAAACAGATTTGGAGGCACCTCTCTCAGCTCTTGGTATTACAGATATGTTCGATCAAACAAAAGCAAACTTTAAACAAATAAGTAAGTATAAATAAATGCTGGTACAGCTGCTTTAATCCGCTTGAAATATCTTGGTAGATGTCTGACCTTAGGAACCAGTGTTCCGTTTTGTGTTAACCCTTGAAGTTAAAAGGCAGTTGTTTTTCCTGGTTTAATGTTGGGGAAACGCACAGTGGTGTGGCAGCTAGCACTCCAACAGCTGTTGGGTCCTGGTTCTGGTTCTGCCCGGTGTACCTCCTGTGTGAAGATTGCAGGTTCTCTCTGTGCCCATGTGGGTTTACTCCAGGTGCTCCAGTTTCCCCTTGCCTCCTGAAGACAAGCTGTGCAGGTGATTTCGTGTCTATGACCTGTAGTGGACTGGCAGTCTTGTTCATCGTGGAGTTCCACCAGGGCAGACTCCTGGTTACCCAGCCATTATTGTCAATAAGAGGCTTTGTAATGATTTATAGAATCGCATGCCTTTAACGCATGCATTAAATAAAACTATATGGTCTACTATATAAAAATATATGGTCACGTCACTTTTGATATGGGAAAAATAAAAATTTCCTAAAAGCTCCTCGTGGTTTAAAATGACTCTTTACTAGCTGTTATGGCTGGCAGGTCTATAGATAGACAAGTAGGTTAACCATATAACTCATGTTGATCAATGAACAGGGACAGCAAGGGATTTTAAAACGTGCCCTGAAATGGAGTGACTGACTGTTAAATTATGTATTATCTCTTGATTGAGAGCTGTTTCTTAATTAACATGCAAAAGAGACATTTTATTGTAATTCATTCAGTTATTGATATAATAACATGATCAGGCTTCTGTTAAGAAATTATACATAAAACCTAATTTCTCTTCAAAATATTGATCGCCGGCAGGAGCAGTGAGTAGGTAATCTTAATTACAAGTTAAATGAGAGTGGACATTAAGCACTCATAACCATCAAGATGTAGATCTTCATTTAAAACGTAACCTTCTTTTCTGTGACAAATAGAACAGCCTGTATTGGACACAACACCATGTTCAAAAGGACACTTGATTTACAACTCCTGCTTTTTTTCCCCCAAGTTTAAAAGCATTTTTAAACATACACGTAACTTTTAACCTTTTCCATGTCTCTGTCTTTTCCTCATTCAGCTTCATATCACCTTGAAGATGGCTGGAAAATACTTCCATGAGTTTACATTTTAAAAGACCTTGTAATGTAATTTATTAATAAAAGTTTTGTTTTTTTACATTTTTGCTGTCTTCTTATTGATAGGTTCAGAGCCCCTCCATGTATCGAAGGCATTGCAGAAATCCAAAATTGAGGTGACTGAGGATGGCACCAAAGCATCAGCTGCAACAAGTAAGATTCTGACTTCTGCAGCTGACAGAGTAGGCCAGGGCTGTCTGATTCTAGGTTTGCACGGCTGGTGTGTCTATTTTCATTCAGTTCTTAATGGCCTAAGTCTGTTAAATTTAGTCCAGTTGCTTTACAGTTAGCTGTGGCCCGATTGTTGTTTTATAAGTACTGTTCTATGAAGCCTTTGCATCTGGACCTGATGGGGTTGTAAGGTGCTTTTGAATCAACAGAAACGCGTAGAAAACCTGCAGACAGACCAATTCTCAAGGATCAGGATTGCACATTCCTGTAACAGACCCTTATTTTTATGGTCACAGGAGCATGTTGGATTCAGTCACTTAGTACTACAGATTTAACACAACCTTAATTGCATACTTCTCATTTATGGGACCCAGACCCATAACCACTATAGAGTAATCTGCATGTGAGTGATACTTGAAGCAATTTTATATCAACATTTCAATAACTAAAGGGCTTTGACCTTAGTATGCTATTTGATGCTTTTTAGTTTTTTGTATCAAATTCCATTTTTCTCTCTCAAGCTGCAATTTTACTGGCCCGGTCATCACCCCCATGGGTCATTGTGGACAGACCATTCTTGTTCATCGTTCGACACAAGGCGACAGGTAGAGATTTGCAGAACCCCGTTCTGTCTTGCATTCTCCTTCATCCTCTCTTCTGAATGATCCATGCTTGATTGATTTTCAAATACTGTACATACTGGCTGTAGAATTTAAAGTTTCACAATTATGGTGTCTTTTTTGTTTTTGTAATGTATTTCTAGGTCTGTACAAACTAGAATATATTGCTATAAGCCACCATCCTATTAATATCCAGTACAATGCAAACAAGTCTTTACGCGAGGAGCTTGTGTAGAGAAGTTAAACTGTTAGACAACACGCAGTCTTCTCCAGCAATCTCAACAGAGAAACAAGAGACACCAAGTACTAGAGCAGCTTAATTTTATTTTGGCAAAGACACTTCAGGCATTTGTAGATGTTGGGATTATATAGGTGTGCACAATTAATTTTAGTGCAGTAACTCGGAGAGAATTACTGGGCTGTGTCACAGAATCGGCATGGTCATTGCAAGTCTTCCTCCTCAACTTTTCAGAGCTGAACTGGGCCGTGCAGGCTCTGACCTGGAGCTTAGTGATGTCACCCAGCAGCTCTTGAAGAATGGCATGTCATCTGTTCTGTGTAGAGCTGCAGTGCAGTAACACAGACTTTGCCAAAATGGAAGACCTAATAATGTTAGTCATCACCGATGCACAATAAAACTGATTTTGCACTGTTTGCAAATACATTTAACTAAAATAAGTTCAATAGTTTTGTGTAAATGCAGTAACAGTTCCCACCTAGCTGCCTAAAGCAGAAAGATTTCCATAAATATGGTAATAACCTGGCTTCACTGGCATTGACACTGGCATCTGGTAAAATAAGTGATAATTCAGTTTTGATGAGCAGGAGGGGGCCTTTTCTCATTGAATTAACTGTCTGACTTTTGGTGTTTTTCAGGTACTGTGCTCTTCATGGGCCAAATTAACAAGCCTTAGATCATCACTGTGCTGAGAGATGAGACACAAACAGACTACCTTACTTTGGTTCTATTGCCTCCATTGTCTTGCTTTCTAGTAGGACCACTTGCTATAAGTGTTAAAAGAGACTCTTCTAGGGCTGGTGATGATTTCACACAGCTTCATTATTGTGGCAAATACAGTAGATTTATTCATGAAACATCCCTGCATTTTTATAGTGCCTTTGCTGTGTTGTTTTCATTCAAAGTTCATATCGTTTGATATCCATTTTTTTGCCCTTTTAAAATATTTTTTTAGTATTAAATATTGGGTGTTACAGTTCAGTAGCTTGTACATGTAATTTATTTCACAGAAGCAACAGGGATAAATCTCAAAGTGTTCAAGAAAAATGAGTGAGTAAATGTCATCAAAGTGAAACAAGTGTTTACTGTAGAGAAACAAAATTGTAAACTATGGATTTTGTTCTGACTTGACTTTCCTAAACATGTTTTTTATTTAGAGTAAAATGTGTGTAATCAACTTTATATCTTTCAATTAAACCTGCTTCTTCACAGATCAAATTATAATGTTTTTAAATGCTTACAAACCAATACTTAAAGTAAAATATTGAATTGTGCTGTTTATTTATGCACTGTAATACTTTAAGATCCAAACGCAAATGAAATCTTGCCATTGAGTGAAGTTCTCAGTTCATTTGAGGTATACTACAGAGAAATGTTTGAGCAAACCGTAAGCAACAGTAATGAATTTTTCTCCAGGCCAAGTGTGTAAAGAATTGAAAGTGGTTTGGATTTTGGATTGGCTTGCTTTCCCAATAACACACTTCTTTAGCCAAATGACACTTGTGAACCAAGTTTGGTGACTGCATACACAACATTTTGGTTTTTGAATCCCTAGGGATGTCATTTAATTATCTCTAATGTTGCAAAAGTCAAAATCTAAGGTAATGCATATGTTTAATAAAGTTTTTTATTTTATTGTTAAATATTCGTATTGTATTTGGTCACATTTTGCATTTTTTTTGTGCTTGTATTGAATAGAATTCTTAAAGAATAGTTGTGGAAACCGCAACATGAATTGTAAGTTTTTGTATAATGAAATCCTCAACAGTATTACAGTGAATCTTACCTTAATACAGTATGATTAATAAAACTTTCAATAATCGCATTTTGCATTGGAATGTTTCCTTTGAGTGGGAAAACCTTTTTTTAATAATTTTAATCTCCTGGATTGTGGTTAAAGGAGTTGTTTTTTTTTTTCTCCAGCAGTTGTAGTGGACTTCTACATTCTTAATTTCTCAGTGCTGTCAGTGAACTATTAGCTAGCTTGTGCACTTTCCCCCAAACAGATTAATCTATTGAAATGATTTTAATTAGATGCAGTGAAAGATGATTAGGACCGGGTGAAGAAAGAAAGTAAAGACGTGTGAAAGAAGTATCATTTTGCAAATTCGTTGAATCGGCACACTGGGTCTGTGAGAAAACTAATCCAAGTCTGCTGAAGATGAGGGAATCTTTAAAAGTGCAAGATGACCAGTTTCAAAAGTTAAGTCTGACAGACAATGAGGTTGTCTCATCTGAACTGGTAAAAAGATGAACCAGTTTTTCTAGTTGCTAGCATCTGGTTGCATAAAAATGTTAAATATGGATGTCTCTGTAATTACTGTACTGTATGTCGCTGTGGATGCTGAGCAGGTTTGTGCAACTTGCTTGAACACAACTTGAGAGGAAAACTTTCCCTAAGATGTATTGTGTCACTAAGCATGCGCCATTAAAATCTTTCCTACAGATCTTGTAGAACCACATCCGTGTTTTACGTTTTAATTTGTATTGGTGTTAATGACGCAGGCATCTCTAAAACGGAGCAAGACTGAGCACGCCACTGTGTGCATTTGACCCTTTAGAGATCCCGACTTCTTGCAGGGAAAACAGGCGTAAAGGAGAACGCGATGCGTTCTGGTGAAGTCTGGATTTTGAACTCTTGTTTCCGGGGATCAGACCCTTCCGTGTGGCGTTTGCCTGTTTTCGTTATGGGGCTGCATTTTGTTCCTGCAGGGGCTTCCTTCCCCGCAGTCCGAAGATGAGCGGTCTAGACTGTCTAACAATCGTATCTAAATTGTCCCCGGGGTGTGTGTCGGTGCCCTGTGGAGGACTGATGTTCAGGGTGAATGCTCCATTGCGCTCACTGCCTTCCGGATTAGGCTTTGTGTTACTGCGAGCCTCTGTTGGAGTAAACGGATATTGTCAATAGTTTAAGTCTCATCATGCCTGACCAAGAGCTCAGAGCTGTTCTGTAACACGCAACATCTCAGGCCGATTTACTGTCAAAAAGGGAGCAATAATCGCTCCACTCGTTTACATTTTTCCAAGGATCATTTATTGCGTATTTTGAACGATTAATGATATAGCTTTGATCTTGCTCTAATGTTGATACACACGCTTAAAGAAAACAGTGATAAACACTCGGGGCAAAATAAGCACTAAATAGTGATACAAAAATGTTCAAACATAAGGCGGCTGTCCGTCCGACATTGTGCTAATTGACATCATCTACACTTATAAACTTGTTTTTTTCTGTAGTGCGAGCATTTCTGTGAGTAACCGCTAGAGGCCTCTATTGATCAACAAAATGCTCCTTCCTAAAAAAAGATATCGAAGTGCGGTTCTCGTTGAGACAATACGGTTATTTTATTTTTTTCCGGTTTCGGTGCGCCATCCCCTGTCAGCTGATTAGTACTGGCTGCCGGGCAGAGGGGGAAAAAAAACAGAAAAAAATAAAAACAGAAATATGGCGGCTGAGATTCATTCCAGGCCCCAGAGCTCAAGACCTGTCCTTTTAAACAAGATTGAAGGCCACCAGGACGCGGTCAATGTGGCCGTCCTGATCCCGAAGGAAGATGGGGTGATCACGGTTAGCGAGGACAGGTAAGCGCATCTTGAACTGGGGGGACCCGCCTGTGGAGATGGAGGGGGCTCTGCGGATTTAGTATTATGTGCTAAATAATACACCGGGGGAGTTTGGGGAGGCGTTTTTTTATTTATTTTTTTAAATAACTGCGAGCCCCGTTGTTAATGTATGTGCGACAGCGTCTTTCACGTTTTGTTTAGTGCAGTTTGAAAGGCAGGGTGGAGACTGCGAGTCAGGCGAGGAGCCGTGTAAAGTGTTTGCATACTTCTGAATTTCCCAAACTGGGATTTTCTCCTTCTCGCCGCCCCGGATTATACTGAGCTGTATGAACTCGGCCCGGTTTCTCCCGACACAATACGGACAAGAACAATTCATTTCGCCCATACGTGCTGTTTTCTTTGTTGTGTAGTTGCAGGGTTAGAAGTGGAAGACGAAGTACGTGAATCTGACTATCCAAGTGTAAATACTTGTTTGGGCGCCGCTTATTACCTGTTAAAAAAGGAAATAAAAGTAGCCAGCTGTCCTGAAGTGTGTCTGTCACGCTAAAATTGACGGGAAAGTATTAAATTAGAAACAGTAGAAAAGAATCTATAAACCACAAATTACCGCTGTTTAATGGGCGGAAACCAATGTTCTTATTGTAATTATTTTAAAAAACTTATTACAAGCATTTATGTATTTAAAAGAAACCAGCATCATAATTTCCATAATGATTTATTTTATAACAACAGAAATATGTAAGAAGACGCTTAGGGTAATGTTATTCTTTAGATCTACTTGGACGCTTAAACCCCTCACGTTTTCTCCGTATGTCTAAAACACTGTATTCAGCTTTCATTTTCTTTAGCATATTTTTCTCCCAAAACTTGATTTGATTACATGTATTTATTTTGATTTCTTCCTCATTTCACAATTATCTAGCAGACATAAAATGGGGGTAAAATAGTTGTTGCGTCTCTACCCCAGCAGTGCCTTTTTTAGTTGTCCAGTGAATGCATTTAATAAAGCTATGGTGTAGTTTTTTGCGTGGCTAATAACAACATGTATGGTTAGGAAATGGACATTTTTTGTGTCGCACTGTCTTGACTGCTCAGCCTGTCCTCCCTCAGAACAATACGAGTGTGGCTGAAGAGAGACAGTGGACAGTACTGGCCAAGCATCTACCATACGGTCTCATGTAAGTCTTAAATCATTCTGTGTTCTTGTGTACTGTGTAATGAAAAATGACGTGGCTGAGAAAAGTTCTGTTTTGTTTTTAAATTTTAGCACCATGTTCATCAATGTCATATCACCACGAAAGCAAACGCATATTTGTAGGACAGGATAATGGAGCAATAGTGGTGAGTAATAGCTTTCAAGTTTTCGGCTTTTCTTAAAAAAAACACAGAGTCTCTTTGAGATGATGTGCTTCTGCATGTTTTCTGTGGTTGGGGGGCAGGGCACAAGGTCAGATGACTTTGTTCAAGGGAGCCTCCTAATGCTTCAGCTTACACATTCTGGAACTCTGACCCCTTCAGCTGATGTAAAAACTCCAAAACCAAATCAGTTTCCTCACAGATCCTCTGTGTTTATCAACTTTTCCCCAGTTCATGTCAGGAGAGCTGTAAAGATCTGAGAAGAAGCTGGTAATTGAATCCACTGGTGACTCTCTAGCAATCTTGTTTCGTTTTGATGACTTCAGAATGTGTACCGCATCATTTATTTGCTTTACACTTTTATTTACTTCTCACTTCATCTGAATTGATCATTGGTTAATCCAGGTAATCGATCTTTTGGTCATAAAGTGCCATGCCAAATGTGTCACCTGGGATTTGAACCCGTAGCCTCCAGGTTACGAGTCCAGACCCCTAACCACTGCTCCAAAGTGTAGAGCCCCTTCATATACTGTAGTTTTATATTGCTGTCGCCCCTTCACCTCAGGGGTTTGCTGTGAACAGTGTTTGCAGCCAGCTTTGATGACTAATCCTGCAAATTACCCCCCAACCCCACCTCCCCTTCCATTTTTGTGTCCCTTGTGGGCTCAGATTTCTGCACACATGTATTTCCTTTCTTCTTTTTTCCTTTCCATTTCTCTGTCACTCAGCGGTGTTGGGACCTTGGATCATTTTACTTGCTGAGAGCTCACTTAGGTGTGGCTCTGTTTTGCCTGCCTGCTCGGTTACCGAGTCTCTCAGGGAAGCCAGCAGACTGTGAGATCACTGATCCCATTACAGGCAAATCTGCTAGGGGCACAAACCAGTAGACTCCCAATACCTGTTTTTGGCTCAGTTTAAGATGAGGAACACGTCTTTCTCTTATTAATAAACATATATGTACATACAGTTATTAAGAGAATGTAAAAACTTAACTTTAGTGAAAGTATACACAGGAGTAAGTTTGGTTTATATTGCTCTAACGTGGGAACTGATTATAAGGCTCTACTGGTTTACTCAGATTCTTACCTATGGAGCACATAATACTCTCCTGTATTAACAAGATGAATATGCTGTCTGAAAATCTCCAGAGTCACTTTTAACATTGTATTTCATTGCATTTCATTTTAGGAATTTGTTATTGCTGAAGACTTTAACAAGATGACTTTTGTCAAAACTTACCCAGGTAAAGTGTGAGTGTTCTTTCTCTTGGGAACAAAAATAGCTGTTGTGTTTTGGTTCATTGCATAACACCTTTGAGTCGTGGATGAAAACATTGGCCTCCTAGTGTCATACCTGTCTTTCAGAGGGCTATAGAACATTTGTGGTTTATCAGAAATGTTTTACAAGAATGACATTCAGGCTTGCTTAAAAGAATGTCGAGTCTCTGAAAGATACAAAGGCGTGACAGTTGCAGAGTTGATTCTGGCTGTATATTTGCCTTTTCAAGATTTTTCTTCAAAGCAGTCACAAGATGATCATCCCCTTTTTTGCTGTATTTACAAAACAAGTAGGCTCATGTGCCAGTTGAGAAACGAATAGATTCAGGAAGATGGTGAGCAAGTGTCACAGCTTGTGAACTCTGTGTTGTCAGAGAGAATGCTCAAAAATATTAACTAATACCTCTGTTAAGATCCGCAACCAGTAGCTCTCAATCATAAAGCTACTGGGTAGCAAGAAGAATCCAGTTGGCAGGAAACACTATATGATTAAAACAAACAAAAATACAAATGTCTCAGATTAACTACCAGCTCTTATATATCATACTCTGATGTACCATACAACAGACACAGTGGTATTCTCCCGTTGCTTTCCCCTTTGTGCCTGTGTTTGTGCCTGCTCTCTTTTGTGCACAGTGTTGTGCTGCATGCAGTACTAAGGGAATAAGTAAAGGTTTATTCCATGCTGAAAAGAGAAGCTGTGGAGCCTTCTTTGGCTGTGAGAAAGACAGGGAAGTCAGCAGAGATGCTATAGCATAGGAGAACAAAAACCAGGAGTGTGGAGGAGGCGGGAGCAGGGGGCAGGCAGAGTGGGCACTCGGGTGGTGCGAAGCCGAGAGAGGTGTGAAGTCGAAACCTGCAAATGAGAAGAGAGGATTAGAAGGAAACGAGTCTGTCGTTGAGAGAAGGGGGAAGGTGTGAACCCAGCTATCTACTTGAAGTACTAAGGGAATACCAGAGTTGCTTGGTTGAATATGGCAGATGTGTATGTGTGTGTCTTTGAAACCTTCGGCTGGTGCAAGCTTTAACTGTGGGTGCTACTTTTGCAGCTCATCAGAACCGGGTTTCTGGGATCATGTTTTCTCCAGAGAGCGAGTGGGTGATCAGCTCTGGTCACGACAAGTGTGTGAGCTGGATGTGCACAAGAAGTGGCAGCATGCTGGGTCGACACTACTTCAGCTCCTGGGCCTCCTGCCTGCAGTATCCTTTACCTTCTTACAGGGCGTGTCTGTGCCAGATTCTACAAAAAGCCCTCAAGAAGATAGTTAAGTCCTGAGAAACAGGCGTTGTGAGCATCTATAAATGCTGGCAATAGTCATAATTCTTTATGCTTATATAGTGCCTTTCTAGGCTCTCCACTGAAAGTGCTTTTCAGGTAGTGGGGACTCCCCAACACCACCAGTGTGCAGCCCCACCTGGATGGTTGCCGGTCCAGTTCCCACACACCAGCTATCAGTGGGCAGGAGAACAGAGTGATGAAGCCTGTTCGAAGATGGGGATTATTAGGAGGCCATGATTGGTAAAGACCTGGGAGAAATTTGGCCAGGACATCAAGGTAACATCCCAACTCTTTTCAAGAAACACCCTGGGATTTTTAATGATCACAGAGAGTCAGGAACTTGGTTTTATGTCTCATCTGATGGACAGTGCATTTTTTACTGTATAGTGTCCCCGACACTATACTGGGGCATTACCACCCACACAGACCACAGGGTGAGCGCCCCCTGCTGGTCTCACTAACACCACTTCCAGCAGCAACCTTAGCTTTCCCAGATCTCCCATCCAGATACTCACCAGGCTCACACCTGCTGGTATCACCTACAGTATGTCCATAATAACACAGGACAAACAATGGGGGGAGACTCTCAAAATGCAAAAGAGCTTTACTTTTTACTAAAAGTCCTAAAAATATTTATTTACACTCTTATTTTAAGCCTGTATAGAATTGCATTTGTGTGGCTTATGGAGTAGGAATTTTTAAAAAAATGGATGAGAATCCTGAATATATGACAGAAAATATAATTCCAGTGGCCCTTATATTTTGTGAATCGGCTTTATCTTTCCACTTCAGGATTAGTCGTATCTCAGGGGTCCTGTTCTAAATTGAGTTCTGTTTTGATCCATCCAGCATCAGAACTATAATTAAAAAATAGGCTTAGAAGATTGTAACAGCATTGCTCAACATCACTATCATTGTTGTTAAATGTTTTTGACAAGGTCAGCGATATCTTATGCTTGAAATGTTCCTTCTTGTCTCTGTCAGAATATCTAACCTTGCCCTACCTGAGCAATAAGCTCCTGATCTGTAGTTTAAAGGTTTAAATATCTCATATGGTGTTTGAACTATCTTTGTATGGAATGTAAGCAAGTTATTGCAAGCTTCCTGGTTAACTTAATTTTTTTAATGTTAGGATTTTAACGCATTTTTGCTTGACTTTGTAATTCTAGACGTTGATGACATGCACTCACAAGTGGGACTATAATTTTTAACCACTGCTGAGTGATGGGAACTAAGGCTTTGAGTGTCAGGACACCAAACTGGAATTGCAAATCTGGTTAAATTGCTGTAGATTATAATGTAAACCAAGATCAGGCCTAACAGCCCTCATTTCTAAAGGTAATCTCTAAACCTAAGCACAGTGAAGCTTTATAGTGTTAGAGAAATGTCTGATCTTGCAGTGATGTATGTAGTTGTTACCAGTGTAAATGATGAGGTTCAGAGCTTTTCATTCTTTATCACCATTTTATTATCTATTGTTGAGATTTCTGATACTGCTCAAGGTAAAAGTAATGGAATCTAAAAAATCCTGTGGAAAAGTTAAAAGTTTACACTAAAAAAATACACAAAGAGAAGTAACTAAGAATACAGAACCGTCATATTGTACTGTAGAAATGAAACCTGAAATTTTTATTAATACACATTTATAGCCTTTTGATTTCTATGCCTTTTGTAATGGGTAACATTTTTTAGTTAAGATGATGATGGAAATTAAAATACTATTTGTTATAGTGTTCTGCATACAACACGGTATTTCCCATTAACAAGGTAGGGAAATTGGATTTCCTAATGTACTAATGGTGTTGAAAACCATCATTTGTACTTAATGCCTTTTCCACTCCAAAGAAAAAAAAAAAAGGGCTTGTCATGTGCAGTTCAGTCTGAAGAATTTCTACTTCATAAACACCACGTTTTTATTTTGATGTGGGAGGATCACACAACACTGAGAACATCACAAAAAATCTTTTGAAAAGAAGCCCTGAGTCTAGAGTATTTTTTATCTCTCCCAGTCACGGGAAAAAGTGAACTTAATACCAGTCATGCTGACGGATGTATATTAAACGGTGGCCTTTGCTGCACTATTTGATATTTTAAAATATTTCCACATGCATCATTTGAAGCTTATGTTAAAACCTGTCCACTTGTAAACAAGTGTTTGAAGATAATTTCACTATGTGATTTGAAACTCCTCAAGAGCAGAAGTGTTATTTCTCTTTTAAGTGTTGCTCCCCCTGTGTGATGCAGACCCCCACCTAGCATTGAAAGTTTGAGGCTGCACTTTTTTTTAAAGCAGTTTCTTAAATCAATAGTTATGAATCAGTTAGCTAGAGCTACCGGAAATCAGGAATAGAAAACCCTAGCTGTGACCCTTATTTTTTTCCTGTGTTGGCTAAATGTGTCGGTCTGGATGGTGTGTGTGCCTTAACTGTTGACTTTGTTCAGATACGACAATGAAACACAACATGCCTTCGTAGGAGACTACTCTGGGCAGATCACACTACTGAAGCTGGCACAGAACACCTACTCTGTCATTACTACACTGAAGGGACATGAAGGTAAGACTGCTGGAAGCACAAGGAAACACAACACAAAGTAAATATCCAAACCTAACACATGTGCAAGAGGCCATGACTTATAAATGATACAAACTGCTTTACAATGGCAGTTTTATTTATTTTTTTACTTTTGGATTTAAAGAAAAAAATGGTGTTGTTGTGTAAGGTTCCAAAAACATGCAGTTAAAGACTAGAGTTTTTTGTCAATATTAGTGTTCCGTACTGAGCCTGTGTGCAGACTCTGCTGGGAGTGTTGACTCAGACTGAGTATTTCCGCCACAGACAAACGGAGGTTCTCAATTATATGACATTACAGCTCAGCTTCTTTTCCATTACGTTAATAATTGTTCCACATACAGCAGCAACAAGGTGGGTGTCTTCTCTCACGGAGGTGAAATGCCAGATAGTATTATCAGCTCAACATAATAAAGATTTTTAGGTTTTTTTTTACATTTAAATACAGATTCTTTCATAGGAATAAAACAATGTAATAGTATACTGCTGTACATGTTTTTGTAGTGTTTGTCTGATTTGAGGAAATGCTACAAGTTGTAGCACTCTATAATTCCAGGAAAGAGATGGTTTGTACAGCGAGGCCCGAATCCTGGAATATTTTAGGTTGCATAATCGTGTACACATAAGTACTGTCGAGTGTCATGTGCCTCTCAGATCCTGAGCTTTGACCTTCTCCGGGAGAGTAGTGTTTCGTTAAGGTGTGCCTTGATAAGAATGTCTTGAAGACAAATCGTAAATGGGAAGAACTAGTCGTGTTTCTCTGCAGCTGTTTCCTCTCTGTAAAAATAAGGAACATTAAAGCTAAAACCTCTTGAGGCATAAGACCTGGTCTTTGCTTAATTTTTTTTATCTGATTAAATTTGTTACAGAAAACTTTCAGAATTACAACATATCCCAATCTTTTTTTTTTAAATGAATTTTATTCGCCTCATTAGACCTTGACTAAACTCTGAACAAAACTTCCCGAAACCTGACAGCAAAGATTTCTCCAGCTCGGTTCTCAGTTAAACAGGCTGATGGAAGTGCTTGTCTGCTTTACACTGTGGAGAGCCTTCATTTCTTTTCTTTTTTTTTTGCGGTTCTCCTCAACAAGCCAGGTGTCTGCCATGACGTCTGGTGCTGATTGCAGGAGCAGTCTTTCTGTCTCTGGAAGACAAGGTTAAGTGTGATGAGTAACAGGATGACTTGCAGTGGGAGAGAGACCACTGTGCTGAACTCTCTGCTTTAATTGCCTCATTAACAATCTCTGCTTGTCAGATTTTGGATACCAAAGACAGTGCACTAACCTCACACTTTAGATAATATACTGTATATACAGTATCTGCAGTCTTCCTGCTGTTCATTTCTTAATTGCTGCCAGCAGCCTCTTAGTATCTGAAGAAAATATTTCATTTCATTGTCTCCAGATGGATTTCTTTCAGTGTGTATACATTTATGTACAAAGTTGTGTATAAATGTGTGTACCAATCAATCCTAGGGTGCAGAAGAAAATCTGCAATTGTCATAACACTTTCTTTTCTGCAACACAAAATACTAACTTCCTCTTTCTCACTCTGAACTGTGTGACCGTGATGGTTTTAGTTGTAGAAACTCAAGTTGTTAAACACGTATTTGAGTAGACTTTGAATTTCAAAAAGCAAACGCCCTAATCCATAAGCAATACCTTAAACAACAAATTAGGTAAGACTGTAGAGGCGGGTTTAGATAAAATGTTGTAGGATGATTGTAGCATGATTCACTGAATTCTGATTTTTGGTCACAAGATAACCACAAGCAGTCACATGTGATACTGACACTTAGTATACTTACTGATCTTTTTTAACACATCTCAAGCTGTGGTCATTTTTTATTTATTTTTTTTACTTTCCCTGCAGCAGTTTGGCGTAAACATTTCTACGTACAGAAACTGCGGGTATAATCTTAATGTTTTTATTTTGTCTTAAATGAAAGTGTGCACTATACAGGTTCAGCAAAAGGTTCAAAAAATGAATTTGGCTTTCCAAATAAGAAGAGAGAAATGCAGAGAAGAGTTTTGACTGAACAATCAAAAGATAACAGTTTGGTGTAAAGGGTCAATATTTTATTTTTATTTAAGACATTATGTACCTTCTTCCCTTTAAAGAGAACCTGCAATCAAAATGAATCTAAAGAATAGCCCTTGGTACATTGTACGTGTAAAGTCCTGTTTCACATGGCCTGATCGTGTTCTCTGGTATTAATGTAACCAGTGTGTTTGTTAATTTATTGTGTCTACGTTCATTTATCAGTTCATTTAAACAAAAGCAGCTCTGGCCTTCTGCATTTTGACGCTTTTTCATGTCTTTTGGTATAGAATCATCCCCGTCGTCATTTTGTGTTCAAGCTTTTTTTCCCCCTTTAGCCCTTGCAAAAGCACAGACATGAGAGGGTTTCAGTTTAACGCCGGAGCTCTTGAGCAATATTGCCCACGGTTTCCTGAGCCTGCCTGTTGCGGGAGAGCTGTGCTTCTCGAGTCGGGGTAGGGGGGTGGATCTGACCTCGCTCTGTGTGTCTGTCAGGCAGTGTCGGGGCTCTGTGGTGGGACCCCACCCAGCGGTTACTCTTCTCTGGGGCCAGTGACCACAGCATTATCATGTGGGACATCGGCGGAAGGAAAGGAAGATCCCTGCTGCTCCAGGGTCATCAGTAAGTGCACAGGCCTGGCCACTTTTACGGGCTGTGTTTTCACGTGCATTCCAAATAATCTGACCGCGCATCTTGTCCGAGACAGACTGGCTCAGAAGCCTGTGTGCCATCATCCTTTAATTATGCTAAGCTGTTCATGCAAGTGCTGCCTAATGACTTTTGCCAGCACAGTTGATTTATATTTTCTTCGCGGCTTCTTGCACGTCGGTGTTTTTATAGTCCAATTGTGTTAAAGCCCCATTCCTCAATTTGAGATTTTTCAGGTTTTTATTTCATTTTCAACCACTTGATGCTTATTTTTTAAGCAAAATGCTTCTTGCTATTTTGCATGTCATGGTGCTTCTGTTAGTGTGTCCAGAAATCATCATAATGACGGCAACGTCTCGGGCTCCCCCCTTGACACTTTTCAAGATACTCCTGAATTAATCTTCCATTTCTCATACTTGAATTAAGATAGAACCATCCATGTCTAAATGCTTCTGCTGGTCATCTTTCTCTCTTGTTTGAAATGTTTCGGTTTATTTTCTTGTCTCTGGATGCAAATCACTAGGATCTCCTGTATGGATAGATAAACGTTGCTCAATGTTTCTAATGCAAAATAGTAACAATAAGAAGCACATTATGAATTCCTTTAAAAAGTAAGCGTCAAATGGTTGAAAATTAAATAAACAGGATCATTTTTGATTGTGATCAAAATCCACAACCCACAACATACAGAAGTCTTTCCCTACCCCAGTCCTGATGTTTGGCCCCCATCATTTTAACTCAGAATTCATCTCCAATCACTTCTTAGGTACACAGAGCCTTGCTGAGCCTCTTACTTGCTTAGCATGTCTGGATGCTATGAATGTTTAAGCTTCAGTCATTTAATAGATTTTGTAGTCTTGTATGTCAGAATATTCTAAGATAATGGAAAGTGCCCCTCAGTTCAGCCCAAATGTGCAGCAGTTTCACTTACAGCCTTACAGAAGGAACAGAAAATAATTTAGTTAAATGTGCAGGAAAGATGCAGGAATATGTTTCATGGACTCGCATGTTGGTCTTTTATGAAATCCTCCCAGCCAGCTCCAAGAGATAATTATGTACATGAGGCGTTATGGAGGCGAGCTCCTGAAGCTCCTTTTCTTTCCCTTCTGTCTGTGCTGCGCCTGCTGTTTGGCAGTGACCGCGTGCAGGCGCTGTGTTATCTGCAGCTGGCCAGGCAGCTGCTGTCCTGTGCTGCTGACGGAGGCATCACCGTGTGGAACATGGACACCAGCAGAGAGGAGGTACAGGCCTGGATCGCTGTTCCTGCATGTTACTGTTTTCTCCACAGACAGATGCGGCAGTTTGTGAGAAGCTACTGATCTTATGCAGGAGCTGAGCTGTTTTACCTGATGTATAGGTTTTTGTTGAGTCTTTGAGTGCTGCTTGATGCAGTTCTTTTTTTTTTTCCTTATTTTTGACCTCAGACCTGTGTAAGGTCAAGCTCCATCTGGTGTTCAAAGTGAACAACTGCACCATTTCTAGGTCAGTGGTTCTCAGTCCTGGCCCTGTGTTTTCTGGGTTTGTTCCACCTAAGATCTTATTCATTGACTCTTTTTTTTCAATTTTCTATTTGAGGCCCTTTTTAAATTTAATTTCAGTTCTGGAAAAGCTGAATGAGATTTGTAATTGGTATGATCCCTGCGCTCGTTGGTCGATTTTTAGGACGGTCCTCATTTACAGGTGTTCTAGCTGAAATATAACCTGTGGGACATAAGCAGAAGGAAGGACACTAGCACAGCATCATTCAATTAATTAAATAAAATTGAGATTTCAGATACACTGCAGTTTTGCACTCCAGTAGTGAACTGAAAGCTCAAAGAAATGATCCAGGGCATTGTGGAAGAAAGCTCAGTTGTTTTGAGTTTGGCAGAGTATGTTAGAAATGGTCGTACTTCAGATTTGTTGACAAATATGAATTAAAGTGACAGATGTTTTGCATTTGTTAATTGAGCACTGTGAAAGTAATCAATATGTAATATTGGGTTTTGTCTCGTAATGTACAGTAAAAATGCAGTTGTCAGTATAAAGGACTTTCTGTAAAGAACTTGGCAGGGCAGCCCATGTGTTGGCTTGTTTCTTCCAGTGCCGCAGTCTGTAGGCCTGCATGGTGCTGTTACTGGGGGGGGGTTTCGTGGTTCCCTCACCAGAGCTTGTCTCTGCAGGCTCCGCAGTGGCAGGAGAGCGATTCCTGTCAGAAGTGTGAGCAGCCCTTCTTCTGGAACCTCAAACAGATGTGGGACACAAAGACCTTAGGGCTCCGGCAGGTGAGGGGACGTGACGAGCGCATTCCTCATGCTGGCGGTTCTTGGGCTGCGTGGACTGGGGTGGTACAGTATGTGGCGAGACCCCGAGAGACTGTGGAGAGCAGTCCTGAGTCCGACACCCCACGGAGTTGTTGAGATCCAAGATTTAGGTCTTGTCAGCCTGAGGAAACTGCATCCTTCTAAACTGGGGCATCCTATGAAGTTTCTGCTCTACTGGGTAGGTTGTGCAGGGTTGCACGGTATCGTGGCTTGAAAAGGAAGGGGGAAAGAGGGGAGGCGACGTCCAGCGGTTATGTCGGGACAGGAGGTCATGATGAAGGCATGGAAGAGGAAGAAACCAAGAGGGTGGTGAGGGGAGGAGTAAGGTGGGGAGGCAAGGATGGCGTGCTTTTGGATGCCAAACATGGATGCCCTAGAGAAAACCTGCTGTCTTCAGCCTTTGTAATTCCAAAACAATGTAAGAGAATCCGGCCGTGCCGGCTTTACCTGCCAGCACAGCGAGTGTGTCTGCTCCGCCGTGGATTGGTTCGGCTGTCGTGCCGTGCCCCTGACGGGGGTGTTTTCTGTTCTTCAGCACCACTGCAGGAAGTGTGGGAAAGCGATATGTGGGAAATGCAGCTCTAAGCGTTCCACCTACCCCGTCATGGGCTTCGAGTTCCAGGTGCGCGTCTGTGACGACTGCTACGAGAGCATCAAAGACGAGGAGTGAGTAAGCCTTTGGGTTTTGATTTCTGGACCTCGACGTGCCAGATTCCTCACATGTTGTGCTGCATGAGAGCAGGCTGACGTCTGACGATGACCGTTCTCTTGCAGCCGTTGTAAGGCACTCGGGTGTTAGAAACCTGCCTGCCGTTAACCTGGCTCTTGTCCCTAAGGGACGGTCCACATCATTAGCTAGTATGGGCCCTCCCCACAGTAAGTAACAATGAAACCAGCCCTCTGAATTCTAGAGTATTTCAAGGAAAGAAATCACATTTTGAAGACCTCAAAAATAAGACGCTTGGAAGCAATTGTCGTGAATAAATGGAAGACAAATAGTTGAAAACTAAAATGGTAATTTCTTTACTTTGAAGTTAAATGAGGCCTCTGAGGTGGGACTGATATGATGGTCTGATTCTGTCTTTTCTTTTTGTTTAGTCGAACGTCTTTGGCAACTTTCCACGAGGGCAAGCACAACATCAGCTGCATGAACATGGATATCTCCAGGGGCCTGATGGTGACCTGTGGCAGCGACAGAGTTGTGAAGGTAGGGAGCTCTCACCATGGCAGAGCAGGGAGAAATCTCACACTTTGACCTTGGAAAAGCATTTTTGCCCTGGTTTTAAATTTTGCCGTGGCACAGTTTTCAAAACCTGTGTTCAAGGCATGAGTAACCTACCCACTTTCTCACCTCCAGCAAAAAGAATATCAGGTCTTTCTGCGACGCCTGTTCCTTGAGAATCTTTTGCTAGCGGTCTCATCATTTGAACACTAGTTTTGTGTTTCTTGTGATAATCCCTTAAAATGGCTCAGTCTTCATTACCCCGAGAAATAAATCATGGGCAGGCATGCCTTTTACGTCTAAGATTTGCCTCATGTGCTTCTCCACAGCTTGTCCTCTGCTGTGTTTGTGGTATTATGAACCGCATTGAGGTGGAGAATCCCTTTTTCATCAGACACATGGCTCGTTCAAAATTTCCCACTCTGTGCCTCAGCCCTGCACTGCATCTCATGACCAAGGACAATTAACTGGTGAAGATCCGTGGAGGCAGTCATGTGCCCAAGGCTGTCTCACCCTGTAATAAACTCTCTCATGGATGTACTGTAGCTGTTCTCAGCTGACCCCTCCAACATCTTTTACACAGCACCAGGCTCTGTAGCACTAAGGCTTAAATCGGTGATCGTATGCCCTTCCTGGAGTTAATTTACAGGTACACTCATTAAGTCTGAAGCAGTTAAACTGGGTTTCGTGTATGGGGTAAGAAACAACTAAAGGGATATCGGAAAAGCTGACCCCAGCAAGGAGAAAACAGGCGCATCACAGACACGATTTCAAGTTATCCATGTTAAATCTCAGGCCGTGTGAAGGCAAATCTTGTCTATTAAAACATTCAGATATCAAGCCAGTGAACTTCGGAGCACCAGTCACAGCAGCCTGCATGCCCCTGAATCCCGAGTTCCGTTATTGTTGACTCCCTTTTTGTTTCAGATCTGGGACATGACGCAAGTCGTCGGCTGCAGCATAGCAACAGGTTTCTCTCCGCGCTGAGAGCCGTCTCCCGCTGTCGCACCTCGGACCGCCGGCACTGCCGTACTGCTGCATCCCTTGCTCCTTCTTTTCTTTTTCCGGATCGCTCCGACATTTCCCCAGGATCCTGCACAGAGTGACGCACACACACACAAATAAACTGTCCGGGGGGGGGTGTTGAAACATTCATAGCAAAACGTGATCGAGACCTGCTGTACCTGTCTGTATACCTCACTTTAATGTCCGAGGTGCGGAAAGAAATGTACTCTATTTCATTCGTAAGCCAATCCAAGATGCCGTCAGTGTCGTTAGAATGAAGTTGCCTTGGCATGCATTGATTCTACCAAATAATTCAGAAGCAGATTGTTAATGAAATGCCCGTGTTTCATTTTGGTTAAGGAGGGAGTCTCTTGTGGTACAATACTTGGAGTTATCAATGATTGCCAAGGTATTTTTTTAAACCAGATTGGTCTAAGAATAATGTGATTTTGCACTAACAGACTTTCTCAATGCAGCTGGAACTCGGCAGCTTATTAAAATTGGAGTCGTCGAAGAGCTTGAAGGTGTTCGTTTCCTACGTTGGGTCCTAGAAGAAACGCTGATGTTGAATAACTCAGTGCCAGCATCTCGCGATGTCATCTGCTCTCAATGCTCAACTGTTCAGTTTCCCTCTGTGTGCTTTTTGTGTAGAAATGTACTAGTACTGCCTCTTTTTCTTCACTAGCTGGCCTTACAGTTAACTAAGTCATGAACTTTTGCCTCAGTTGAAGCAAATGTCCTACGAGTGTTTATTTGTGTAGAAGATTATACTGTATGCTCACATACTGCAGTTGTCGGAATTTAGGAACAGTACTGATATAAATTGTGCCATGGGAATTTTCTTGAACACTCAAGGTTTCATTTTCTCTTTAGGAAACGGTTCAAAAGTTTAAAAGCTTCTTTGTAAATGTAAGGTGGATTTTTCCCAGGCAATTGTTGGATTTGAAGGAGAAGAATTATCTGACATTTCATGTGCCTAAATGTGTGACTTCATTTTGGTACACTACAGTACCATACAGAGTTCAGCAAGAGAACGTCATAGTGTATGCAAATACGAAAGATTAAAGGTTACTGGCTGAAGATTTAGCACTTTTTCCTAGGTTCCTTAGGTACAATGTGAAGTTTAAGAAATCTAAGAATAAAATGAAGCATTTCTGGCTGTACATGTACACCAAGTTGTTTACTCATTATGACTCATTCTAGTTTTAAGAACATGTAAATTCATCCTGCTTGACCCAGCTTGACGGTTTCATAAGGAAGCAGTGACCTTTTCACTGGCCATGAGTTAAAGCCCGTCTAAATAAACGATAGACTGTTTGGGTGGAAATCAAAAGAACCACTGCTTCCTCGCACTGAATTGCACATTTTTGAGAGTTAAATCTTAACAAAACCACTTTTGGAATTGTTTCATTTTAGGTGAAGACTTGGGGCTTTTCTGGGTGCTGTATATTTCCTTTCAGTAGGTTCAGCATAAAGATTTATGTCATTCTGAGGTCATTATATTTGTATTCAAGACTGCATCCATCCTGTGGTATTGCTGAATAGAACTTCCACATTTGAATATACTCTCTTAAATATAATCAGAATAGTTATAGACTGGATTTTACATTTAATATTTAGGTGGAAGTTTTATGTTCACTTAACTTGGATAGATAGTATTACAAGTTGTGCTTAATAGGTTTGCAGCAGTGCAGGAGCTAAAGGTAAGTTGGGAAGGAATAGTCAAAATACCAAATTTCTGCAGTCCATTCAGATCACCAGGAACACCCCCTCTTATTCTATAAACTACAGAGGGAATATCACAACCGCTGTGTTTTCTGGTCATGACACAACTTCTTCATGTTTGTAGATCCTAAGTGATTTATCTGTGAAAGACACTTAATAAATGTATTTTTCTAATATTTCACAATTTGTTAACCATTAACCCCAGCACTAGCAAGATTTGGTCTCAATAGTTTGAGAAGACGTTTACATGACAGTATTAGGTTGTTATACATGTTTGTGAATACTTTCGTATTTGTCTTGTCCTTTCCTTCTGAGCCTTGCTATAGTGACCTGTAAAATCAAGTTACCTTTTTTGAAGCCTGCACTATAATGTAAACTGAACTGCTCCCTGTAATATTAGCTTTGGGAATCTGCCATTATGCTTTAGGACTGCTCTTAAGGTTATCTTTCTAAAATAGTTTTCATACTAACATTATTTACCATGCTGGAAAGAGATGTCTTCACATACAAGGTGGAAGAGTAAAAGAGGTCTGGATTGAGAAACAGAGATATTTATTATTGTGAGATTGTATTTTATAGAAAACCAATGGGGAGATAATGATCCATGGCTGGGGACATTAACGTGTTTTATTCCAATCTAGTGTCAAACAACTAGTAACTCTGGCTAGAAAAGGTATGACTGAGTCAAATCCAAGTAGTGCCCACCTTTTAAATAAGAGGCATCTTAAGCTTGATTCTTTTACTTTAAGGTGCTTCAAGCAGGATGCTAACTCATGAAGGTTTAACAATTTGATGTTTGCCTGAACTGCAAAAACAGACTTCTTTCTGTCACCTTGTAGATCCCGGTTGTAAGAATCAATTTTCTCATTTTTAAGGTTTCATTTTTATGTATTCCATGTAATTTGTAATGAAATTTGCAGTCACACTTGAACTGTATCTATTGTATTTTTAAAGAGCACTTGACAATGTTGTTAAATCCTGATAGTTCTCACCTGACATAATGTCAGAGTGAAAGCATACCTAATAAACTTACATAACACTCTTGAATTTGCATGTCTGTATTTAAAAGAAATATTACTCTTATGAGGTGTACATTACTGTTTTATTCGTATTGAGGAAAAGTTTGTAAAAACCCTAGGTTGACCTGTAAGACCTAAAATGTAATTAGTTCTTCATTAAAGTCTTGCAAAAAAAAAACGTCCAACAGCATATATCTTTATGTAAATAAGTTAACTTATTTTCAGTACCTAGTGGCACCTCCTTTAGCAGTAATGACTTCAACTAGAGATTTCCTGTTACTGTTTATCAGATTTAAATCGGCATTTAGGAATTTCTGTGGTGGGTAGCTGCATCAGCATGCGTAGGCTGCAAAGGAACAAGTAATAGGTTTATTCCATGCTGAAAAAAAGAAGAAAGAACACGTTTCGAGCCACACCTGAAGAAGGCTCCACGGCCGAAACGTGTTCTTTCTTCTTTTCAGCATGGAATAAACCTATTACTTGTGGAATAAACTACACACAAAAAAAGCTGAGAAACGCAGAATAAATGTGGAGAGTAAGTCTGGGTTCATAACTGCCAAATACATTTTTTAGTCACAGCAAGCAAATAGCTGACAGCTTGATGCTAGTGATGGAACCTCATGTGAAGCAACTTATTGCACAGGATTGCTTATGGATTACTGTATAAAGAACCAAAGACATCATACATTTTTAAATCAGTTTATTTGAATACTTTAATACAATTTTTGTTTGCGTGTTAAATGAGAACTCTCAGTAAGGCATTTTACAGATTATTTACCTTTATAACATTAAGCAACTTAAAGCTTTAAGTTTCAAACGTTACCACTTTTAAAGCGCACAGTGTTACCTTATTTATATCAATACACGCAAATAACACATAAGCATAATACTGTTGGTAACCCAGGGACCCACAAACTGAAAAGCAGGACCATTGGTAATATTTTATTACAGGCTGTAAGTGAAGGTTAAGTTCTTGATATCAGATTTAGTTAAATCACTGTATTCCTTAGTAAATCATATTATCACGGGAAATCAACTAAATTCGAAAACAGCAGGAATTAGACTGACAGTGGGTTTGAATCAATTTTGTCTTCAGCAGTAAAACTTATTACGTAGGGGAACAAGAGTGTCTTTTAAAGGCACTAAAAAACACACACCCCCTCCTCGAGCTTTTCAAAGCCTCTGGATCACTAAGATCCCTGCTCTGAAACTCTAGTCGTCAGGCGAGTGTCATCTAGTATCTTTATAAGATCTGCACCTGCAGCAGAGCAGCATGGGCAAAGCCAACTAATAGTCACACCGAAGGTACATCATTTTAATGCACAGGTCACATGTTAATACTTTTCATCCAATGTCAGGCACAGCTGGACTTTTAGTGAGGCTGAAAGGTCTTTGCCAAGTCATCCAGTATATTAATGAATTTCTGTTTGTCTTCTGGAGATGTCTTCGTCCAGGCCAAAGGCAGGTGAGTGGGCACAGGGCTCCGATCTAGAAAATAAACACATCAGACTAACTGCTCAGTAGAGAATACAGAGCTTACATGATGGGGAAGAGATCAGCAAGGTAACAGTCCAAATCAGAGATTAATACGGTTGTTTTAAACAAACAGGCCAGTCTTCCAGTCCTTGTATTTATATTTTTCATTGTACTTTAGTACTTAAACACCTACACGACAGCTACATTCTTCTGTATTTGGAGATGAGTCCATTAATAAATGTTTTATAGCTCTACAGAGAAATGGGTGGAGCACAGATGAGAGGCCTTCCCATAATCCAGCAGTCCTCCTCATGGAGTGCTTTCAGGAAACCCAAGAAGACATCATATACAGTACAGTAGCAGCTGCAGTGGAATCTTGCCAGCGTGTCTTTTTGTCTGTGAGCATCAATGACCGCATTCAAAGCAATGCTTGGAACCAACAGGACAATGTACTTACAGTTATCACATAGTGATTTTCTTTGTTCTAAAATCTAATACAATGCTAAAGAGCCACCCAAAAGTGAGCTTAGGTTTGTTTTCTTGGCGGAATTTGTAAGGTTATATCAAGGGAAGTGGTCCTTTTCACTCTTTTTCACTACAGGCTCTGGCCTCATGTTAAGTGGTCGGTAATGCTCTAAGTTGCCGAGGCGCAGCACCTTGAAAAAACAGGCCGCTGGGGTGAGCCAGGGCGGCCTCAGACACGGCCAGCCACACCACGGTGTCGGCTCCCTGGTCTGCAGTGCGGAGCTTGTCCTTCATGGAGCGGTAGAAGTCGGGCATTGCTGATTGGACGGCTGCACAAGAGTAAGAAATCCTGCTTTATTTCACAATGGCTACAGGTCCAGAAGCTATAAAACTCTTCATCACCCTGATCATTGCACTCAACAAGGGACTTAGATACAGAAGAGTAGATACAGGCTGTGAATTTATCATACAAGGGACTGTGATAATCGTACAGATGTCTGCGTTAGTAAAATTCATAAGACTGCGACAGTACATCACACACACAACATTCCCGATTCACCATGTGGAGATCAATATTCAGATTTTTGAGCTTCCACTTTAGTATTTTCATTCTGAAGTTAGACCAGACTGTCCTCTACAGCAAAGCACCTACAGTACGTTGGTCTGATAATTGTGAAAATTACCTGGGGTGTCTGCCCATCCAGGATGCATTACAGAGAAATGAATATTGCTGTGCACTTTCGCCCACTCTTCAGTCATCACTACTTGTTGCCTCTACACACAGGTAAGAAGAAAGTTTACTTCTTCGATATTTGATACCGGTCCCGTTTTAAATTAAAAGAGCAAAAAACAAGCACTTCAACAGTAGAGTGCGGATCCAAGAAGATGTAATGGGGCCTTCTTAAACTAAACTAATATAGGAACTCCACATCCAAAACAAATCTTGTAATCTTTTAACCACTACCCTCCAATTCCTGTCACATGGAAATCCAGTGGACTGCCTGGCCTGTGTCCCATACCTTGTTCTGTGCGTAGACCATGGTGCCGTTGAATCGGCCTTGTTCAGACTGCAGGTCATCCAAGTGCAGCTTCTGAACAAGCATCCCTCCTGAGGAGACCGTAATCTGGGGAAAGCAAGAGAAGACACACTAGCAGGATATAATCACACTAAAGAGCTGCATTTCATGTGCTAGAGAAAGGTCAGTCACTGTAAGGGTTTGAGGTGCTCTTGTCAGAGCCCAGTAATAATTCTGACCTGAACACGTTTATTATTCTGTATTCACTGTCACACAAAGCACAAAGATTTTCTTTTAAAAATTTTTTTGTTACTTGTTAATTAAAAAAAAACTGGAGAGCAAATAACAGTGGGATGTCATAAGTAACAACAAAAAAGGCTAATTAAAAATGGCAGTTAACTGCCGTTTTTAGAATAACAAGGCAGGACTTTATGTACTGTACAGACACTTACCACTCTAGGATTACTGCTTTTTTCCAGTAAAGGGATCAGGCTTTTGGTGAGAATGAAGGTACCTGGAGATTAGAAAAAAAAATCTATTAAAACTTTAAGTTATTACTAATTTAGTTGACCAACGCTTTTATCCACTTACACTATTGAGCCACTTTCAGTACAGTACATCTGCATCCTGGGTATTTTACTGGAGCGATTCAGGTGAAGGATTTGAACCCATGACCTGTCAGTTACAAGTCCAGAACCCTCGACACTGCTGCCCAAGAACAGTATTAAGCGACGCTGAAGGTGGGAAAAAAACCACTACAGATCTCAAAATATGGTGAAAATTAATTATAAGAGGTTTATTGAACAGTAGCATCCACTGTCCACTCCACCTGTTCACCCAACCCTTCAGTCACCAAACACCCCCCAACAACTGTCAAAGGGCAGCAGCGCACATTGAAACACAAAGATCCAGTCACTTCTTCAGCAATAGCCAATCGCAGGTTCACATCTGACTATTTCAGTGTGATGCAGCAGCAGGTCTATAATGCCCAAAACACAAAAGAGTCATACACACACTATCACAGGTAAGACAAAACGTGGTTACAGTAATTCTACTGGATGGAGATCTGTGTTTGTGTACAGTGTGTGTGTCAGTTCTAATCGTATCCTTTCTCCTTTATCCACAGGCTTTCGTCAGCCTGCAGTGAATCATGTGACGATGATGTGGGATTTGGGATTCAGGTATGCACAGCTTTCTGTGTGTCTGTCTTGTTTCTAAGGTCTCTACCTCCCCAGTATATTTTAGCACTACAGATTTTCCCCTCTGCACCAGTTACAAACGACATGAGGCCATATCGCCCAGCCAGCCCATTTGGTAGTTAGAAGCTAATCGATCCAGGGATCTCATCCAGCCATTTCTCAAAAGAAAGCAGGGTATTGGCTTCATAACATGGCGGGGTAGATTGTTCCAAACACCCACAACCTTTGGATAAAGAACTGCCTCTTGTTCTCTGTTTGAAATGCACTTCTGGTTGGAATATTTTCACCTCTAGGGACTGAGCAATGTTACCTTTTCAATTCCTTTGGGCACAAAACAAGATTTAACCTGAATAATAAACAACCCATGAATTACATCATGTAGTTTGTTTCTTTGGCACTTTCAATGTTTTTATTTTCCCTTAAATAATTATTAGGATTACTATTAGGATCTTATGTGTTTTTTCTCTTCTCCAACACCAAAAGCAATAGTACAATATAAGACACTTCTCTGTGTGCTTCTCAGAAGACATGGTTAAATCCTCAGTGTTTTCTGTAGTTTAATTTAGTGCTGATCCAAGGTCTGCACACCTACCCAGAGTGTTGCATGCAAAGTTCATTTCAAGCCCCTCTGCATTAACTTCACGTTGATTTACCATACATCCTGCATTGTTGATCTGAAACACAAGCGTGTAGAAACAGAGAAATCAGACTGGGTTGGTTTCCCAGACCCCCACAGTAATAACGTTGAACTAACTTCCTTAATATGAAATCAGTATGGTGTATAGAAGCATCTACTCCTGTCAAGGAAAAAAAGCAGAACATATTTGTAGTTGTTGGGACAGATATAAAAAAATAGTTTAAAAAAAGGATTGCATATGTTTAAAGTTTAAGTCTATCTAATAAATCAATTGACAATAAAGGTATATCAACTTTTTTGACAGTCACAACAGAATTACAGAATGGTATTTTAAGGAGTTCTTACCTCAATATTCTATACCTACTATAATACCTATAACTGGTATTAAGAATCACTTATACCAGATAACTGTTAATGAAGTATATGCTTTTAGTCATAGTTATATGCATTACAAACACCATACTTATCATTTTGTATGACAACACAGTTGTGGAAGCCTTATATCACGCTTGTCTCCGCTGGCGAGTGACTGAACGAGCTGGTATTCACATGGTAACTGGACACCTACAGTATCATCCAGCACTGGTTACCATGGTTACTAATGTGCCAGGAGTCTTGCACCACCTGCAGGCAGTTATCTACCAGGCCCAATTCAAGTGATTCAAGGTACTTAATCTGTCATTAAACTCTGTCATAGAGCTTGCTATATTTTGTGTTTTGTTTTGAGTACCCACTCTGCACCCTTGCTTCACCAGAATTCATTGTCTGGATCCTCCTCTGGCACTTTGTACGGTGTCTCTTAGTGTTGAACTTTGTTTCTCCCTGTTCACGGTTCTGGACTGTGGTAGCTCAGACCTCACTTGTCTGTCCTTGCCTGCGCTGCGCCAGCCTGGCTCCACTGTCTGCTCACACTGCTGCTCGCCGTTGTTTGTTCACCTGATTTTGAGTTTAGCTCACTAAAACGTGCCGCTGCTTATACTGCCTGCAGCAGCATAAAACACCTTAGTCATACAAAATCATTCACATTGTACCTACCAAGACATTCAGCGATTTGTGCTTTTTCTTGAAAGCTTCAGCAAACTCCCAGACTTTTCTTGGCTCTGACAAATCCAAAATGTGAACATGGATATCCTGAAAATAAATAATATTTTGCTTTCAATATTTTAGTCTTTTGTAGATGACAGACTATGGGTCATTTACATTGCCTTTCTAGAATGCCTCTCAAAACATGCCCATTAAATTAAAGCTGTTCTCAGCTGCAGCCTGTCTTCAATTTTAAAATAATGCTGTGAATAGTGTACTTTTACATTTTTTTCTAACGAACCATCACCATGTTTGTGCTTTGGTATTTCAAATTTCAGATATTGAGAATAAAGGCCATTGTAGTCTTAGCTGAAATTTGACAAATGTCAAATGCCAGTGGAGAAAATCTGAGAACATAGGCATCTATCTATCCACTGTTTCCTTCTTACCATAACATCTCTCAACGCCTTTCACTGGAAGACCAGTTTAATAATGAACGTCATGTGGAAGAATCTAAACTTACTTTATTTCCGCTTTCCTTGATAATGTCTGCTTTAGCGTCCTCTGCTCTTTCTTTGTTTCGGCACACCAGGTGTACAGTGCCGCCTAAATGATGTATGAGAAGGTAAGCATTCAGAATTGTTTAATCACCCCACCAGAGCCTGCCAATACCCTGTCCCTTTTTATTACACACTAAAAGACAGAAATATTAACAGTTAAGGCAATCAGTAAAACATTAGAACCAGAAGCAGGATTTGAGAAACAAAGGTACTATAGCCAGGCATTGCTGTTTGACCACTTATCTATACCTCTCTGGGGCGAGAAGACTTGCTGGCATTCAGTTTTCATACCAGACACACTTTTCTTTCAGCAGTTTAACAATATTAAAAGCATAATGATTAGTAAACCATACAAACAGTGGCCCTCGAGATACGGAAGGTAGGGACCACAGATTCCTTTTAATCCAAAACTTCGGGAGTACACGATTTCACTTCTGAACGCAAAATGGGAATCAAAGCAGCGTAGAGCAGGTCTTACATTCAACTTTCTGGGGTTTCTTCACAAGTTCCTCCCACCCTAGGGAGGATTATAACTGCACCCCTCTAACCTGAGATGTACAATCCCTCAAATCCCCTTCCTGCAGTACCTTTCTTCGCTATCATATAGGCAGCAGCTTTCCCAATGCCGCTGTTGGCTCCAGTGATCATGAAGGACTTTCCCGATACCGAAACATCCAAATCCTTCTCCACAAAGTGCTTGGAGGCAGCCTCATAGCCGCCCCTGAAATAAACATTCATTTGTTTAGCGGAACAACACGTCATTCGCAGATGTGTCTGACTTACATAACCCATATTTGCTCATCACCCACTCTTGTTTTTCCAACTCTAGTTATACCTCAGATAAAGACAGTCCTGTCTACACATGGTACAAAATTAGTTTTTTGTCTTTCAGCATCTTGAGTTACAAACTACTCAATACAAATACATGATACAAGTTTTGTTTCTTGGTCTTAGTATCACCAATCTCAACATGTTTGACATCCATAAAGAACTACCCCTCCTTTGTTCAACAGCCCTGGTAGTTTTCAAGGAGAAGATTCACTATAGAAGCAGGACCCAATAGAGTGAGAGCAAGGGAGATTTTCTTTGGTCAACTCATTAATTGGCTGCATGTTAAATATGAAAGAGTTTAATATTGGGACACAAAAAGCAAAAGACAAACTGAATTACTGTATGTTCAAAAACGTTATTTATACACCAGTTATTAAATATGGAAAGAAAGAATAAGTCACATGCAACAAGAATCTGGCTGTCACTCAGCCCTGTAACTTTAAAAAGAGTCATTGTGTTCTACCAGGAGCTGGGAGAAAGGACTAGTGTGGGCCATGAACCACTATCGCTGATTATTCTCTGTCAAAAGACGCTGTTGTCAGGCTGTGATGGAGGGTGTGATTGTGCTGGCTGGTTATCGGACTAGACAACAGAAAATAAACTGTTTATACTGAAAAGCCTACGAATTTATCTTAAAAGCTGAAATTTAAACATCCTCTTCCTTTTAGTAACATTAATTATGTGCATATAGCATGACGATGATAAGCCAAGCCTTTCTAACGCCCAAAATGGAAAAACGTTTTACAATGCCATAACAGGATAGTAAAATTAAGGATCATCCTTGTGTATCAGTTTCTACTTTCCTTTATAGTAGTTTATTTAACTGTAACATGTTCCACTGCAAACAGGTCATTTCAGTATTTTCGGCACTTGAGTAATTTGAACAAAAAGCATGTATGTTTTATGAATCAGTAATATTCTAAGTCCATTCAACGACAACGTATTCTTTAGTGAAGATCTGAATCTCAATTTAACGAAAACTTTTCAAAACATTTAAAGGACTTAGAAAAATGACCCTTTACAAAAACGAGCAATAAATAACCCGTCTGTGACACACACATACACATAATGAAAAAGTAAACACCAAAATATGAGCTAGACTTAACGTTTAACTATGTGTGCAGGACAGAATTGAGATTCAGATTCTAATCGAGACAAGTAACGAAACAACCAACATTCAAAATGAGCAATACAGGAAACTACCTTACGTCGACTGGTAAAATAGTGTACAGTTGACCTTACCTTGTATATTCATGAATTCCTTTTAAAAACCAGATAGTGTTCCGATACACAGACATTGCAACTCTCTCTACCCTGAACTTGCACTCACAGCCGCCTTCTGTAACTCAGTTTTATGTCACATGGTTTGACATGGGAACATTGTAGCGCCATCTAGCGCTGAAAGTAGAAAGGACAGCCTCACAGCTGAAACAATAGATGCACTTTTGTAATATTGAATAATGCTGCTTTATAGTAGTATATTTCACTGTAAGATGTTATCATTTTTAAGTCATCCAGGGATGCGAGTCCTGTATATCATTATTCTATTAAAGATAATTCATCCTAAAATTGAAAAGTGTACATTGATATTAGAGCATGTTTTAACAATTGTATAAGTAATTTTAATTTTAAGTAACTTAGGTGCCAAGAAGCTACCAGACGTTCACGAGGCTACATTACTGAATTAAAATGTTGGTGTTTCATATGCTGACGTTGTTTTAAATATGTTTATATTTCGAAACAGCTAAATCGTTGTGTTAGTCATTCGCTAAATCCTTATTGTTTTCCTTTTAGGAGGTTGGATGTGCCACTCGAACAAATCATTTTCTATTTTTTAATAATTTTCAACAGCTAAACTTGAGGGAAGATGAAGAAAAATATCTACAATGGGCACTGTTCTAAAGGCGGTGTAAATGAAACAGTAAAGTGTTTTTTTTTTCCAGTGTGGATCCCGTGTCATGCTTTACATGAGCGAAACTGGCCTTTATTAAATACCTGGCATTAAATCCGATTAAAATCTGTTTCATCACCTTATGTAAATATGTGCAGCATGATCAGGGCACGGCGAAAGCAGCTACATCAGTCTTTCGCCAGCAGTTCAACCACAAAGATCAGGCTTTCAGGACAACTTTGAAAGCGTTTTGCTACAGTGAAAAGCGAGTTGCTCATCTTGATCACCAGATACAACCCGGTGAAAATAAAACAAGCATAAAAATTCAACTGGAAAAATAAAATAAGTTGTACTACTCTTTTCCGAGTCAGTTGTCTCCTCCCAGACATTCGGACGTTAATATTTACTTTCAAACAATGGGTAAGCTTGCTTTGCAGGCAAGATCACACTACAGATAGGTTCACCGTCGAGTATCTGCCAAATGCACATTGTTTTAATCGTAGTAGGTGTAATTGCTGGTGTGTACAACACATTATCTGATAAGAAATCGCGGACAGACCTAGTCAGCACAATTCGTGCAGCAGCAGGGCAAAGGTGTTGAAACAGGACTGGCACAGACAAAACCAGGAAAGCGCGGATGTGAGTCGTGTGCCTTTAACGCAGCCTGCTTTTTCCTGTCCCATACAGTACATGTAGCTAAAGGGTTTTATTCCCAGCGGATGTGAATGCAATATTGCATGCGTTTCCAAAACAAAACACACAAGTTGTCACTGGTGTGGCTGGCTGAATGAAAAAAAATCAATAAATATCTTAGCAAACTTTGCAGAAAATGTTGAGTACTGATATAGCTGAGTGATGGTAATTAAATGCAGTAGAAACAGCAGCTTCTCTCCCACACAGATAAGCAACACAGATTACAGTATATTTATTGCATACATATGCGGCCGTTCATCTGGCGTTAATTCTACCTGGCGAATTACCGCACCGCAGCACAGAAGCGGTACAAGCTTTGCAAATACAGCACCTTTATCTTGCTGACTGACAGGTAAACACCAATCCGGTGTTTGCACGGCAGTGACGTGAGTCTTTTCCTCGGTGGAATTACACGCCAGGGAGGAGTTCAGCAACTTTCTGTTTGGAGAATTCTGGGAAAAGCAACTATGCGTTTACTAAAGATATCGGGACTTTGCGATAAATAAAACAATTTGGTAGTTTTCAATTTAACACGTGCGCCAATCGGACTGTGGGGAACCTTGAAATATGGTAAGTGAGACCCAGCTGGTCTTGTAATTTGATATGAAAGACTATTGTCAGGCAGAGTCGGAGAAGTCCCTCTCTAGAAGAAGGTAGTTCAGACAGGTTTGTGCACCTGCCCGTAGCAGGTGTTACTCTGATTATGAAGCGTCTGAGTAGGTGTTAATTTGAAACCAAATTATTGAGTTTGTTAGAGGGAATGAAAAAAAGAGTCGTCTTTGGTTACTTCGTCGATGGCGTATAATAGTTTGAAAAGATCCACTGCTGTAATACAGAGAACCAGTTGTTTCTGCCTATTATCCGGCGGAACAGGTTCGGTCTGGCGGTGTTTTCCAGTAGGTTCCTGTCTCCAGTAATCTGTGCACGCCAAAGTATGTTATTGTTTCATTGATTGATATCTGTTCTCGATGTAGGCTTCCACACTTGCATATTGCTCCGTCAATTAAAAACTGGGGCTTGAGAAGAAGCTAGTATTTAAAAAATGTAAACAAACGGTAATGTCGCGTTAACATGCATCACGGCATTAGTGTTGTATTTTGGTTTACGTACAGCATAGGAACTACTGAAGGACACTTTTTATTACTAATTTGTACAACACGCGGCTCCTGTTCAAGCGAATTTTACACCACCCTTTATGGATTTATAAAAGAAAACATAAAACAAGCTTATAATGAAAAGGCGCACCCAGTGTTTATAAAGTATATTCAGAAAGGAAAAATTCGTCAGGGTACTGTTTTATCCCGGGATAGAAGTTAGAAAAAGAATTGTATTTGAAATCTCCCTTTTGTCTTCGGAAGGGTGGGACACATACCGGATTTCTTTTGCTGTTGTTAAAGGAAGTTCCTCAAACCTACCATGAAACAGTCTTTAGTACATAAATACCTTAAAATGCTAGGTTCAAATTTTGAAAGCTTAATTTCTTAGCAGGAAGCAGCAGTACCAGCTTTATTACACGATAGAAATATTTTTTGTCGCTTTTAATTTCCTTTGAGCAAAATATCTTTCACAGTTGCAAAAGTAAAAAACAATCTGCTGTAATTAGCTAACAGTACTTTATGGGTTGCATATAGCACTAAGAAATTGTAAACAAGGTATTAAATATATATCAGCAAAATACACCTGGATTGTTTTATATGAGAACAATCTTTTGCATGATTTAAGATTGTGTTATTCATTCGTGGATGAGTCACTTTTCTGTGGGTGAATAATTTCTTTAACCTCCTTTGGTTTAATACATTGTAAATAATTTTCTACTGCATGGTACATTAGACTTTAGCAATCAATATTTTTTTCTCTTTTGTATTTCCCTCAGTTGTTTCATACTTTGTTAGCATACTATGTGTTCTGCAGAATTTAGGAATGTGACTTACAGTGCCTAATCTGAAGAGTTACTCAGTCTTACTTGACCTATTTAACATTTAGAAGTGTAGTGTTCAATAAAATGCACATTGACCTTTCTTTATACAGCACGTCTCAGCGGTTTAGTTCTGTGGCCGGACCAGTTCTGTTCCCCTGCGACATGCATAACTGCAGCCCACACCACTCGCTTCACACATGAAGTAAAAGACAAAGAAAGGCATTGAAGTATTGCCAATATTTAGAACAAAACTGAAAGAAATCTCATCCTTTCATAACTTCGAATAGAACTTGTTTTATAGCTCACCTTTTACAATGGCTTGACCCTTTCCAGTTTTACCTGAAAGACCTGAAAAATTGTTTGTGAGTATAAAGGATGCAAGATGTTTGATGTCGGTAATTCACAAAGTTTGGGAAGGTTCCAGTTTCTATTCTGTGAGAGGCACAACCTGAATAAATATTCTGACACCAACCCTTTGCCCTTGTTTTTCTTCTTGGGACAAATTTTGAAATGTTGGCCTTTGATTTCAAATCGCCCATTAGTATATGTTTTGTAGGCCATAAGGCCTGTGCATGATTTTGTGTGCTCTGTAATAGGCCTTCACCCAAAATATGAAGCAGATTTATTCAATAATAATAAGTAGAAGAAATTATTATATTATAATTCTAATTATAGTTATTAAATATAATTGTTGTGTTACTATTAAGTTATAATAGTAATATTCCTTACACTTATATACTAAAGCTCTATTCTGGACACTCTATTCAAAGAGCGATACAGGTAATGGGGTCTCCCCACCACTGCCACCCAGCCTCATTGATGCGACAGCAGCCATAGTGCGCCAGAACGCTCCCCGCACACCAGCTCTCAGTGGGGAGGAGAGCAGAGTGATGCAGTGTGGGGATTATTAGGAGGCCACGATCGGTAAAGGCCAGGGGGGGAGTTTGGCCAGGCCGCGCAGGAGCTGCTCCTCTCAGAAGGGCTGTTGCTTGTGTTTCAGATGCGCTTCATGCTGCTCTTCAGCCGACAGGGCAAGCTGAGGCTGCAGAAATGGTTCATGGCGATCGGAGAGCGCGAGAAGAAGAAGATCATCCGGGACATGACTCAGATGGTCCTGGCTCGCAAGCCAAAGACGTGTAACTTTTTGACATGGAAGGATCTTAAGATTGTATACAAAAGGTAGGAATCCGACGCGTTCCACAGTCCAAACGGCAGAAATGTAGGGTTTTTTTTAAATGAATTATGCTTGATTTTTGTTTGTCACGCAGGGGACTGTGGATTTAAGAAAACAATCCAGGTTTACTTTTAGCGTGATTACGTTTCCCAATTTCCTCCTGCAGAGTTATTCTTCATTTCTTGTTGGCCTTCATTGGTGTCTCTTAGACAGAAAAGCCATCTGTTCAGCAGTGATGGCCAAATCAAGGAATAACCTCTTGACCACAGCTGAAACAGATGTACAGATGTTTTTCACTGATTTATGAATATGATCCATGTTATTTGGACAATGGAAGTTGTATTAACAGGGAATGACAGTCCCTTTTGGTGTTCTGCAGATATGCCAGCTTGTATTTTTGCTGTGCAATGGAAGAAGGAGACAATGAGCTTCTGGCCTTGGAAATCTTGCACCGCTATGTTGAACTCCTGGACAAGTACTTTGGCAATGTAAGATAAATTAATTCGGATTTTTTCCTTCTCACATTTTCAGTTCAGGTGAAACCAGGCATACTGTTTAATAGAAGAGTTTGCAGACAGTATAGGAAATATTTGTAAGTCTTTATCAATACGACTAAATGTAAACTTCCATAAAATGTGTGTTGTGTGTAATCTTTTCAGGATGGTTAGCCAAATATGAGATGTTGAATCTCCCATGATAAATTCTGAATACTAAAACACTACAAGAAATTGCTTTTTGCACAACATTTATAAAGTATTGACATAGGATAATATCAAACTGTTAGATCAGACAAGCCATTATAATGAGCTAAAATGTGATTAAAACTTTTTCAAAGCTAATTTAAAGGGGAACTGCAGTCCCAATTTCTCAGACCAGTTATGAAATCTCAGTAACAAAATAAATTGACAGTATTGCAAAATTTCACAAATTTTGAATTAAGCACAAAATCCTGAATTTTTTGGAAGTATTGTAATATTGCAGTGTTGTTGCTAACCCCTCGTCTCCCCACGGGTGAGAGCAAGAGTTCCCCCGAATTGCAATGCGAGACAGCTCTTCCTGCTCGCTAGTCACCATCATGACTAATGTATTGAGATGTTCTACTAAATAAGGTTGTGCTGCAGACATTTCACCACTGCACATTCCTGGAAATGTCATCTATTTTTTGAATGTAAATTGGAGGTTTTACACATTACTGTGCACATTTTACTTTCATTGTGGTTTGAAATGCACTTATCAACGCCAATTCATTCTAACCCACAAATATAAAAATTGTGTTACAGTTCCCCTTTATTTGTTTATATAAAACTGCTTATTAAACATGGTAGTTTATATATTTTCATCATTTTCAGGAAGCCAACCTCCAGTCCTAGTCTATTAATGATTTTTTAAATTAAGTTTTCCTATTCACCAGAGGCGAATGGAAGATACCCAAAGTTCTGACACAGAAATAAAGGGTATTCTATATTGTGCCCCAAGAATAAATTAATTTTATAATCAAAAAGTGCTTAATTGATAATAGGAGATAGTTAAAGTTTTGGAAGTTGTCTTTTGAAACTTAAGTCGTGCATTACTTTGTATGCCCTCCAATCTGATGATGTACAGTGCTTTTAGGAAGTATTCACCCCCTTGAATTTTTTCGCATTGTGTTCCTGTTACACTTCCAACTTTTAACACATTGAAATATGTTTTTCTCCCTTCACTAACACAATAAATTCAACACATTTAGGAATCAATAAAATTTGTATTCAAGAACATTTGTTTCTCCAGAATGAAAGACTTACATTTCTCATTTACAAAAGTATTCACCCACCCCCGATTCATAAGAATTTACATATGATATATTAGAAAATATTGTTTTTGTCCAAACTCTTCAGTCTAAACTTAATCACCATGATAAAGATTATGTCTCTTAGAACAGCAAAAAACGTATGTATAATGTGATTGTTTCTTCATAGAATGGTGCTACATAAATCTTTCTTTATAGTTGCTTCATAAGTAACAAATGATTTATAGCTCTCATAGGAATGGTTTGTAGATCAATGCAAATGCCTGCCGAGTCTGTGTAAATGTTACATAACATATAGATTTGTGATTATACACAAATGAAACACATTAAATTTTTATTAAGCATTTGGAAAGACTTGATAATATAGGGATACAGTGGTGCTAGAAAGTTTGTGAACCCTTTAGAATTTTCTGAATTTCTGCATAAATTTGACCTAAAATGTGATCAGATCTTCATCTAAGTCATAAAAATAGATAAAGAGAACCCAATAAAATAAATAACACAGAAAACAAAGAAAAGGATATTCTTTTTCATTCATTTATTCGATCAAAATGATCTAAAAGGATAACTGTATGTCCAGATCAAATGTATTGCAGCTTTTTTATTTCTCTCGTCTCATTTAATTTTGCACATTTCACTTCATAAACCTCAACTTGGGATTTTAAGGAGATCTGTTGCACAATAAAAATCTCGTGCTTTGCAACCTGCAGGTGTGTGAGTTGGACATCATTTTTAATTTTGAAAAGGCCTATTTCATACTTGACGAGTTTCTCATGGGAGGAGAGATTCAGGAAACATCCAAATTGTTGATCTCAAAATCGATTGAGGAGTCTGATATGTTACAGGAGGTGAGTCCAGCAAGCAAAATCATGCTTCCAGGGTAATAAACTGGCGTTTTTCATTTCAGTTTGTATTACAACCAGTTGAGTAACCATTGTCACAGATGCAAGCCACTAGCACAATGTGCTAGAGTTGTATGAAGGAAACAAGGCCCAGCTGTAATAAATTGTGTATAATTTAATCATTCTTTGATCTTACCATTAAATGGAATCATTACTTGCATATCACTGTTCATTTTTTAAAACCCATTTAGTGAAGAACATATATGGTCAACTAGAATTATTTTTATGTGCGGCTACGTCTTTCACTTATTATAACATCTTTCCATGAACAGTTTCTTTTCAGAAAAGTCTTTTATTTCCCTCTCATTTTTCCTGTTCTATCTTAAGTTTGTCGCTGACGCATGGCAACTTTTCTGATGCTATTGTCTTGACTTCATTGTAGTCCCTGATTTTCTTTGCTTATATTAATAGTTTTACTGAAAAAAATTAATATCATCATGTAAAAGTAAAAATTTAAGTCTATTAAATGTTGACTCTTGATGAAATACGATTTATTTTGATAAGCAAAAAGCAATATATTTTTTAGTTTAGTAATTCAAGTAACAGCATGCAGCATATACAGTAATTTGGAATCTTTCCATGAAGAAAAATAATTAATAGGGAATGGAAGGAAAATTGAATCCGTTCATGTTTTTTCTCTGTCTCTGTTCACTGGTAATTGTAACTCAGGGTTAAGTTTTGGGGTGTTCAGTCTGGCTTAATGTTTCTGTGCTGTGTGTTGATTAAGAAAAAAACCTGAAAACCAGATTCTTTTTATGTGATGTTAAAAGTATCACCATAAATGTACTTGTACATCAGTATGGAGTCCGGGTATTTTCAGAAATTACTTTAATGATGTTCATTGGATCACGGTAAAGGTTACCTTGTTCAGATAACGTTTAGTTTAGTTCACTAGGATAGTTCATATACTTTATGTATAAGCCATAACTTCAGTCACGCTCATTGGGTGCTAGGAAGTTTTGGTGTCTATTTCATAAACTGCTTGCTTGTCATTGTCCATGTACAGTATATGACATTTCAGAAACTGCTATGACCAAACAAAGTTAAGCCTTGTGTTTTGAGTTTTGGCCATTGGAGCATTGATCTATACAAAGTGGAAGTTGTAGCACTGTTCTTCTCTTCTGCCATGTGTTTTCAGAAAAAAAACACATATCTCATTGAACTCCAAGAGTCTCGTCTCATTTTTCAAAACTGCTTTAATTTATAAAAATGTGTGCAGGTGAATGATGTGATGTAATTGCTATTCATAGACTGGAATAGCTATGTTACTGTAGATAGTAAGACCATCAGACAAGCTGTTAATGTTAACTATTAATGGGTTTTCTTCTTTTTCTTTCCAGACAATGGAGGAATATATGAGTAAGCCAGCATTTTAAAAGAAAATGTTTTAATGAAGTATCATGTTTCAGACTTGAAGATTTGGGAGTTTATGAGCTAAAAGTGAATTAATTGAAAATGGAGAGTTCTCACCAAAGTGCCACATCCTTAAATTACATCAGATTTATACTTAATACTCTCATTATCTTCTCATGTAATATTGTCAATGAGTAGTGTCATTTTGGAATTATGGACTAAAGTCTCCATTTCTGTTTAAGTTTTCATTAATCTGATTCAAATGTATTTCAATGGAATACATATTGAGTGCATCCTGTTATATGAAGGCCTGAAAAATATCTGACAAATGTGTGCCACCATCTGTTGGACCTGGTAGTCAGGCTGATGGACATGTACGAGGGTTCTGATTTCAGGAAAAATTAAAAATCACTAAGCTTCATAGAGACAGGATTTGTAATTATTGTAGTTTTAAAACTACAGTCCTTACATTTTTTACCACTAGATCAACAAGCCCTGAAATGAAATTCCCTGCCTTTTTATCATTTTTGCCCGATAACAGCTTTTTCAAACAATGAAAAATAAAATATAACAATGCTTTTCATAAGTGGGTCTTGACACCGTTATTATATAAATTGTTCGATGTTTCATATCTTAACTCAGATTACATTAGAAACACAAAGCTGTGTTGAAAATACCTTTGTCATAAAATAATATTTTCATAAATAAGTCTTTACTTTGTCTTTTTCTTTATGGTCACTCATACTTGATTTCTGGTTATATATTTTTGCCAGTAAACATTATTATAATTATTTAAAGGAGTCGACAGTAAAAAGTAGAGGTAAAACAGTGAGATTTAATATGACCTGAAAAAGGACTGCACTGCTTATTGTTCTGAATGCTGAATGGAATGTGTTACTAATATACAGTGTAGGTGTGAAAAGTTTCAGGAGCTGATAGTCCATGTGATGTCCAATAAGATTTTAAACAGCAGAATCCTATATTTGCACTCTGACCAAATGTACAATTTGATTCTAATGATTAAATAGTGTTTTGATCTGAAATGGTCTAATAAGTCATGAAGGAATTCAAATGACCACTATGTTCTTGATCGATCCCAGAGGGAAAGTAAAGAAAACACATTTTGTTGAAAACGCTAGTTGGATTTCATTTGATATCACTGGAAAACTTTTACGATGGGTATTATTTATATGAGTACAAATCAGTTTATAACTTTTGTAATAAACAAAACTACTACTACTATTATTTTATTATTATTAATATTATTTTTAATATAAAGGTGGTTGTGAAATTGAGCAAACCATATGTACTTTTTGTATACGAAGCTTCCTCTTAATAAAGGTAAATCCATTAACAAACACAAGTCACAGTAATGTGTTGCATTATGGTATATTCTTTATTCTGCCTGGAAAGCCTAAAGTTGGATGCAGATCTATGAGTGTGCAAGGGAACTAACCTTAACAGAGCTGTAAAAACTTGCTCCTTGCTCACATTGCTCCTACGTGTAACATGTCATGTTTGGTTAAATTCACATAACCTCTTGATACTTCATGTGCTAAGGCCAAAAACACTGGCTTCTTGTGCCGTGTTGATTTATAACTGCAGGGGGTTGTCAGTAGAGATGAATGATTCCATAACAAAATAATAGTGTGCCAAGAAGGGGATGTGTTATTCTCATTACAATGACAAACATACAGCTCAAAGAACGCTGGCCTTTCTGTCATTTAAGATTTAATAAGAATGAAGTTGCCTATAGGGACAATCAGACTCTGAAGCAGTGGATTTATTCACTATAAACATTCCAGCAAAAAGCTGCTGTTAGTAGATAAAGCCATTTTCTCATGTTGATTTTATACAAAGGTGAATTTCACCCCCTGGCACTCGCTGATAGATATAACAAACATTACCTAGTTGGAAAGTAAAGACGAATTGGTACTTTGCGATTTGGTGTTGCACAAATGTCACGGTAGAGAAATTGCAGAATGCTGTGAAGAGCAAGAGCTGTCCAAGTTCTGAACGGACGCAGTTTTTTTTTTGCAGTAACAGTGGCTGCGAAAGTAGGGAGTTTCCTTTCCCGATGTTATGAGCTTTAAACCCACACACATAACCATAACCTCTAATGCTGAACAAAAGTGCCCACCCTTTTCCTTCATAGTTTTTATCTCTATGTTCCTTGTCAAATGAGACAACATTACACAACAGCGGAAAATAATACCAGTAAATGCTTTATTTATTTAAAGTACTTTACACATGATGGAATACAAGTACGAAATATCATATTGATAAAAACACAACAGAACCCAAAGTATCCAACACTGATTCATTTGTAGGCTGTTTTAAGGTACATCAGATGAAAGGTTTCACTGTCCCGTTTTAAGGACGGTGTTTGTCCAACACCAAGTGTTGTAACAATAAAAACATCTAAGTATCACAAAATCAGGGACTACCACAAACAAAATTAAGTTCGTTCGCCGCTACATCAAATCAGACCTTTGATTTTTTTAATTAAAGATTATGAGCTACTGTACATTAACGGAACTTTTTTTTTAATGTGGAAATAATATTTGTGGAAAGTCAACCTGACAGCCTACATCCCATTCAACTTTTTGCCATAAATGTCCCTGTCTTCATTTTCTCTAGTCTCTTGGTTTAGATATCCCAACATTTTCAGCAACATATCTTCATCTAAGCGTTGTGATTTCGAGGCATTCCCCTGCTCTCCGTCCTCGGACAATCTTTTTGTTGGTGATGTTTTGTCGGAGCTAATATGGTCAAAGTAATCTTTCATTGCCTGCTCGTATGTTCCGTAGGCTACTTGATCTTCCTTTGAGGAAAGCTGAGGGGTGCGTTTGAGGTCGATTTTGTTGAGCATTTTGGGGTACTTAGACAGCAATCTTGCAGCAAGATAAGTAGCTAATTCATCGTCATCAGTGGCTTCGTCATAATCCATTTTAGTTTTGTCATAATCACCTGGGAGACCGCTGGGCTCAGATAAAACGTAATCCCCCCTCCGGGCACTTGGGGCAGACAGTCTCGAATGCCCGTGTTTAGATTGGATTTGCTTTAAGATGTATTTTGGGTTTGGGTTGCCTTTAGCTTCCAGTCCGAGAATTTTCAAAACATCTTCTGTATTTAAATCGTCAGGAATGTCGTTCGGGAGCATTTCAGGAAGCCGTCGGTTAAAAGGTTTCTTTGCAGGAACCCTTTCTTTATTGTAAGGAGAAATCTGGCTCAGTTTGTCTTCAATTCTGTCTAAATCCTCGGGCACTTCAGGTTCCACCTCTGCTTCTAAGATTTTATCCTGCTTTTTTACCTCCCCGCTTTTCAGCATCTCTATTAAATCCTCGGGTGGGATTTGTAATCTCCTAGATATTTCAATCAGCTGATATATAGCTTGTGGGTCAACTTCTAACGACCCGCTGGGTCCGACTGTCCTCTTCTCGTTGTTCTGTTCCTCCTGGGGTCTTTCACTGTTGTCTCTCTTCTCGTTTCGTTCGCTCTTTTCCAGAAACTTTAACAGGTAGCGGTCCACGAGTTTGTTGAAGTCGTCGGGGTCTTCCTTTTCCGCGTACTTGGGCTGGCTGGATCTTTTAAGGCTGTCGCCAGCCTCGTCGGAGCCTCTGTCAAACTCCTCCCGGCTGTCCTTCACTTCCTCGGTTTCCGTTTCGACCTTTTCCTCCACCGGCGTCCAGTCTTCTCCCCCCGCCACGTCTTCGTAGGCGAGGTTGTTGACCCTGTAAATGTCGTCGTCGTTGTCTCTGTAGAACCGCTGGTCCTCATCCAGACTCTGCCGCTTCTGGTTGCTGGGAGCCGACAGCTTGCCCAGCTCCTCGAAAACAGATTCGAGGGTGGCCAGGCTCTGGGGTGTGTACTGCTCCTCCACAATTTCGTTGGTGCGCTTGTAGGGGTTTTCCCTGGAGTCTTCGTCTTCGAAGAGAAGCTGGTACTTCTTTAAAGGCTTGTTTCGCTCGGGCAAAGGGTTGTCGCCATAATCGCCGATTTCATCTGCAGGGCTGTCTTCTTCGGCGTACTGCCGGTTGTTAAACGAGAACCGCGTACCCGACAGCGACGGCTTAGACTCCTTCTCGGCTCGCTGGAGCGCTCTTAGCAATATTTTGACCCACTGGGATTTATCGTCCTGCCAGGCTTCCCTAACGTCTGGAGCAGCGCTTTGCTCGGGGCCGGCCATGTTTTGAACGGGAGCGAGCCTCAACAGGGAGCGAAACTTCTCCATGTCGTCGTAGTCGGGAATCGGCTCTTCGTCGTTTGTTTGCTGCCTGAGGTTTTCTATGTACTCCAAGGCTTTGACCATGTCAGAATTAGGCACAAAATAAGGGGTTTTGAGTCTGCTCTCTGGCTCATCGTCCCTCATTTTGTGTTGCCTTACTGAAGCGCCATTAATGCAACAAGTGTGAAGAAGGCTACTGACAATAACCACCGCTCCTGCGAGGGAGATCTTGGGAAGAGACATCTTCTTATTGCCTAAAAACAATAACATGTAAAGTTAATCTTTTTTTCTAAGGCAAATACGGCGTATTGCAATTATTCCCCGTGGTGCCTTTCTACAAATAGAAATGAAAGAAAAATTATCTGTTCGAAAACATCATCCGCACTCAAAGATTAATTCAGTGTGACCAATAAACGAACGACTCAAGTCCTCTGGGACCGTCACATTCACAGTCACACGATGTGTTTATATTGTATCTAAGCCAGGAATTGCGTGCCTATGACAAAAATCCTCTCAAACCGAGTGTTAAAGAAAAGAATCGTGTCTGCCAGTCATTGAATAGCCCATCTTTCATCAGTGCGGTAATATCATCAGTTTTGAAATTACTGGTCACTGGATGATTCACTACGTTTCCAAGGTAACCTGTGCTCTTCGCTATTGCAGCCCTACACCCAGGATAAACCCTTATTTCTCAGAAGAAGAAAAAAACAAAAGCAGGTAAACGTTTAACTTCATAACTTCACAATTATTCAAAGGAGTATGATAATATCTAAAATGCCATAATTTTTGGATTCGGCAAAATTTTAAGTACATTTCTTTTTTTTACATTCCGTGATATTCCCTTATTGTTTAGTGACAACGCCTCCGACCGGGAATAACGATCGAAAATACAAGAAGCATGCAGCCATATCTCATTAAGTTTTATAATTATAGCGTTGAGGATCTGGTGGGGGAAATCTGAATTGTGAAACAAAAGTGATAGCATACACATTCAAATATTTTCGTCCTACGACTCTGCTTTGAATGTACCCTTAAAGAATCTGTTGACAGATAAGCTACAGTACGTTACCTTAGAAAGTAGTTCAGACAACGGAAGAGTCTGAGCAGAACATCTCTTTCTTGCCAGCTCCGTGAGAAAGTACTCCTCTTTTCAGCACCAGGACAGTTCCTTCTCGTTATATGAGGCGCCACCCGACCTTTGCGTCATTGAGACCTACGTAATATGTTTTTTTTTTCATGTCAAACCGGAGAAATAACAAGCAGAGAAACCGGTCTCCCTTTTGAGCTATTGATCATAGTTTCGTATGAGGTTGCATCGGCATTTAACAATCGATTTCCTTTCGAAACGTTTCCTTTAGTTCTTTCATTTTGCGAAGAGCATTTAAACGTGCTGACTGCCGAGCGGTCGCCTACATACAGTGATTGAGTTGTCAGATTTTTTTATTCCTTTTTTTGTCTTTTCTGGATAATAGATGTACTCAAAGTATAGATTGCCCAGCAGATCTAATAATTGGAATTTGACAATCTATCAATGGAACCATAATTATCCTGTCTTGAAATAAACCCTTATATGACGGATGCTGCTTCGTGATTGGTGACCACTTGTTGTTGCGTTACTCGCCAGCTCTCTGTGCTACGTTTACGATTTGCTGTGCTGAGCTCTAGTTAGCATCCTGGAACGCACACAATGGTCTCGATTATATTGGATTTGGACCACTTTTCTAATTTATTTTATCCGCTTTTGATTTTATGTATTGCTATTCTATCCAATAATTAACCCCATGCTAAAATAGAAACACTGTCCTTTATTTTTCAACTGAAAGGTTGCACATATGAATGCAGTCAATTAGTGATCCAGACTACTAAGCGACAGTGACTGCAGGGGCTGCAGTAAATAAAGGCTGCTATGCCGAAGGCTGTTTGCGTGTAGGTTCTCCAAACTTGACAATTTCTGAAAACAAAATATTTTTATTAATAATAAATCAGAACTGATCATTGCTCCGTTAATACCAGTTTCATTGATACAAAGCATGATTCGAAGTGCGGATGAGCTGTAATACAAGGAAACACCTGATCATGTTTCTCATATTAGCAATTAGATTAACTAAAAAGACAAGGAATTTATAAAACACCTTCTACCCCACTAAGATGGACTTTAAATTTAGGTTATTCAAAGGTCTTCTTTTATGAAAGGAGTTTTAGAAACTAGAGAGAGGAAACTTTTTTTATTGTCTCAATAATGCAATGCGTACTCTAAAACTATATGATGACCGGTATCTGCGATCTACAAAGGGACGTAATATTCGTGTAATATGTTTAGTAATAAAAGATTTCGTGATTCCACGGAATGGAGGTTTTCAATTCATGAAGTGGAGCCTTAGGCGGATCTGTCGTCTGTGTTGTCTTACGCACTGCGAAGACAGTGTTAAATCTGCCGATGACTCATTCACCAAATCCACGAACAACAGGAGGTTTGCTGCCGCAGAATCCTGTACTGCAGAAAATATCATTGATAAATGCAGGAGGAAAGTCAGAGCTCTTACATTATGAGCAGCCACTATAATCGTTAAATAAATCCAGATCGTTCAAGATCGTTCATGCTCTGGAAGTATATGGTAATTTATTAAGTCCCCCCAAAATGTTGATATAACATGTGTTAGTCATCATGATTGTCACATTTTCCTCTTCACAGAACTGTTGTTAATTAAGAAGCTGATCTGCCAATGAAAACTGCATAAATGAGTTAATGCACCACATATTCAAAGCCCTGTGTTGGGCCATTCCTTCTTATCAGCCCTATGATATTTTACAACCTGAGCCTGTACAGTATGCATTGAATCTAAACACACTTATTTTAGAGTTAAATTAAAGAGGAGAATCTTCAATAAAGCTGAAACAGAAATGCTTTTTTTTCTTCAGTTCACTACGACAACTACTTTTTAAAATGTGTTTCCTATAACAAAGCTATCTTGCAGGTAGCATACCTACTGTACAACCAGTAATTTCAGGCTGGTGCCCCTCTTTTGAGTTTTTATCTTCTCCATGGTCTAGTGGTCTTTGGGACCCAACTTACAACCTGTCTCCCAAAGACTGGCTAGGTCTTAATAGCTGTAAATGACCACTTTCTTGATGTCTCTGTGATGGTTTGGTATCTTTAGGTGCCAAAAATGACACTTCATGGTTGAAATCAGCATTGAAAGCACTTTCTATGCAAGTACTGGACTTTCAATGAGTTCTAGTTCAAATTTACCACATCTAAATTTGGGAAAAGACATCTCAACTTGATATAAAAATGAATGGCTAAAACATATGTCTGTCTGCAGAAAACACCAGATTGTGTTAGAATGAAATGACTAATTGGTTATGTAGCTGTTCATTACTAAGATGAGCCTGTTACAATTTCACTCTCCAAAATGTTCCAATAACACCCCCTCCTCCCCACCACCATCACGAAATGTTCAGTTTTTGGTTTCAAGTGAATCTGAGTGTAAAGGGAATTAATCTTTGGAAGTTCAGATTTAGAATAAACAAATACAGATGACATGAAGTCTTTCAGGATAGATACAGTATATGAACATGTTCTTCGTGCATTATCAGATAGTTCATCTTAGGTTTCCTAGTATCCATCCATTTGTTTCCTGCTTTATCCAATACAGGGTTGTGGGGGAGCCAGAGCCTATCCCAGCAAGCAACAGTTTCAAGACAGCTCAAACCCTGAATGGGACAACACTCCATCCCAGGGTACACACAGACCAGGGCCAGCTTTCCCAAAAGCCTTTTAACCTACCAGCATGTAGAGGAGGAAACCCACATGAGTACAGGGATGACATACAAACTCCACACAGATAGCATCCCAGGTCAGGAGCTGGACCCAGGGCCCCAGTGCTGTAAGGCAGTGACACTAACCATTGTGCCACCTGTTTCTTAGTATCATTTATCCTAAATGTGTTTTACAAGCATTAAATTGTTTCAGAAACAACCATTTGGACAGCAATTACCAGCAACTGAGACTGGAGATTTGTTTCCTTCTTTAAGCAAAAGTAAACATTCCAAATTCAGTAGTTTTCACCAGGGACCAGAAGACTTGCCAGAGCAAGCATGAAAGTAGATGTCTTGTCTGATACTCATTAAAAAATAACAGCATCCTGCTTTGAGGCAAATCACAGCTTTTTTCACCTCTATTTTAACAATAAGCCTTATTTGTTAACCCACTCCGTTCAAATACATCTAGAGGAAAAGGGTATTCAGCAAGCCAAGGCTGAGGAATGGCTTGACGTCAAACAGTCTATTTAGCAACCAAGTCACATCCAGATCTGAATATAAGACCTTGGTGAAGATCTGAGTCACTCTCTTCTGAGACTTCGTGCAACGGCTGAGCAGCGCAGCACACACACACCGAACAACAGAACAGAATTCATTATTTGTCTGAAGTTGCTATTTTTGGGGGGGGGGGGTGGAGGTAAAAATAAAATGCCATGGTTTTCAGATTTGACTGGGTTTTTCATTCATAAACTCTGCTCCTAAGTTCAAGCCCTGAATCTCTGAAAATGAGGAAAAGGGATAGAAACAAACACAGTGGTTAATTCCATGCTGAAAAGTAAAAGGAAAACAAAATAAAAACACCATTCTGGCTGATTTGCCTTCAAGAGGTGTGTTGGAAACAAAGGAGAGATCTGAGAAGGCTGAGGAGAAAGAGAATGAGAGAATGGGTTGGGAGTGAAAATCAATCATCATTTTCATCTTATTTTACTGTTACTCTGTGGGGTCAGTGTTGAATATGTTATTCTTGTGTTCTTTCTGTAATAAGTCTTTATCCGTTATCAAAAAGCTGCACAGACTCCCTGAGGCCTGGTTGCTAATGAAATGGGAAAAACCGTCTTCACAATTTGGGATTTGCAGTGGAGAAGTGCACTTTCATAAGAGTTAATTAGATTTTCGTGTATTTAAAGAAGTACACCACTGTTGACACTATTTCTGTTCCTTGGAGAAGCAATAAAGCACTGTATATATGCTTTCATATATGTGTATATGTACAGTATGTATATTGTCTGGTGCAAAACTGCTTCCCAAGAACACACCCACAAAATGTAATTTTCAGAACCTGTGGAATACTGTAAGTTACTTTTAAAATAGAGTTATAGAAGCAAGAGTGCAGAGTCACCCAGGACAGATGCATCAAATCATTCAACAAGTAGAAATGAGAATATCATATGAACTGCTCAAATCCAACTGAAATGCTTGCAGTAATGTAGATACTGTGCATGAGTTGAATAGCAATGCTATAAGTTAAGTGATAGAGTCACTGTATTACCAAACAGAGCTGTATAGAGGGGAGCTAAAATCCTTGCAGGTTGGTTTATATTTATATATTAAGGACATAAGAGTATTTTATATTTGTTTAAAAGGAAATGTGCTGTTTTTTATTTGTTGTGTTGTTGTTTTTTATTCTTTGGGAAACTGAAATTTCACAAAAAAATCAATAGAAACAAATGAAATGGATGTTTATAAGAGCCCGATCTCTTATTGCAGTCCAAATGTCTTTATGGTATTGTTCACAAGTAGAGACTGAACAGACTTGAATTTAGATCTTGTGTCTTTAATGGGGACAAATAATATCAAAGCCACATATAAGCCAAAGTGAGTAATTTAATTCTTACCTTTTCAACATTACCTTGTAGTTTTTGCACCAAACACCTGACATTCAACTGAAAAGAGCTACACTTTGTAACGCTTTGAAGGATTTTGTCTCTGGCTAGGAGCATGGTTTCTGGTTTCCTACATTTAGACCAATACAGCCCTCACAAGATACACCAACAATAAAAAGCAGGACCTGGTTTATGTAGAAGGCCTTTGATTTCATCTATCCATAAATGATTCACACCTTGTTTATATTACCCTGTGTGTTAAAGAGGCTATAAAATATCTTGGCAGCTTTACTTACACTATTCTCAACAAGCTGTATAGGAAAGACGGCTTATTCTTCAGGACAATTGTTTCAGTATTTATAAATATGTCAATGTGAGTAAAAACAGCTTCAGAACACAAACCTTGACCAGGCTTACTCATTCTTACTCAAGTTTAGGTTCGGTTATCAATTTTTCAGGAGCCTCCACTTTATATAGTAACCGAAGAGGAGGAAGGGAATGTTTAAGAGCTAGGGGCCAGAGCTGGTAGCTTTGAAAGTCTTTTCACCCTTTCTGAGGAGAGACATAATATACATTGGAAAAGGAGTCATATGCAAGCATTGCCTGTCAGTTCTTTGATATGAAGAGAGCCCTTTTGGAGGACAGCTTAATTAAAATGGAGTTTGAAAATATACAGCACCATGCGATTTTCATGTTTATACTAAAATGTAAAGAAAAGTGTCCCAGACTAAAGATTTTAAAGCAGGTGTGCACTGATTTGACTGTATAGTATTAATAAAAAAGATTACGTTTTAATGTATATATGTTTTAATTTTAATGAATTATTTAGCTATGCCACACATAGTGAGACATCATTTTTTGTTTCTTCAAAACTGTAATAACAGAACTGCTGTCGAATCCCATGTACAAGTACAATCAAACACTCATTCCTTGTGGTTTAGATCTTACATAGT